TGTATGCATCTATTGGTCACAACCATTTTAATGTATTAAGTTAATAATAATGTATTAAAAACCACCTGGGGCTATTTCAAACAACTAATTTTTTATCAATTTGTTTGCGATTATTGATTTATTGTAACAAAACGAACTCTAATATTATTTACACATTAATCGATAATGTATTTTCATTTAAACACTAAAAGTTAGTCACTTAAAAATATATAATATAATAGTAATCTTTAAGCTTTATTACATAATATAGTTTAGTAATGATTTAGTCTAAAATGCATTTTATAAATAATATGGATCTATTTAAAAATTAAGTTAACTTATTGATTATTATTAGTCAAGTATCTTTTTAAATTTAAATCAATTAATTTTGCATTAATTTCAATTTGATCACAGTGTTTGATTTCAATGTTATTAACTCTAATAAAATGTAAATAATTTTACATTAACTATTGTTTGCTTCCGTTAGTTAAAAATCTTTTAATCAAATATAATTATATGTTGTATTTATTGTATAGTGTTATATAATTAAATGTAAACTTAAAAAACTAATACAACAAAAATAATAATACAACTAATATTACAAAATAATCTTAAAGATAATTGTTTTCAAATTATCTTCTAAATAATACTAAAGTAAAAAATAATAAAAATTGACCGCAATGTCAATGAATACATTGAACATAAAAATGCTTTATTTGACTAAAAATAGATTTTTCTATACTTGAAGAAAACCTTTTATTTTGGAAATGCGTGAAAACATGAGTTGTTTCGGACAACTTAGTTATACTTGTTTATAGAATATACAGAATATACAGAATATACAGAATATACAGAATATACAGAATATACAGAATATACAGAATATACAGAATATACAGAATATACAGAATATACAGAATATACAGAATATACAGAATATACAGAATATACAGAATATACAGAATATATGTCAGACGGGAAGCACTTATTTATGATATTCTTTGACGATATACTATATTCTCTACTTGTGTTGAAATCACATATACAGTGCAGTAGTCAATGCTTTGCCGGTTGTTTGATAAACGACTGTTTGGTTCACCACTGAGACAATAACTCACAATATCACTCAAAATATAACCTACAATACACTCACATAATGTCATATTACTTTTGGTTCAATCTCTCAAAACTATTCATTCAACTAAACATAGTCTCAATTTAATATCAATGTTTTTGTTTGTTGTTTTGTTTTTTCTATTGATTGAATAGCAAAACTTTTTTATTAAGATTTATATGTTTAGTATTATTTTATATGCAACTTATTTCACATCGTAATGCTCTTTCAAATGATATGATATTTTATTATTTTATTTTATTATTTCATTTTATTTTAATGCCATCAGAATTTCAGTACAAGTGCTGTCAGATAAGGATCGTTACATTTGCACAGTTCTATTCAATTCAGTGATACATTCTTTACACTAGTTTTAATGTATTTGTTTTAACATTAAAATAACATTTGGTATCTTTTCAAGCATTAAAAATCATATGAAATATGAATCACATTTATATATGACTTTGACATCATATATATTATTCATTCAATTTTTCTTAATGAGTCACAAAAAATTCACTAAAATACAGTATAGTTATTACATTTATTCATATATAAAAATTAAGTATTATTTTGAGCTATTATTTATTGCATAAAATATATTTTTATTTTGATATTTTACAAATGATATAATATTTTAAAAAATTTATAATTATATTTTTTAAAACAATTATATCTCACATAATACAGTATGAACTTTATTTTAGATGAAAATATTAAGAAATATCATACTGTATGTAAAGTTTTATGTATATAAATACTGTAATTACAAACAAATTATTAACATAAATCATTTTTACTTTATTGGTTAAAAAACAGATATTTAAAAAATATTGATTAAAATACATATTTAAACCAGTAAAAATGCTATAAAGCATTGCCAGAAACAAACTTTCATAAAATAAAATTTTATTGTCTAATATTAACGCAATTTATAAAAGAAAATTTATATTATCAAATGACAGAATATTACAATATAAACTTTAGACATATGGGGTATTAAGTGATTCAGTATAACAAAATAAACTCAACTATAGTCATGAAGGGTATCAAACGATTCCATATTATTAAAATTTATAATTAGATTTATAAATAATTGCTGAATTACTTCTATATTCATAATATATGATAAATCTTAGAAAATCATACATTACCCAACATTAAATTTTTTATACTTTTGCCGCCATTTTTTAAATAATGCTGATCTATTATATATTATTTTTGATGCTCTATACATTTCTAAACGTTAAAATTTTTACCTAATTTTTTTTACTTTGGGGCCATTTTTTCTGTTATCGAAGAGATATCAAAATTTTAATGCTGATTCCTTACGCCTGTTTTGATGTTTTATTCAAATCTATACTCAAAAATGTTTACCTAATTTTTTTACTTTGGCCGCCATTTTCTCTATGTTCTCTATGTTCTCTATGTGACAAAATATCAAAATTTCAATACTGTATATACTGTAGAACATAGAAATAATTAATAATTAGAAATTAATTATGAAGTCATATGAATCAATTGCTTAAAGTGTCATACATTGCAACTATCAATATTAGAGTATAGTTACGCCAGAGTTCCAACTTTACTGCAATAGTTGCTATGATGTTGGCTAATGAGCACTACATATAAAAGTTGTATATTTATAAGTTTATTTAGGTTTATGTTATCACACATTATATAATATATAAAACTTTAATTACTCACAATTTGTGACATATATTTAGCTTATTATTGTCTTCAGCCTTAATTGCGGACAAATTAATGCAATAATGTTTCGGACAGTAATTCAGTGGGAGCTATGTATAGACTATTTAGTTTTACAATTAGTTTTTATATTATTATATATGATATAAAAACTTATGTTTAAAACTAGTCAAATAAGTTTTATAGCACTAAACATGTTATCATTTTTTGTGGTCAATCTCTCTCACCGTAAGTTCTAAAGACCAACAGTGCTGTCAGTAATGTACGGCAATTGCGGTGATGAAGAATAGAGACAATTACTGTCCGAAACAATATTGCAATAATTTGTCCGCAATTAAGACCGAAGACAATAATATGTCATAAATTGTGAGTAATTAAAGTTTTATATATTGTATATTTATATTACATATAGAGTTGGAGTAACTTTCTCTGGGAGGGAAGTTCTCTAATAAAATGTCTCAAATTTTTTCTCCCTTAATTGTTACAACGAGAAATTATATTTTATATTTTTACAATAAATAGTTATAACCAAAACTTTGCAAATATTTTACAAAAAACAATTCATTTTCAAATCAATAAATTTAATGATACTATTTATAAATAGCAATCAAAATACATTTTAATATAATATTTGTTTTTTAAATATCATAATAAAATGTGTTGCTTAGGGTTTAATAAGTGGTAACACAAGGAAATAGAAATCCTAGGAATTCCCGGTCAACACAAAACTTAAGGAATTTTTTGAATATAAAAAAGAGAGGAAATTTGATTAAACTATAATTATATATAATATAATTGTGTTTTGATTGTTGGGCTGACCCGCAGTACAACACAGTTAAGCAATTGACAAAATATTTGTCCGTTTGATAAAAACTTTAAATAATTAAAATCTCTGTAATATATTTCAATGTAATTATAATATTTTTATAGTAAAAATTTATTTATTAAAATTCATAATCAAACAAAAATTTAATTTATGAAAACCTTTATTTTTAAAATTAGTAATTTTATTATATTATTTAGACTTATATTATTAATATTTCTGTTGAGTCAATTATTTTAATGAAATTGACAATTAAAAACAAAACTATTTATAAATTATATATATAATATTAATATACTATTTAATTTTAATTAATTAAAGATCAAATTATGATAAAAATATGATAAAAATATTATATATATTTTAAAAAATAATGTTAATTCATAAAAATGTATTGATAGCTTTCAGTATTATTATTTAAGCTTTAAGCTTATAATTGGTTTATAATTTATATTATTAAAGTGATTAACAAAAAATTATATCTCAATTTTTATGTAATTAATTGTTATATTATTTTTAATTTTTTTAGTATAATTTAATATAATATAAGTTGTTTTTACACTATACACAATATTCTTGTTTTAAATCTATTTAAGTTAATGTTAATCTAGTATTACTGTAAATTAAATTTTTTATTTACATTATATTTTTATTTATGACAAACAGTATTGTATACTGTATTTGATTGCATTTGATTTGTTATTATATACACTAAATGGTCATCTTTTTAATAAAATGGATTAATTTCTATAGAAACTATTGAATTTAAAATTTATATGAATAAACATTTAAAAATACATAAATTTTATATACATTTTACATAAGTGAGATTATTTTTAAAAAATATTATATTATTAGTATTATAGGTTTGTTATAAAAAATAAATTTTAATAAATGTAAAGTGCAATATCTTATTACATACTTATATAATAACACTATTTATATATTTTATTTTTAACAAATATTATTGTTATTGATTTTTATTTATAATAAAATTTAAATTGATTAAAATATATCATTTATATTATAGCGACAAACGATAAATATGAGCCTCCATTGGATGCACTCAATGCTCCGCCAATAATATTGCCAACACATGTGAATGTATTAATAATTATTATATTGTAATAATAATAATAATAATAATCAATTAATTAATATAACTATAATTTTATACAAAAGTCAACAAATTCTAGTAATAAATCCAAGATTTCAAGACACGACCTGGAATTGTCTAAAATTACACAATTTTGGACATTCAATACTTTAGTGGCTTTTATTTCAATCATTTTATTTATACTACTTTTAAGTTTCATTGGATTTTGTGTACATAAAAAAGTCAGAAAACATAGGAAACGTGAGACCAGTCATATAGCAATGTCCGGTACATTCAGCAAACGTATGCAACAGTACGTAACAAATCCTAATTATTATACCAGGTTTGACATCATATTTGTCTTATTCATACAACTATAATATATTTATTTAAATAAACGATAAACTCATTTTAAATTTTTAATTTAAAACGTTTTTGATTAAACAATAATAATTACATTAATAAATATAAATAGAAAAGCATTTACTATAAAAAATACATTTTTATAATTTTTTGTAAATTCAGTTTATTATTTTAAATTTATAATATAATTATAATGATTTAAAAATAATATTTATTAAAATTTGCAAAATAAACTGTCACATATACATGCATCCATACATTTTGTTTTCAATAACAAATTTTTGAAGTTTGTTAAAAATTATATATAATAAATTTATTTATATAAAAATATCAATACTCTACTATTAGACAAAATAGATTCTTATGAAAAATTATTATTTATATTTTCACTTTTAGATATTTATAAATTGTCGGCTAATTTTTCATTCTTATCATTATTTTATACTTTTAAAATTATTTTAAAAATAAAGTTAGATTTAAAAGGAATTCTAAGAGTATTAATCTATAATAATAAAAAATATAACTAATTTAATTTAGTTTAATTAATTAATTAATATACAGTACTTATATATATATAAGTATTGTTTCATTAATAACTCATTTCGTTGTATATCTAAAAAATATAATCAATAAAACGTTTCACTAAAATTAATGATTTGTACATATCTTATATATATATTAAAACATAATGTAATTGCTGTACATTAAGACAGAGTTTAGAAAGTTATAAATTTTGATATACAATGCCATCCCTGACCTCTTGCCCCGTATATACCATACATTTCTAATTATTCAGTTTTTTATGGATAGATTTTTTTAAAAAGTATTTTAATTTATTCTAAATTATGATTTTATATAAAAACAATATAACAACTAAATTAATTTAATAACCAAACATAAAAAACAAAATAAACAAGTTGAGAATGCTAGGTAGCATTGCCATAAACAAACTTTAATTACTCCTTATAAATAATAAAATATCCCACATATGAATTACTAACATTATAAAGTCTATATAAATTATATAATATTTAAAATATTGTTTGCTTATACTGTTCTGTATATATTTATTATATTATATTCAATATTTTTTATATATTATATTAATTTATTATAAAAGATTCAAAATATTTATCGCTGATAACAATTAGTATCTATGAATCATATTATAATTAAAATATTTATTGCTAATAATTATTAGTCCAAAAAATTAATTACAACTAAATTTAGTCATTATATTCCAAATATGCATTTAAATTAAATTAGTTAATATTTGCAAAAATCAAATTTATTGACCAAATTGATCACAAAATTATTTTACAGTCTGATGTACATTATGTATCAAAAATTAAAAATTTCAATTTTTTCTATTTTGGCAGCCATTTTGTCGATGTTTCTTAAGAGATGTCATTTTTGAATAAATCCCTTATATCTTAGTTTTAATGTCATAACCGAATTTGAATTCAGAATTTTAAAGTTTTAAAGCGAAACACATTTCAGAAAATAAACTTTTTATAGTTTGTTTGAAAAAAATTGCATAAAATGTGTTGTATAACAACATCATTGTTTACATTATTCAGTTTTTTAAATATTACAGAATTTATTTATTTTTTAAAATATTGTAAATCAAATAAAACATATACTAAACAAAGTTTTAAGTGAGAATAAAAATATTGAAATTATATGATGTTAAATAAACTAAAATAGTTATAACTCATTTAAAAATGTTGTAAAAATTAATTTATATTTTCTATCTTTTTACAATTATTACAATTTAAATAAACTTTTATATATTATAGTTTACAGAATTATAATATAATTAAAATAATTTATTGATATAGTTCTCCGGACACACCATTGTTTAAGTTAATTCAAGACATTGAACTTCTTGAAGAAGACATTACATTTGGAGAAGTTATAGGAGAGGGATGTTTTGGAACCGTTTATAAAGGTTTTGTTCAATTTTTATCCAAACATTTATTATTATATTAATTATATAAATAATTTTGTTTAAAAATAATTAATAAAACTAATCATTTTTTTATTGAATATGCATATTCAGACTTATTCAGACTTAAAAACATAAAATTTATGATTATATGTTGTGATAAAATAAGATATAAAGGATATATTTTTATATTTATTGTAAAATTAAAATCTTTAAGTTCATAAAATTTCATATAATAGTTGTAAGTAATAGTGATACTCTGAACATATAATGTAAAGAATATTGATTGCCTTTAAATGTTGTAATCGTGTATTTGTATAGATTCTGTAATGTTTTATACCGATAGAGTATATGTTATATAAAATATTTAGTATGAAATTCTGTCTGAAATTTTATACTAATCTTTTAATGGACTAAATCTTACAATTGATTCTTTAAATGGGTTTATAGTGTTTTTAATGTTTGGATACCATTTTACATTAAAAACATGTTCACGTTTTAAATGTTTGTAGACTTAATATAATACTACTTGTATTATATAGATATTACATAAGTTGTAAGTACTTATTAATTAAATACAGTTTTTATATAAGATTCATTTTGTAAGTGATTTTTGAACTTAACAAATGTTTCACATTATAATCTAATAGTATTTTATTATTATTCAATTTAATAGTTTTTCTTGAAATTAATTTTATCAAAACATTGATCTTTTATATAAATATAATCTAATAACAAATTATTTTGTGTAAATACATTGAAAAAATATTATACACTTTATTGATCACAATTTAAAAGCTGTCAAATTATATAATGTGTAGTATTTCTTATTATATGATATAATACTCTTATCATAATTTAATAATTTTGTAAATAAACTTTAGCTTTAATAGAGATATGAGTTACTAAAATGTTTTATTTATATAATTACATAATTTAGGTACATATCGACAATCAGACTCTACTATAACACAGGTGGCCATCAAAGTGCTAAAAGACAAGAAAGAATCAAAAGATGATTTTGAGAGAGAAATTGAAATAATTTCGACATTCAATCACAAAAATATAATCAAATTAATTGGTGTTGTGGTCACTGATTCCGATTTAATACCATATATGGTGTTTGAATATATGATGTTTGGAGACTTGGCTGAATTGTTGAGGACTAAAAAAGTGATACAACCATCACATTGTCAAACCATTGATGACCAACCTAACAAAGATCCTATACTTATAACACATGTACTGTATTTTCATTACTTTATATTTTATTTATAAATAACAATGATTTTATTTGTTATATTATAATCCTATAGGATTTATTAATTTGGATTTCAACGCAAATAGCTAATGGTAACAAATTAATTATAAATAGACTTAAGTAATTTGATGATACATAATATCATACAAAATAGGCTGCAAGTATTTAGCAGACAACCATTTCGTGCACCGGGATTTAGCCACAAGAAACTGTTTAGTTGGACATGACTTGACTGTCAAGATATCCGATTTTGGTATGTCTCGGGATATATACACTTGTGATTATTATAAGGTACAGTATATTTAATACTTTCTATATTTTCTTAATTAAAGTAAAAATTATAAATGCTTAACCTATATTTAAATAAAAACTACAATTAATTGTCTATATTTTAGTAATGATAATACTGTTGAGGAAAATGCCAATATATTAAACTCAATTTATATTTATTTTTTAATATTAAAATCTAATATAAAATGTAATTTAGTTTTCATTACTTTTCAAGTTTGACTTAAAATCATTTAAATTCTATATTCGTTTTTAACATTGAAAGCTAGATAAAAATTAATCAAAAAATTTTATGGTCTACCGATACTTAGGCTACTTAATAGGCTGAAAGATTGGCTAATACGCTAATGAGCTAATGGTCAGTAAAATGTAATAATTTATTATTTATGACATACCAGTACTGTAGACAATATGGATTGTCGGTAGGGGTGGAGTAACAATCAAATTAATATAATTTATTTAAGTGTTTAAAATTTATGTTTTGATAATCATTACAAATACTGTATATGCATCCCATAAAACAATGTACTAAAGTGTGTGTCATTATCTGTGAAAAAAATAATTTTTTTGGTTATATTTGTAGTTTTACTTAAAAAGGTTTTGCATTATAATTAAGCACTAATAACATTAAAATACTATTTTTGATTAATTCAAGTTATCTATTTAATAAATTAAGTCATAATTTTATAATATATTTTTTATAAAGTTCGTATATATTTATTGTTTACTATTCAGTTAGTTTATAACTATTAAATAATGTATATATTAGATAAAATAAACATTTAAAATAACACATAAATAATTTTTAAAAATAATTTATTTAATAACAAATGTTAAATTTAGTTTTAAAATTATAATATAAACCAGTTGATAATGCTAGAAAGCATTGACCAGAAACAAACTTTAATGGCGTAAATTACTTCCTATAAATATTATATTACTCCACATATGCATCACTAAAATTTTATTGTCAATATTTATAATATAAAATCAAAAATTATAATTTCTAAATAATAAATAGATAAAACCATTGATGAGTTATATATAAATTATTTATGAATAGGTGGGCGGATCTAAACTATTACCAGTCCGTTGGATGAGTCCAGTAAGTATCGGTTGTTTTATTATATTTCTATAATATTATAATTTTCTGTATCATATCTATATAATTATTGGTTGCGAAAATTGTCTTTTATAACTTATACTTCATGTATTTTAATATATATGTAGTATTATATTAAAATATAATATCTTTCAAATCATATATCAAATCAAAATATTTTTCAATCATAAATATTTAATTTATCATTGATTTGATATTTCAAGTAAATATCAAAATATTACATTTTAATAATTTATGATTACCGTACATTACTTGATTTCAATTTACTCATTGAGAGTATAGATTAAATTAAGTCAAATTTGATTATATGTTCAATTTCCGGACATATATTACACCAAATATTTATTTTGTCAATAAAATAAACAACACTTGAATTTATTGATTTTGTAGTCAACATTTGAATCTGACTTTAGTTTTTACTTTCATTTCATAAAATTTTTATTTATAGCTTAAGATTTAATCATATTTAATAAATTTCTATAATTTACATTAATTTAAATTCATATATTTAAAAAATCTAAATTACATAAAATTTTTATAATTATATATTACATAATAAGGTAAATAAAAAATTATTATACATTTATTTAAGTTATAAATTGTATTTTTAAAACAATAATAATAAAATTGTACTTAAGTATAGCTTAAAACAGATTAGAAATTTGACTGTTTTAAAATACACTTATTATAAAAATAATGATCAAATTAGTGAATTTTAAAGTTTTACGACAAAGTTTTTGTGGAAATTCAATGACTTTAAAGAATTTTCTAATAAATTATTTTATTATTAATATCACATTACAGACCTAAATTAAATATACCGGTATATATATATTTATTTAAATTTAAAAAATATTAATTTAAATAATATTAAAATAATAATTTTCATTTATAAAATATCAAAATTATTACATAAAATATATCATAACATTTTAATTATTTATAAAACAAAAAAATCTATATAATTTTTATGTTTTGTAAATTTTCAATAAACAAATATTATCTAAAATTAATTATCAAAAAATCAAATGTTTCTGTTAGTTACTTTTATTTAAAAATATTTATCGAATTGTTTTATTATTTTTAAATCTTTATAGTATTAAATCACTACTCTTTCAATGTGTTATATGAAATGTTAATAAAATATTTATAAATTCATTACACATAAAATAAATTATATTTTTATTCAGGAAAGCATTCTCTACGGAAAGTTTACTCTTGAATCCGACGTTTGGTATGTTATTGACTAAAATTTATTTTCTTTTCCACTCCTACCGAGAATTTAAGTACAATCTAAATATAATATAAGTATAAACTATTGATATATTATATAAATAATTTTAAATTTTAATATAAAAATAAAATGATATCATTAACATAATACTCAATAAGAATAATAAATTCTTATGCAAATGTAATATAGTATCTAAACTTATATGAATAATAATGTATCTATTTTTAACTAAAATATACTTAATTAATGTAGTCATTCATTAATATATATAACAATATAAATATATGTCTTTTATTATACTAATATGCTGTCCAGCAGTTGATTTTCAAGTATATACTGTATACAACTATTATAATTAAACTGTATAACATTTTTGTTAATCCCTATACAATATTATAGAAACATAAATAATTTAATATAACTAATATCTCAAGACTTATAAGCTTATATAACAACGAAAATCGTGTTTAAATATTAAGTGATAAAACTTAGTGAAAATTAATAGTCAGTTGACTCTAAAATTTCTTATTTAATGCTTAAATATAATATTTTTCTTATCATAAAAATATTTTTAAACAATATTACAAATTATAATATTTACAGTATATATAACTCAGTTTACTCTCAGATGTGTACTTCTTTAGATAACTCTTTCATAAGTCAGTCAATATGTATTACCCCAACAATTAATGTTCATTTGGTTAACTAATAATTATTTATATTTATTTTAAAATAAGTAATTATCATATAATTAAAGTTAATAAAAACGATTTGTGTCTGATATATAATATTTTATTATTTATTAATAGTTACAAAACCACATAATGTATAAAATGTATATTTTGACGACTTTTGAATAATTCATATGAATAGGTCATTTGGTGTTGTCCTCTGGGAAGTGTTTACTTTAGCAAAACAGCCATATTTTGGTCATAATAACGAAGAGGTTTGTATTTATTTATTTATTCATTCATTCATTAACTTATTAGCTAAAACTGTTTCATTATTGCTAATATTGATTATTATAACAAACTGTAGAAATGATAAAAATAATAAAAATAATTGTTTTAAATACTGAAAAGGTTGTCAAACTAATACTTCAGGGAATACTATTGATTCCACCGGAAGACTGTCCACAAATTATCTATGAATTGATGGCTAACTGTTGGAAGACTGAACCCATTCATAGAATAAATTTTCAAACAATTTTTCATAAATTATACAAAAATTGTACAAAAGATAAACAAAAATTATTGTTATCTGAAATTGAATTTAAAGAGAATAATGATGTTATTTGTTATGACAATTACATAGTGCCTGATATTGTTAGAAAATAATCATTTTTTAAACACAGTATTATTATAACATTGTAATTAATGATAAATTTATACTAAACCCAAACCCAGTATTATAATTATATTATATATCAGAGAGTCTAAGAAACTGATTCTTATGTGTTTTATATTAGATATAATAAAGATCCAAATTAGTGATACTAAATAGTATAATATAAAATCTGCAAAAATGCAAACCTAATATGTGAATCACACCTAAACTAAATCTATTTTACATAAATTATCAGTTGTAATCTCTTAATGCTAAAGATTATAAAATAAAAATTAACTAAAATAACTAAATTTAATTTTAACAATATGTAAAGCCATAATGTTGGTCAGTCAGTAGTGTACCCGATGTTGAGTTGTAGGTGTTCAGTAGCTCCCGCCCCCCCAATCAAGAAGTTGGTGTACCCAAAATTAATATTAATATTGTTTATTAAACAAAGATAGCTTTTTAGTGGAATTCACATTTAAAAATCAAAGTTAGACTATTTTTCATTATTATTTAGATCTTTTATGTATATATAAAATATACATATAAACCTAAATTTAATATATAATATAAAATTAAATTCTCAAGAAACTCTGATATTATTTATTAATTATAAATATTAATTATAAATATTAATTATAAATATTAATATGGGTATAAGTTACTAAAACTAAAAAAATAAAAAAATATTTCAAGTACATAATAATAATAGTATGTTATCATACTATATTAAAATAATAATTTATATTTAATAATAACATTGTTATACAGAATGTTTGAAATTAATCATATTCTGTACATAATTTATTTGTAAAAATAAATTTCTATTATTAATAATAATGACATAATTGATAATTATATCATACATTTGAAAACAATTTATATTCAATAAGTTATTCATCCAAAAACTATAATCTTATTTAAATATAAAATTTTTAAAAATAGTTTATAACTAAATTTAAAGAGATATTAAATATTATTATATAAATTAAAATATGTCATTTTTGTTTTATTTGTATATATATTTTAAGATATCATTACATTACAAATTAAAGCATTACAAAAAAAATTAATTTTTAATAGAAAATATTGTCGATTAAATTATAATAACATTTATAAAATATAAGATAATAATTCATTTAATTATAATTGTGAAAATAATATATATATATATGAATTTGACTAAACTTTAATAAGTTTTAATTTTCTTCTATTTTAATTAATATTACGCTATTTGTAAATCATTAAGAGGTTTATTATATATAAACATTGTTTTAATTATTAATGTTTACTTAATACATAAAAACATCTCTGTAAATACAAAAGATATTAAAAATTTTGTAATAAATAATTTTTAATTAATAATAAATATTTTAACATATATCTTAAATCATTCAAATAAATAATATTACAATTTTACAAATTAAACATTATATTAAAAATATTGAGTTATTTTATTTTTATTATTTACTATATTTTCATAAATCACATATAATATAATTACAATTATTGTAAAATATGGAAAACTGGACAAAAATGTCATTAAATGTCGTTTTTTTAAAGTTTAAGTCTTTATTTGATTTAAATTATTATTACTATACTGTAATAAAACAAAATATTTAAAAATTATTTTTTAAATAAGTTAATGTCTGGTAATTTGTATATTTAATATAATTAAATATTTGTTAAACATGTTTGTCTGAAAAAATTTAGATATATTCCCACAAATATTGCACTTATTTAAGTTAACTTAAGTGAGCTCTTGAGCTCAAACATCACCCTTAGGTCTTAATATTATAATTTGAATAAAAAATTAATTCAAACAATTGTTATATAAAAAATCAAATTGTATTATATATTTGTGTTTCTGTGTAATAACTAAAGCCACGTTTCTTCGGGAATTCCCAAAACTTTATTATTTATTAAATCGTCGGGAATTTAATATTTATATAAATATGGCAATATTTTGAATGAAATTAACGCCTATTGTTTTTCCCGATTTTCCCGATTTTTGGTGTTTTTTGACAAAATCCCGAAAAACACTATTTAAGTGTTTGTTCCCAAAATTCGCTAAATATTGATTGACATAACACTTACCGTAACAATTACTAATACATATTGATTACTATATTAGCGGCAAATCTAATACAATATTAACTCAATATCAATGAATGGGACGATATGTATAAGAAAACACACTTTAGACAATATTTTGCTATAAAAATTGTAGTTTTGTATGTATTGTAAACATATTTACTGTAATACTGTAATAAATTAATGTATTTTATGTTTACAATAATTGTAGTTTACTAACAAAGTATACAGTAGTTTATAAATAAAAACTAAATGCATTTTTATTGTGATAGAATGGTGGGCGCCTCCAGAGAAAATAATAAAAATATCTTTATTATTATGTTTATTATAAATTAGCTATACTGTATTTATTGCTATACTGTATGTAATGTTAAATCCTATGTTAAATTATATATGTAATTACTAAATATGATTATCTTAAATAACTAATTTATGTTATATTTAATTATAGATATTTATAATTATTATAATTAAGAATATTGTGTTAATTAATTATGTAAAGTTAAATATTAGTTATTATTATTATAAGTTAGTTAAATGTTAATTAATTATTGTTAAAAACTCACACATGTAATACTTATGAATTATCGATACCCTTACATTATGTTATAATAAAATTAAGTTAAGTTGTGGGCCTACGGGCCTACACAGGGAACAAATAACGTCTACTATTATTAAAGCCTAGGAGTATTAAAGGGGAAGGTGTTCCGTATCTGCGGAGAGCCCCCCAGAGATCCGATATAGGTTTCCGACATACTATAAGCATTGACCAGTGGCCAGTGAGCCCCGAGAGGGTCACACAGAGATTACGTGACACCCGTAGTGTCCTATAAGCTACCCTTCCATAATTTACGCGCATTACCTTTGCAGTGATATCCATTATTTTATATATTCACGGTATCCGGTTATTCGGACCGTGTTAACGGGACCAACCTTTATATAACCCTAATACCATTCCCGTTACAGTGGCGCAGTCGGTAGGATATCACTGCCCATACCTACCTATCCCGCCTATCGCTATTATCGCCACGCATTATATCATACATTAGCCACTGACTATACCCTATAAATAACATTTAATTATTATCACTATATATGCATATTTAAAGCATTATTAAATTCCGTTATTTAATTTAAACCTATAGTCAATATTATAATACAATTACCGTAAACTCAATATAGTACTCACACTATACAATCACCAAAAAGAAATCTTTTTGAAAAATAATATAATTCAATTCATATATCAATACCTATATCTCTATAGAATTATGCAATGCTTTGCAAAATAATTAAAACAATTCAATTAAATACAATTTATCAATAATGCTATACATTATACTAAATACTTGTCCGCTATCTATAAATGCGATACCTATTTAGATATACAATTAATTTCTAATTATACCCAATACTAGTACCGCATATCTAATATATATACAGTATTAAAAATATATTATTATCGACCGCTACCAATATAAGCTAAACAATTTACTGTATAATTACTTACCTATAACTAAATACAAATCAATTGCCGACTACTATCGGTACAAACATTAATATTTAAAAATACACAATTTAATAGAAACCAAAGTATTGTAAAATCCTATTTAAATAATTAATTATATTACAATTAAAAATTACATTTATAAGTGACACTATAATTAAATCACACATTTATTTAAAACATAATTACCGTACTATTCAATGTACTGCATTTCCTATAATTATTAAACACATTTTATAATACATTTTATATATCTATCGTACAAATACTGTACACACATATTGCGGCCTTAATTAAACTATTTATTATATACTATACATATCGGCCGTACAAAACACATTATAGCCTTATCTATAATTATAAATACAATTAAAAAAATATATTTAAAATAATATTACACACTAATTGTAAAAAAAATTAAACAAACAATTCAAAATAAATCTTCCTCTTAAAATAATGTACTGAACAATAGTACACATTTAAAAACTATTTAAAAATTATTTAATATTTATATTACATGTTATACTATACGTACACAATATTGTACATTACATTACACTATATCTAACCCTATATTATTTTCGACAAACACAAGTCGCGCAAACAATTTCTAAACGCTAAATATATATTTAGGGGCAATTACTCTAAGCCTGACTTACGCAGCCGACAAACAGGTGGACAGTCAGCATTTTCATACATACATATCTAGTCTACGTAGCCTGACCGAGCGGTGGACGACTAGTACACATAGCGCATATATAAGCCGTGCAATAGACGCAACATAAGCCGTGTAACCAAACGCAAAATAAGCCGTATTAAACTCACGCAATTAGTAAGCCGTATAGTAAGCCGCGCATCAATAAGCCGCTAATACATCTAGCATTCAAAGCCCAACTCAACTAAAGCGTACACACATATTTAAAGCGCCGACAATTTAATCACAAGGGTTAATCTATATATTATAAGATACTTTATAATCAAACCCTATAAATAACATTTAATTATTATCACTATATATGCATATTTAAAGCATTATTAAATTCCGTTATTTAATTTAAACCTATAGTCAATATTATAATACAATTACCGTAAACTCAATATAGTACTCACACTATACAATCACCAAAAAGAAATCTTTTTGAAAAATAATATAATTCAATTCATATATCAATACCTATATCTCTATAGAATTATGCAATGCTTTGCAAAATAATTAAAACAATTCAATTAAATACAATTTATCAATAATGCTATACATTATACTAAATACTTGTCCGCTATCTATAAATGCGATACCTATTTAGATATACAATTAATTTCTAATTATACCCAATACTAGTACCGCATATCTAATATATATACAGTATTAAAAATATATTATTATCGACCGCTACCAATATAAGCTAAACAATTTACTGTATAATTACTTACCTATAACTAAATACAAATCAATTGCCGACTACTATCGGTACAAACATTAATATTTAAAAATACACAATTTAATAGAAACCAAAGTATTGTAAAATCCTATTTAAATAATTAATTATATTACAATTAAAAATTACATTTATAAGTGACACTATAATTAAATCACACATTTATTTAAAACATAATTACCGTACTATTCAATGTACTGCATTTCCTATAATTATTAAACACATTTTATAATACATTTTATATATCTATCGTACAAATACTGTACACACATATTGCGGCCTTAATTAAACTATTTATTATATACTATACATATCGGCCGTACAAAACACATTATAGCCTTATCTATAATTATAAATACAATTAAAAAAATATATTTAAAATAATATTACACACTAATTGTAAAAAAAAATTAAACAAACAATTCAAAATAAATCTTCCTCTTAAAATAATGTACTGAACAATAGTACACATTTAAAAACTATTTAAAAATTATTTAATATTTATATTACATGTTATACTATACGTACACAATATTGTACATTACATTACACTATATCTAACCCTATATTATTTTCGACAAACACAAGTCGCGCAAACAATTTCTAAACGCTAAATATATATTTAGGGGCAATTACTCTAAGCCTGACTTACGCAGCCGACAAACAGGTGGACAGTCAGCATTTTCATACATACATATCTAGTCTACGTAGCCTGACCGAGCGGTGGACGACTAGTACACATAGCGCATATATAAGCCGTGCAATAGACGCAACATAAGCCGTGTAACCAAACGCAAAATAAGCCGTATTAAACTCACGCAATTAGTAAGCCGTATAGTAAGCCGCGCATCAATAAGCCGCTAATACATCTAGCATTCAAAGCCCAACTCAACTAAAGCGTACACACATATTTAAAGCGCCGACAATTTAATCACAAGGGTTAATCTATATATTATAAGATACTTTATAATCAATCAATTATGACTACTCGAACCATAGCCAAATATGACGGTCTCACTAAAGATATTAAAATCCAGACCTGGCTTAAACTATATGAGATCCATACACAGTTCATGACACCTATTGAACGCATTAACCATTTAAAATACAATTTAAAATCAAAAGCTTTTCAATGGTACGGTAACGCTATAGCCGACCATAACTACACCAATTGGGATATCGTAAAAGATTTAATGACTAAACAATTCAGTCAATTAACAGCACCGTCAGCTGCCGATATCTTTCCTATTAAGTCTAATAATAATATTAGTAATTTTAATAACTTTTATAATGWTAGTCGCAATAATATAAGCCGACCCTATGCTAATAATAGCTGCCGATCAAATGGCACACAAATTCAGCGTAAAAGTTATTTTACATCTAATGTTGCCAACACTCGTGCACACAATTCAAGGCAACAAAATACTAATAAAATTACTAATAGATACGGGAACATAGCATCACAAACATTTTATAATACAAGCCATACATACATGATGCAACCAACAAATACACGCGGTAAACAACTTAACCATAACAGCGGCAAACATAAACATTTAACAGCCGACTCAAAGAGAGAGTCTATACACAAACCAGTAGCCATTAATAAAATTAAATCTAAACCCGTCTTACATATTTTCGACACCGACAAACATAATATAAGTTACGATAGGTCGTGCCCTTCACTTAAGCCATCGGTTGTCTCTAATAATCGCACCGAAAAGAAAGAATTATGTTACGATAGGTCGTGCCCTTCACATACATTCTCCGGTCGCTCAACACATATAAAGACTAATAAAGTCTACGACGGTAACACTTCCGAGCCTCTGCAAAAGTTTTCTGTAATGCCGGACGTCAGACAAAGCAATAATCCGATCATGGATTATAATCCGCTAAAAGTTCTCGACCTCTCCAAACAGTTACATACTAAAGTACCGCTCACTCATCAGCTACTTAATCAATCACAATCAACGCTATATGAAATTAAAGATAACGGAGATCGCTGTAGTCAAATCTCCGACACAAATATGCGAATTCCTGCCGTAAGTCACATAAAGAAATATAGCTCGTCTACGCCATCACAGCCGCCCATAGAAACAACATATAACCGCTTAAATAAAGTTCCCATTAGGCAACCACTGGACATACATAACTATTTCAAATACCGCTATACATTAATCAATATTGTTATGTCCTTACTATTTAAAATATATTCATATCTAATGTCACATAATAGCAATGTATATACACAGGACAATACTATCTATTGTACACTTAACACAATTAAAATCATTATGTCCTTAATTTATTATATCTTTCAATACATTGTCTATTTAATATTACAAGTTAACTACCGACACATTCGGTTTAAAAACATATTTAACATTTCTTTAATATTATTCTTCTATTTAATTACTATTTAAAAATTTATTATATTTCTTTATTTAAACTATTATTATGTTATATTATTTATCAATTATTACTTCTTCAATATATTAATTCTACGATTACACGATTAACATCGCGCCGCAAAAGTACCGTAAAAATCACCATCACATATATAGAACTTTCTCCTACGTCAAAAGTTCTTTTTCAAACGTGGAAGAATGTGATAGAATGGTGGGCGCCTCCAGAGAAAATAATAAAAATATCTTTATTATTATGTTTATTATAAATTAGCTATACTGTATTTATTGCTATACTGTATGTAATGTTAAATCCTATGTTAAATTATATATGTAATTACTAAATATGATTATCTTAAATAACTAATTTATGTTATATTTAATTATAGATATTTATAATTATTATAATTAAGAATATTGTGTTAATTAATTATGTAAAGTTAAATATTAGTTATTATTATTATAAGTTAGTTAAATGTTAATTAATTATTGTTAAAAACTCACACATGTAATACTTATGAATTATCGATACCCTTACATTATGTTATAATAAAATTAAGTTAAGTTGTGGGCCTACGGGCCTACACAGGGAACAAATAACGTCTACTATTATTAAAGCCTAGGAGTATTAAAGGGGAAGGTGTTCCGTATCTGCGGAGAGCCCCCCAGAGATCCGATATAGGTTTCCGACATACTATAAGCATTGACCAGTGGCCAGTGAGCCCCGAGAGGGTCACACAGAGATTACGTGACACCCGTAGTGTCCTATAAGCTACCCTTCCATAATTTACGCGCATTACCTTTGCAGTGATATCCATTATTTTATATATTCACGGTATCCGGTTATTCGGACCGTGTTAACGGGACCAACCTTTATATAACCCTAATACCATTCCCGTTACATTATAATCAATTAAAAACTGAAAATAAATTATATCAAATATATTATCAAATATAACCGATTTTGTGATAAAACTATTACTATTACTATAAGAAAAAAATAAAATTTAATTTCCCGATTTCCCGACCGATTTTGGCCATTTTAACTTCCGAAAAAACATAGCTATAGTAATAACTATTAATGTAAACTCAACTCATTTAATAAAACTTACATTTCACAACATTAACTACTAAAAAATTCACACATTATATTAAATAAATTATAGACATTTATTTTTGAATATGAATTTTATGACATAAAATTATTTATTAAACCAGAATATAATGTATAAAATAGCATTTCCAGAACAAACTTGTAAAATGTATGTCTAATTGTTTTGTATGAATTTGTTTTATCATTTACTTTACACATCTAATCAACAATTTGTCACACATTCAACTCACTTATATACCAATCATTATATACCAACTTACTCACTCACTCACTTACTCACTCACTCACTCACTCACTCACTCACTCACTCGCTCACACACACACACACACACACACACACACACACACACACACACACACACACAGAGAGAGAGAGAGAGAGAGAGAGAGAGAGAGAGAGAGAGAGAGAGTAGAGAGAGAGAGAGAGAGAGAGAGAGAGAGAGAGAGAGAGACAGTAACAAAGTTTTTATGTTAATTGAAAATATGTATATTTAAGATAAAATTTTAATATATTGTATTAATAAATACTAAATACTGTACTATAATAAATGTGTTGTTTAATTAATGTAATATATTGGACACAATTAACAAAGTTTGCTAAACACTGTCCATAATTACTTAATTGTATATTATCTGACAATTTTTACTACAGTATGTTTATATTTGTATTTAATTTTGTTATATTTATATAGCAGTTATATAAATTTATATTTATCTACTTATATTTGATATAATGTATTAACTTATACAGTATTATATGGTATAAATTAGTATATGTGCTTCACTTTAAAATATTTGTATCTATTATACTGTATTTATACTGTATTTATACTGTATTTATACTGTATTATACAGTAGTATATTAGAAAATAATACTTTTAATACAAAAATATACAATAAATTAAAAACATTTTATATTTAAATTTACAATATTATTGTTTATTAAAAATAATTATTAGTTTGGGTATATTAAATATGAATGGTATTCCCATTTGGGACACCAACACGAGTACTACCAGTGCTGCCCCATAGCTGTATAAGTAATGTTAATATTGTACAACAATTGTGATTTAACAGCCAATAGTATTAACCTAAGATTACAGTATTACACAGTATTATCATATCCTATACTTTAAAGCAATGCAATGGCAGAGCAATGGTTGTAATGGTAGAAGTGTTGGTAGTGTTGGTTGTGTTGGTGGGGAAGTGCTCGTAGAGGTAGAGGTAGTTGTGTTTAGTGTTGTGGGACTGTTGTGTGTGTAGTGAAGTGCAAGTGTGAGCACACATTGAAAACATTGAATAGCAATAGACTATGAATTGAATGACTTGATTGTAGTACACATTAAATGTATTGAATAGCAAACCTTTTCCGTTGACTAACATGTAGTGAATTTGTGACCAAAAACACCATATTATGGATAATCTGGACAAAAGTGTAGACAACAGTGAATGTGATGTTAGGATTGAACAACAATTGCGGATCAAAATCGGTATGAAATCAATGTTTTTGTTTATATTTACTACTATTTATAATCACTATTATTAATGCACTTATAGTATACTTATTACTCTATAGTATAGGCATTCATACATTCAGTCATTCACAGAGTCATTGAGTGTTTCACTGATTCATTAGTTTGTCGTATAAATTGTTTTGTCTATAAATATATGAATGAATTATCATTTTACTACTCTTTACTATCAATTTGATTCACAAACACATGTTTAGACCTATTGATTGATACAATTAATTTGTTTTAAGCAAATATCAAATATTATATTTTAGTTTATTTGATTTTATTAGTATTGAATATTTTTATATTTTATTAATTAAATTTAATCTTATCATTGAATTAATTAATTAAATAAATATTTTATTATAAATTGATATATTGATAATATTATGATATATTGATTAATTTATTTACAATATATTTTTATTATATATCAAACAATAAGTCCCACAAATTATTTATTATAGTTAATTTATTTTTAAAAATTAAATATTTATTTTAAGCGCACTTACGTTTATTTTTAAGTATTATCCTTATAATCCTTATTTAGACTTTTGAATAATAATATATTTATATATTATAATACATATGATATAATAGTTAAAATTTAATTGTTATATTTATGTGATTATTATAATAGATTATTATATATAAAATGGTGTATAAAATATTAAAACTATTATACTAGTGAAACAATGAAGTAGTTATTATTATAAGTATATACTATATATAATATATGATGTAATTATATAATGTAATGATGTGAACATATGAAAGGTGAGGCCAAGAACTTACATCCAAGAAATGGATCCAATGGCTCAAGTGGTTTGCGGGACTGTTATTGTGTCATTAGCCTCGATAGGGAACAAATATATCGCACCTGTAGTACAATCGAGAGGACACTCAAGTAAGACATTGGCTTTGCTTTTAGTTAAACACTGTTTAATGACAGCTAAACTAACAAATAAGTTATACAATGAGTTATACAATTGTATACATTTTTTAATTGCGTTATTATAATGACATTTATAATATTGACCTTAAAGTTGACTTTTTATAGTCTACTATAGTCTTAAATAACAAATTGTGTCCTCATTTTTATAATTATTAACAATAGTTTTTGTTATATTTTAATGACATCAACGTTATCAACATTTTGCAGTCCATTTTTCGGTGAAGAGTTTCAATTTGAGATTCCCCGCCGTTTCCGCAATTTAGCCATTTATTTATACGACAGGGAAAGGTCTGTCAATAATAAAGATAAAGTGATTGGAAAAGTGTCCATTAAAAAGGATGATCTCTACAAACACCACAACAAAGAGTCGTGGTTTCCCATAACACCAGTGGATGCAGACTCTGAAGTTCAGGGAAAGATTCATTTGGATATCAAATTAGACCATTGCCTTAAACCCGGTGCTCATCAAACTGTGCCTAAAGTGTCTGTTTGTGTGCTCGACTGTAATGATCTCGGAGTCATCAATGGTTGTTGTGATCCCTATGTAGTGGTTTCTCTATATAACGGTCCCATAAGACATGAAATTAAAAGAACTAAAATTAGGAAAAAGACTGTAAATCCACACTTTGATGAAAACTTTTACTTTGATGTATGTCTTCATTATATATCAATCTTTGATTTTTTATAGTATTTATGTTTTTAATTGTTTTTGTTGTTTTGTTTTAGATTCCCATTAGAGGCCAAAATCATGACAGGAGTTCATTGAGAAGTTTGAATAATTTAAATGTAATCAATAGTAATGGCTTAGAGTTAAGGTAATTGTTTTATACCAATTATGGATTATATTTTAAATGGTGGTTATATTATAATAAACTTTCCGTAACAATAATAGATAACATTAATAAAATAAGTTGTTTTTCAATAGAAATATAATTGTAATATTTAGAAATGAATTTTAATCAATAGTTTATAATGTATTTAATAGGATATCTGTTATGCACGACGGGAATGGTATGTTTGGAAGTGCCTTTCTTGGAGAAGTTAAGATATCACTTAATGATATTCATCTTAACGGACATAATGCATGGTATTTATTGATTTCAAAGACATAATATAAAATTTTAATAAAAAATATATAAATAGGTATTTATTGCAACCGCGAGACACGGGGCGTACCGATGATCGGACAACCAGTGAATTGGGTTCACTTCGCCTTAAAATTCATTATACATCTGATTATGTATTTTCTAGTCGTTTCTATGAATCCATCAGAAAATCATTACTTATATCTCCAGAAATTAAAGTATTATTTTTCTTACCGATAATTAATGAATGTATTGTATTATAATATAATTATATTCATAGCCTATAAGTTCGAGTACTGTTTACATATTGGGTGAATTGGTTACTAATAAGATAGATGCGGCACAACCAGTGGTCAAAATATTTATGCACTACAAGAAAATTATACCATTAATTAAAGCATTGGCTGAAAATGAAATATCAAAAGTCACGTAAGTCTTATAAAAATTATTACCAAATATTTATTTTTTAGTTTTTAATTACATTTATTATTCCAATTTGTTAACTGACTTATAATTATTAAAAATGTTTGCTAACTATGCAAACTATACTTCAATTGGACATATTTTTTTGACATATAATGTCTTAAGTTGTTTGGATTTTTTAACATAAAACTAGAATTGTTTACAACATTAGAATATTAAAAGATATTTTGATGAAATGTAAGCTAATAATACATTACGTAAATAATTAAAAATAATGAATAGAAAAAAGTTTAAAAAGGTTTAAAAAAGTTAAATTCAACAAAATGTTATATTGATATATTTAAATATGTAGTAAATATTATCTCTGTTGTAATGTATAATATTTAATTTATAATAAAGATATAGTAAATTATTTATGAATTAATTATGTTATCTTAAGAAATCGAAAGATAATTAACTAAAATATCTTTATATTAAAATAAATAATTATTTGAGTTCAATAATCAATAAGTTATTTTATTGATTTACATTTTATACTTTATAATAATTTTTATTTATTTGTGATATGATTATAAGTTTATAACAATTTAGATAATTTAAATAAACAATAGATTAAGAGATTAATAATTTTGTTTATTTTATTAAAATTGTTTAATTATTTTCTAATAGAGACGTAAATACGATTTTTCGGGGAAATTCATTAGTGTCTAAATGTATGGATGAGTTAATGAAATTGGTTGGTATTCAATATCTTCACGAAACACTTCGTACACCAATTGAACAAGTACAGTTTTTATTTAATATTATACTTTAGTATTACAATATTATATAAGTGATGTATTTTATCGATTTTTATTATTTAAATTTAAGTTTCTCAAAAATCTAATTAAAATTATTTATGGCTTTTAATTATCATTGATGACTTAATACAGTGTTTATATTTGTATTGAATTCAGGTATTAAATGAACATAAGTCCTGTGAAGTGGATCCGAGTCGGTTCAAGGATAGCCAATCTTTGGCTACAAATATGGCAAATCTTAAGATATACATATCAAATACATTTCGAGCCATAACATCATCAGCTCTTAGATGTCCACAACTTATGTGTGAAGTGTTTTCAGTACTTAAAGACTTAGCCATAAAATACTTTCCCGAGAGTCGAGAAGTTTGTTATTATGTAATCTCTGGTTTTGTATTCTTACGATTCTTCGCACCGGCCATTTTGAATCCCAAACTTTTTGAAATAACTGATCAACAAATTGTATGATTTTGTTATTTTTATTGATTAAAATATTTCATTTATTGTATTGTATATAATGACTAATAATTTTATATTATAAACACAAAATAGGATTCACAAACAAATCGTACGCTAACTTTGATATCAAAAACTATACAAAGTATTGGAAATCTTGTTAGTTCTAAATGTGTACGTTATTATTAATTATTAATTATTAATTATTAATTATTAATTATTAATTATTAATTATTAATTATTAATTATTAATTATTAATTATTAATTAATTTATTTTTAATTAAATGTTTGAAACATTAACAGAGTTCTCAAGTAATAAAAGAAGAATATATGATAACTCTTTACAAAGAATTCTTAACCGAACAACACATTGAGTCAACAAAAGTGGTTTGTTTTATAAGTTTTATAACAATTAGTTAATTATTTGTGTAAATAATTGTTTGTATATATTGTATAGTTTTTAGAGTTGATATCTTCATCAACGACTTTATCGGTTCCCCGCGTGAATGAACCGCCGGTTATTCTAAAAGAAAGGTATTTTAATATAAATTATTACAAATATAATAAATATGTCTTTTTATACATTACTTAAATTACTAATAATTTGCTTACATTTTCTTTATTCTTATGCTTTCCTTATACTGTAATTGAAAGAAATACATTTAATAATAAGTAATAATTATAATAATGTAATTTATAATGTGTTAGAAATAAAAATTGATTTAATTATTGTTTAATATTATTTGTTAGTGTAATGACTAAACGAGCTCAAGGAAGACGAAGAAGAATTGGCATTGGATTCAGAAATTTCAAGAAGAGATACTTTTGTCTAAACACTCAACACTTTTTCTATTCAAAAGCCAAAAACAAGAGGCCGTTGTGTAGAATACCTATAAATGAAATACTGGCCGTTGAGAAACTACAGGAGCAGAGCTTCAAAATGAAAAATGTATTTATGTTTTAAACTTTGATTTACTAATTAATGTTTTCTCATTATTTGTTTATTAGATGTTTCAAGTGGTTCGCAAAGACAGAGCTCTCTATATTCAGGCGAGTAATTGCGTCGAAGAGAAGGAATGGATAGATATGTTGACAAAAGTATGTCAAACAAATCGCAATCGTCTTAAAGAGTATCATCCGTCGGCATTCATTAGTGGCCAATGGCTTTGGTAAGTGACTTAAAAACATAAAATTTATGTTAAATATATTTATTTGTAATTTTTTGAATAGTTGTAAAGCAACCAATGAGAACACTCCGGGTTGTTGTCCAGTATCGGTAACATCGCTACCTCCAGATCTGGGCGTCCATATAGATGCCGATCGAGAGATTGAACGAATTCATACGATATTCTTCCAAAATATGGATAATTTAGAAACTTTGATAGAAATGTGTGAAAAACAGCACTTATGTCATTCACCACGAATTAACCCGAACTCCAATTTGAATGCATTCAATAATACCCGAATGTCTCACTTTTTTATAGAAGATAGACATTCCTTATGGGAAACTCTGAAAGAGTTGAGACAATGTGTTATAAGACTCGAACAAAACCATAAACAATACATGAGAAGTGTTTGCGTGCGAACTATCTATGGGTCAGAACAGGCACCTATAGGTGATGACAACTACCTACTCATGTTAGCCAAACATTGTACCACTTAATCACTTAATTTATTTTTATACTCACCAAAAATCATTGCAAATATCAATTACAAATATGCATAACATTTTATAATATATTATCATCGAAATTGGATCTCTTATAACCATWATATATATATATATATATATATATATATATATATATATTTRTATATTTATATAAAACTTTTAAAATGTTTGTTTAAATTTTAAAACTTTTTCTGTGATCTTTAAAACAATGAAAATAGCATTTAATACAATAATTAGCATATATTTGATGAATTATATAAATATTTTTACATTACATTCCGTTTGAAGACTAACTAATATTTTTGTAATATAAAACATTATTTTAAAAACATGTATATAAGATACTTATTATTTTATACATTTTAACACTATTTTTCATTATTATTATTATTTATAAATTATATTTTGTACATTTTATCAATTTTACTAATAATGAATTTTCATGAATTAAATTTATAAAAATTTATTGACTCCAAGTGAGAAACGGTCATTAAATGTCTTCGCTTTGTTTAATATTGATTTTGTTTGCCGTGAATTCATTTTCCTAACCGACAGATCCTTTTCCCGATCAAATTCAACCCTTTCTTCGAGTTCTGGATTTGATTTCATTTCTTTTTTCTGTATTTATTAAACCAAATATATTAGCAAATCATTTGAGATTACAATTATAGTAATATATTGTAGTAAATGTTGTTTAGTAAACATAAGTATAACAGTTAATAAAATAAAATACCATTTTCTTAGACTTGTTTTGGTGGACATCTATAAGAGATATGTCTCTGTTTTGAGCCTTTATATAATCAAGACATTAGTATTTGTCATATAATTAAGATATAGATATATTTGAAACCTTATTGAAAGAGTCCATCATTTCTGTTAACTCTTGTTCTTCCTTTTGGTCTCTTTTGAGACATTTATCTCTAATATTGTCATCACTTTTAACCGAATTGACAGGTCTTTGGCTGAATTGAGTCACTGATTTCGTGGGTAACTTCGGTGCCAAAGAAGTGGGTATTTCAGTCATCCATTCTTCGCGTTGTTTTTTGATGTCTTTGTTTGCATTAATTTTTGATAATATTTGTGACGAATCGCCAAACTTTTTGTTTAATTTATCGTAATTATAATGTGATGGCAGAACTGGTCCAATCATATCATCGGAATCACTATCACTATCACTATCGTCACATTCAAGTGATGGACCACTTATAGCCATTTTGTCATATGAATCGTCATTACTTTCATTGATAGCATTTTCTAAATACTTTAAATGCTGTGGAAGTGTTGGACCAATTACAGCACTTTCGTCTTTACCATCATTACTATCGTCGTCTTCATTATGTCTTATCTGAAATCCAGGAGGAAGTGTGGGTCCGATACATGGTTTGACATCTGAAACAAGTGATGGTCCGTACACTTGATTGTCATTGTCATCATCAATGTCTTCACTTTGTTTGTTAGCATTTGGTCTCAAATGTGGAGGAAGTGTTGGTCCGATCATTGGATTTGACATCTTTGACAACGACTGGACAACTGATTGTAAACAGTATTACATTAATAAACATATATTTCTATAGATTTATATATTTATATATTTATGTGTTTAATATTCAATCGTTATATTGTTATCATTACATAGAGTTCAGACAACTTTCAAACCGATCAAAGTTCCCAAATAAATTCCCTTTAAGATTCAAATTCCCTATTTTTCAAAAATATTTCTAACCCATATTCAGTTTAAAATAAACATATAATTTATAATATTATAATTAAAGGCATAAAAAACTTAATTACTAAACATGACAATAATAATTGAATAATATTGAAATATTTATAAAAATATATACAGTATATTAAATATTGATAAATTCATTCATACAATTCAATATACTGTTAATTAACACATAACATGTGTTTTCAAATATGCTATTAATATTAAAATGTATTGTTTGAATTCAATAGATGGTCTCACATTAATATAACTTAACTAATTGTAAGTCAACTGTAACTTTTAAGACAATAAAAAATATGAAAATTTTTGATAATAAAAATTAGGTGGGAATTTTGTATAATGTACATATTGTAGTACATATGTACATAAAGTATGCTTATTATAATGTATTAATGATCTAAATTTTTTATACAGTTTTAAATATACAAAGTTTAATTTGTTATACAGTATAACTTTTACTGTTGTAAAATTTACAGTATTGGTAATGCTTTATACATTAAAGCCCGTAATTACGGCCCGTTTTAATTTAAATTTTTATTATAAATATATTTTAATTCTATAGTATTTATTGACAATAGCGATAAATAATTTGAAATATTAGTTTTGAATGTTATGAAAACTTTGTGAAAGTGTCATATCAACATTTGATTTTACAATTATCTGGTGAACAATACGTTGAATTAATAAGTGACCAAGGGCAATGTTGTAGATAAATTTAAAATAAATAAAATTGTAATTGGTCATTTTTTAATTAATTGTATTATATGCTAAATAATTTACAGTCGACTGTTTAAAAAATTTATAAATGATAGTCGACTGCATTTATCTGGCAAATCATACAATTAATTTAAAAATGACCAATTACAATTTTATTTAGTTTAAAATCATCTACAACATTGCCCTTGGTCACTTTTTAATTAAATGTGTTGATGACCATATAATTGTAATTAATATCATCTCCGCCGCCACTATTTAAGACTCTCTGTAAAAGTGTTGCCTACTGTATGTCTCACATATGATATCAATGTTTATAATGTGTTTAACTGTGTTATGTTAATACATGTACTGTAGATGTATTGTATAGCTTACTGTAGTTCACAGTCACACACACAGTGCTAGTGCTATACAGTATACACACAAATCTACTCCTATGTGGGTGTCGTTAATGAGTGTCGTATACTGTCTTTTATATATATTAATACACACGTAAAACCACTCCTATGCGGGGGTCGGTAATGGGGGTCGCTTACTGTCCTTTATATATATTAATATTGAATATTATACAATATTAGACTATACAATACAGTATTATAATGTATATCAACATTTGATTTTAAACAACTTTTTCATTAAATTAAATTAGGTAATTAAATAACATTAAGTTACAAAACTAACTTTATATACTAAATCATATTTGCATATAAAATATTTTATACAGGTATAATAAAAAAGTTTATATTAGTTAATACTGTAATTAATAATAATTTAAACATAAATAAATAATATAATTTGATTTATTGTACTATTATATGATTAGATAATATAGTTTTAAAGTTGTGTTCATTTTCTTATAGATTTTTTTTTGTAAATCTAATAATTTTAATAACACTGACGGACACAAACTGACAGAAATATCAAATTCAAAAACAACTTTCAGAAGTTCGTGAAAATTAATGTTTTAAACTTAATTCTATAAAATAAATCAAATTATTTATTAGCTTTACATCATTTAAAAACTTTTGAAAATTTATTAAACAATTTAGTAATGTGTAATTATAAATAATGTAAGATAAATAATTTAATGTAAAATAAAATTTATTTATATAGTAAATAAATTTTTTTATTGATGTTATAGAATATAACTACTGTAATGTACAATATATAACAAAAAGTGAAAAACATTTAATAAAATGACTAAAAGTATAATTTATTATATATTATTTAATATAAATAATTATTTTATTATTTTATTTTTATATCCACATAAATACTAAATATTTAATAATTGAATGTAAATATAATTTTACTAATTGTATATTACTTTATAATATATTAAAGTTCTGTTCATACGGTTTTGGTTTTGTTTTTAAAATACTTATTATTCGTTATTACAATAAGTTATTTTTCATTCGGTTTATTGGTTTGAATCTAGTTTTTTATAAAAATAAAGCTTAACTTCATTTAGAGCACTTGTTTTACAATTATTTTTATTTACATATTTTTTGTATATAAAAAAATTAAATTTTCTAAACATTAAATTATAAATATTAACATAATTTGTTTTTAAATAATTAATCTAAAGTAAAAATGGTAATTATTTTTGTAGTTACACTACGAAAAGTTTATAGATTTTTATAGTAAACATATTGATGGAAAACATTGATAATACTTTTAGTATTATATAGTAATTGTATTTTATAGTAATTTGAATTTAATATAACTATTATTCTAATATATCTAACATTTACTACAAAATGGTTAAAAATATTATCACTGTTTTCTATTACAACTATATTATGAATTTTAAAAATTTATGGACCTTTCTTACAGTATATAATCTTATATAATATTAATTAATATTTTAATAGTTTTTCAATACTACAATGTACTACATATTATTGTTTTAGTAAAGTCAATAATTATATCTATTATGATTAAAAATTTCAATTTATAACAATATTCAATCAATAAGATATATAATTTATAGAAAAATACTGTATAGATAATGTAACGGAAATTTACTCCCGGAGCCGGCAGGTTGGGTAGTAGTAGACACAATTTAGTTTAAAATAATTGACACACAATATATATATAAATATTTTTTATTGAATTTATACTGTAAATTACATACAAGTATACAGTAAAAAGTAGTACACTTAAAGACCCCGATTATATACTTTTCTGGGGCTTATATAGTAGKGCACTGGTAGGCATATAGAAGGTTCCCAATAGGGGATTGGTAGGAGTGCCATTAAAATATGTTAAAATAAATTTTAATAAATTGTAAATAAAAATTGTTATCGGAGTATATTAACTCCTACGTTAATTGATAATAAGTACWGTATATTTATACAGTATTTATAGACTTTATGTTAGACAGTTAGAGAAAATAAAAATTACTAATAATTTTCTTTATGAAATTTTTTAAGTAATAAAATTTTTAAGAAATTTCATTTTCATTATTATCTTTATGGATTCACATACAGATATATTGTAATTTGAATACATAATATACACATTACTATAATTTAAAAATGGATATATAAAATAAATATAATTATTTTATTATAATTATAGTTYTTTAAATACATTTAATTATTTTAAACTTTTTAGAATTTTTTATAAATTATTTACAGTACGTAGGAGTTAATAGTGTTTAAAAGTTTAATTGTTATATTATGTGTACATAAGATTTTATAAAATTATTTTTATTGATTAATATAATAAAATAGTATTGTATTTATTGACTTATTTGTAATAATTGTAATAAATGAAGAAACTAGTATTTAATAAAATAAAAGGCAATTGCAATAAATTGTAATTAATGGGAAATTGTTTGTTAGCTTACTGTAAGTGCACTAATTGCGGATACAGTGTTTTATATACAGTATATATATATATAGACATTTTTGTTAAATATAATTATTATAAAACACAAATTTGAGTAGTTTTAGCATATATTAAATGCATTTTACATTAGTTTTGGTTATATAGCAATTCATACCAAATTAAAACAAATATTTTTCATAAAAATTAATGATTTTGAAAAATTCTGTTTATTATACAGTGCATACAGTAAATACTATATATATGTATTATTTGAATTTCTTTATAAAATACGTTCATAGATTTATAAATAATCATATGTTTAAAATATGACTATAATTATATTGTAGTTACATTATCATAATTTTTATTTACATTATCTATAATAATGATTTTTATTTATCATTGCATATATTTAGAGTTCCGTCAATTTTTCAAAAAAAGAAGTTCCCGAATAAATTTCCTCAAATATTTTATTTTTCTCTCCTTAGCCATTAGATTATATTTAATAAAATTACAATAAAAGTACCAAAATTTTATTGAAATATTTTAATATATATATAATAAATTTAAGTACACTATTTGTTGATACTCACTAACTATATAATTGAATATAACATGTGTTTTTAAAAAGAAGTGTGACTTAGGGTTGAACACATTAAATAGATTCTCTGGGAAGTTCCAGGGAATGATAAAATATGGAATTTTTAAAAATAAATCGAGAGAGAATTTTCCCCAACTTTACATATTATATATTATTTGATTGTAGATTTATATATATATACACTATATATATATACATATTCATAAATATTTATCCAATTGTTTAATATATATTATATAATAATATGGTTAAAATTATAGAATACAATACTGTAGTAATAAACTATAATTTTTGTTTATTACTKTTATTTTATAATTTTTGAAAAATAATTTTTGAAAATATCATTAAAGTTAATTCATATATTTAAGTAATTATATATACAAGTATTGTATATGAAAAATGTATATTTTTCACAAAATATAAAACAATATTTATATAATTGATACACAAATACACATATTTATTAATATAATGTATTAATATATTTTGTATAAATAATAATATAAATAATATGAATAATATAAGTGAGACAATAGAGATGACTGTAATAACAATTTATGTATAAATAAGTATTTTATATAAATTTATGTTTATAGAGAAGAAAACATACATTTATTGGTATTAATAAAATATATAATATTATATAATATATGAAAATGTGTTAAAGCGTTGGCGTATTAGTAGTTGTGTTCAACTGTGGCTCTCAATCCTCACAACGACATTACGTAATGAATGTTTGCAACCATTCATTGATTTGATGGCAAAATGGGAGACAAATGTGAAGGAAAAGTGTCATTTCAGAGCTCCACTACATTGACTACATTGACTTCATTTGATATTTTTAACATTACTTAGACTAGTATTACAATTACTTTGAATTTACTTCAATTATAAATCATATATTTCTATTCATTCTATATTTTTATGTAAGTATTGATTTTATTTATGTTTAACTAAATCTATGTCAACAAAGTATATTATATCAGTTTATTTAAACAAATATATATATATATTGTATAAACTGACCCATAATATCATAATAATTGTATATTATTGACACCTGTATCATAAGGAATTGGTGATCAAATAATTATAATACTGTAGACTATCTAACCATTATATTAAGGGTTAGTTTAATATTTTAATATAAATTTATCTGTATATAAATTATATATTTATTTTATCATAATAAAATATGCTTATACAAAATATAATGCTAAAATTAGTGATAATATGTGGTATTGTAAAATGATTGGGTCAAATTATTTTATTATTTTTATCTAAACATTTTATGCATTTTATTTAATTGCTATTTAAAATATGTTAATAATATATAATTATATTGTTTATAATTTTATATTTCAAATATGTAATCAAACAATGATAATAATAACATAACAGCAGCTGTTTTGTTATTGTTTTATTAATTTACATTTTTATTATATTATTGTTATTATTACTTGAATATTTAATTCATTTAATTATAACATATACTTATGTGAAACTATTCACTATATAATATATTTTTATACGACCTCATAGAGTATATAAGTATTTACACATATATTGAAAGTGAATTATTTTGTATAGAATTTAGAATATTCCTAACACTTATAACCTTAATATTTGAATATATAAAACATAGACTTTTTTCTAAATTATTTATCCAAATATATGTCAACAACTCTATAATTTAATTAATATTTTATAAGTATGAAATTGAATATACATATTTATATAATAAATAAAAAATTATTATAATAATTGAAATAATCTATTTATCTTATTTTAATGATACAAATTACAAATAATTTTGATCATAAATTGAATGTCTGTTGTAATGCATTCATGCTTTTAATTTGATAATTAATGTATAAATGAAATCACATCAGTGTATATATACTGTATATAATATATATAAATTTTATATATCTGCTATAAATCAAATCTAGATTCAATATTTAGTTTATATTTTTGAAATAAGTTTTGTTTTAATGAGATAACATTTGATTTATGGTTAATGAGATTAATGTATTGTAATGCAATACTAAGTTATTTTTACATTAACATTAATATTAAAAGACAAAACAGGATTACTATTTTATTAACTCAATGTTTTCATATTATAAATTACTAAATAGTGTATAAATATAATAAATTTATATACAAATATCACCGAAAGAAATTATAATAGATTTAATGAAACATATAAACAAAAATATTTTCATGGTTTTTATGTGGTTTCAAAAATTTATTTATAATATTAATTACAATAAACTTCTTTATATTAATAGTAATAATTTTTTTTTATTAAATCGTTTAATTTTTAGCCTAATTTATTTGGGAAACATTGAAAAAATGGGTCAAAATCGCATAMATCAGTAGTTTAATATAAATGAATATTTTTGTTATTAAACTATTGCTATCATAAGCTAAGAATTTTCAGTTTTACAAGAATTTCATTAATTTTGTATATTTTTTATTTTTTGGTGTTTAATACATGTGTATCAATTGTAATATAATATTTATGGAATTTAAAAAATTTTTAAAAATATAACGTTAAACATAAAATTGTAATTATTATTCACATAAAGTAATAAATTTAAAAAAATTTAATTTTATATTTAACAAATATTTTAATTATTGTAGAAATCGTTGTAGATTTTAGTCAAAATGTTAGAGCCTTCGTCTTCTGAAGACGAGAATGAAGATGTGCTGCCAGAAGACGATACTTCGGGATCTCTGTCCACATCGACCACCAGTCGTAATGAAATTTCATCACAAATACCGCAAACACAACATCAATATCAACAACAAGCACCACCACCACCACAACAACMACAACAACAACAACAGCAACAACATCAACAGCAGCAGCAGCAGCAACAACAACARCAACAACATACTCAATATCTTCAGGCAAGTCCTCAAGTGCAGCGAAGTGTTAGTCCAGCCTCAGGTTCATCAGGAAGTGAGTCCATCCCTGTATGTCAGCCTCAAGTTAACACTAGTGACAAACTACTGGTGCCACAGACAAAGAGCAACACATCGTCCAATAGGTCTGTGAGTCCCTGTCCGTCAACAGCTAGTGATAATAAGGAAGCATTGGCTCAAAAACAATTGGATGACATTGAAAGGGTTGAACGTGAAGAAGCAGAAAGAAAGACTAAATTGCAATTATATGTATTTGTTTTAAGATGTATTGCTTATCCATTCAATGCCAAACAACCAACAGATATGACAAGAAGGGCTAATAAGATAAGTGGTCCACATTTGGAGCAAATTATCACAAGATTTCAAGCATTTCTTAAGGGAGATCTACAGATACCGGCAGACGAAGCGTTTCAAAATGCTATACAAAACTATTTTGAAGCCTTTCTTCAAAGCGATAGACTGATGCTTATGGTTCAGAGCGGCGCCTGTTCTTCACATGACTTTAGGGAAGTTTTTCGAAACAATATTGTAAAACGTGTCCGAAGTTTGCCCGAAATCGATGGATTAAGCAAAGAGACAGTTGTGAGTTCATGGCTTCAAAAGTTTGATACTATATTCAAAGGTTGTGATGACGACGTCAAGAAGTTGACCGGAACTAAGATGCAACAATACCAACAACAACAACAACAAAATCTGGCCGCAGAGCTGATCCTTAGCAAAGAACAGCTCTACGATATGTTCCAGAATGTGCTCAATATTAAGAAGTTTGAACACCAACTTCTTTATAATGCTCTTCAGGTGACTTTGTTTTCAATATTAACCGATCATTGTTTGTGTTTAATATCGATTACTATTGATATTATAGTTAGATTCAGCCGATGAACAGGCGGCTGCCATTAGAAGGGAATTGGATGGAAGGATACAAAAGTCTAATGAAATGGAAAGGGTTTGACATTTATTTAAATGATTATTAAAATCATTTAAATATCTAATAATTAAATGAATGTTTTCTAATTAATTTAAAGAATCGTAAACTTATGCCAAAGTTTGTGCTCAAAGAGATGGAGTGTTTGTTTTTAGAAGAAGTTCGGTCTTCAATAAACCAATTAATGGTAAACCTCGAGAGCCTTCCTGTGTCTAAAGGAGGTGCAGACAGTCGATATGGTCTTCAAAAACTAAAACGTTATAATCATAGGTATGTTTTTGTTATTATTTTCTGCGTTAACTTGAATACTGTGTTAACTATAATAACTGAGTATTTAGCTTATTGTTGATTATTGTGTAAATTGAGTTTTTCTTAACCTTAATATCATTGTTATCTCCAATGCTTACCAATCTTTATGATGTGGTATTTATATGTCGATTGTAAAGCCGTCGTCGAGCATCAATCCTAAGGTCAGGTAGACTTGGCTTTCGTCTTATTTCTTATTAATGCACTTCCAATGCACTAAACTTTTGCACTGATATGTCATGCATTTGACCATTTGGTCACTTCATATCTTCAGTCAAAAACAAATGCTTTTCAATTTTATGTCAAAAACTGTTTCATGTAATTGTCAGCAAATTTAATGTAATTGCAAGTGTTTTGCAATAAATTCACTGAATGTCATTATAACACTTATTGAAATTATTTTATTTATTTTTATTTTATTATTTATTTTTTTTTGGTTTTCAGTTTGCAGCAAAACTCCACCCTAAAAGCCCAATGTTTTACTATAATAAACATCAATAAAATTATAACTTATCTACGGTCTCCTCTTTGGACTATTTTTTATGATTTAATCGTTTTTTCTATTGCTTACATGTATGATAACATTAATATATTTGTCATAATTATAGAATTTAACATAAATTTTAAAATTATTTGATTAATGCATGTAATATACTGTAGGATTAATTATAATATAAAATAAACATTAATTAACATAATTATATAAAAAAACTATAGAAGTCAAGCATCACTTGCACGGGACGGACTGGTAGAGGATACAGAAGTGATTACATTATCTAAATTTGATGTTTTACTTTCGTTTACTATTGAAGGTATTAGTAATTTTAATCGTTTTATAATTTAAATTATATATTATTTTATACCACAGTTGTTGTAATGGAGGTGCGGGGGTTAAAATCATTGGCACCAAATCGTGTAGTTTATTGCACAATGGAGTTGGAGGGCAGTGAGAAATTACAAACTGACCATGCTGAGGCTTCCAAACCTATGTATTAAAAACATTAATTTATTAATAGTAATAAACTTATTAACTTTTGTTTATTGTAATTTGTTAGGTGGGATACTCAGGGAGATTTTACAACAACATATCCACTTTCTATAGTCAAAGTTAAATTATATGCCGAAAGTCCGGGTATTTTAAGTCTTGATGACAAAGAATTGGGTAAAGTTATAATAAAACCAACGCCTTTGACATCAAAGACTCCTGAGTGGTATAAAATGACAGTTTCTAAGAATGCTTCCGACCAGGACTTGACCATCAAAATCATTATCCGAGTCGATAGACCACAAAATATGAAACATTGTGGGTATTTGTTTGCTCAGGGAAAGCAGGTCTGGAAAAAATGGAAACAACGGTATTACATATTAGTTCAGGTCTCGCAATACACGTTCGCAATGTGTAGTTATCGGGAAAAGAAGTCCGAACCGACAGAAATGTTACAATTAGATGGATATACTGTTGATTATATTGAACCCATCCCTGAGTTAGAAGAAGGCAAACACTTCTTTAATGCCGTCAAAGAAGGAGATAGTGTTGTGTTTGCTTGTGATGATGAAAATGAGTGTCATTTATGGGTTATGGCTATGTATAGGGCAACGGGTCAGGCACACAAACCAACACCTCTAATGCAAACTTTATTTAATAAAAATTCAACGATATCTCGATTACAAGGAGGTATTATTTTTAGATAATTATTTACATTTCACTTATTTAATAATACTTTTATTTTTATTTAACTTTTCAGATGCCGATAGGGCCCGAAAGCATGGAATGGATGAATTTATATTATCAGATCCGTGTCGTTTCAGTCATCACCAATTATTTAGATTATTACAGAGAGAATCACTTTTATTTAGACTAAACGATTTTTATTGTTCTCTCGGGTGGTTCAGTCCGGGACAGGTATTTGTTTTGGACGAATACTGCGCTCGATATGGAGTTAGAAGTTGTTACCGACACCTGTCATACTTATGTGATTTACTTGAATTTGCCGAAAAGGGTACTCTCATTGATCCGACATTAATTCATTATAGTTTTGCATTTTGTTCATCACATGTTCACGGAAACAGGTATGTATAATCATTTTTTACTAATCATATGTTTTATTGCTTACTGATACAGTATTTATCATTTAAATCCTTTAAACGTTAAATAAAATAACAATAAATTGCATTTTAATAATTGCAATTACTTTGACTAATCAAATTCCCTAAATAAATAAACTAAAAATTAATTATAAACAATGACATAATAGTTAAGCATTTATTGTAATCGCACACCAATATAAGTCCATATATAAGTCCTTAATATATTGTCTCTAACCCCCTTTGGACAGTACAACTGCACCCCCGATCGGACAAATCGCATTCGACATAAGGTATGTCTCAGATATGGCATGAATTTCATGTTAACCTCACACTAACCACACATTTCTATGCACCCAAACCTCAAATAGTGTTATATAGTTGTTATTTAAAAATATTATTTCATATATTGCATTGATTATTATTTGCTTTTGGATCAACTTTAATACAATTAATTACTAATGACTATATGTGGTAGACCTGATGGTATTGGAACCGTCACCGTTGAGGAGAGGGACATGTATGCCGGTATTAAGGAAAGACTCAAATGCTTATTAGAATATCAAATAACAAACTATAGGTATGATTACCTATTGGCACTGTTGAATAAAATTGATAATTCAATAATATTTCGTAAATTAAATTTATTGTTATATATTTAGATATTGTTTTCCTTTTGGTCGACCCGAAGGCTCATTAAAAGCTACTCTCTCTTTATTAGAGAGAGTATTAATGAAAGATATACTAACGCCTGCACCTCCTGAAGAGGTTAGAGGTGTAATCAAGAAGTGCCTCGAAAATGCCGCTCTCGTCAACTATACCCGCATTTCAGAAGTGGCCAGAATTGAAGGTATTGTCTAACAATATGACATTTATACTATAGCTAAGCTCAAAGATAACATTATTATAAATTTTTATGTAATTAACAGAAATAGCAGCGGACAAGACATTACATCCAAGTGTTAAACTCCAACATTTGGTTCATTTAGCAGAACTTTGTGTTGATCTCATCCAAGAAAATAATGAACACTACGCTGAAGTAAGTTTTATTATTGATATTTTAGTTTATAATTTAAACTATATATATATATATATTGATAAAAAATATTCATATAATAGACAATTTTACTTTATTTGTTATTTTATGTTATCAGATTTTTTTTAATATAAAAATGTTTAATATTATTCAATGCATGCAATGTTTTGCATTTACCTGATTTGTTTGTATTATTTGCTATTCATCACCACATTCACTAAATATTAATTACCGATAGTTACAACTTATATTGTATTTTAAACACACATTAAAATTACTGTAGTTTTGTTTATTATTCAAATGGTCTTTAGGTTAGGTCTGAGATATTTGTTATACTAAACTAATAGCTTTTACTAAAATAATATTATTAAAATGTATTATCGAAAAAAAGAATCAGATATAATATATAAATATAAATAATAAATTGTAAAATATTAATTTTTGTGGAAACTATTGATATTATGATAAAATTGTATTTTAAAGTTTAAAAAAATACAATCTCTTATTATAAATTAGTAAAAATAATGGTAAGTTTTGATAATTTGTATTTTCGCATATAATTTATATACACATTATATGTATTATAATATTAATGAAATACCAAATATAAATTTTACAATATTAACTTATAATTGATTATTAATTATTAGTTAATTATTGATWCAACGTGTGATGGATATTATAGAATATTTGATAACAAGTGTATCAATCCTAGCCAAGTGACCATTTGATTATCTATTATATCTATTTTATTAAAATATTTTGTGTAAACCATTGCCACCAATTGATATCTATTTCTTTCTTTGTCTTCTCTTGTTGTACTGTCTGTGTTGTCTGTAATGTGATGTACAGGCCTTTAGAGGGGTGAGTGTTTTGATTGATTCACTTATGTCTAAACATTTAATTTAATGCTAATCTCTTACCTAAATAATAATCCTATGTTATGCATCATGTATTGGATGTGATTAACATTAAAACTAAAAGAAGGACAGAGTAAGTGCCTATAAGTAATTCATGTTTTAAATTATATAATTATAAAATGAAAAAAAGTCTAAATTAATTGATTAAATTAATTGGAAATAAAATATATAAACCATTATATTATTTGTTAGGCATTTGCCTGGTTTTCCGACCTATTGGTAGAACATTGCGAGATATTCTTCTCGTTGTTTGCCGTCGATATGGATGTCATACTCAATGAACAGCCGCCCGACACGTGGGAGAGTTTCCCGTTATTTCAAGTCTTCAATAATTACCTCAGACTTGACGGTAAATACTATATTAATATTCATCTAAAATGATTTTTATAACAATATTATAATATAAATATAAAAAATTATATAAACATTTTGTTATATTTAATTAAAAATAGAAAATCTATGTGGGGGTCGATTTCATACTCAATTGAGAGACACATTTGCTCCACAAGTGGTCAGATATGTTGATTTAATGGAGTCATCAGTTGCACAGTCATTACATAAAAGTTATGAAAAAGAAAAATGGGAATTAAAAGGGTATTTAGTATTACTTTAAATATATTTGCTTTATTCAAATCATAATTATTTTTTAAAAAACTATTATACAATAGTTTATAAAAATATGATTTTAAGTAAATCATATAATACTAACAAAACTAGTGATGAATCTACAGTATATAATATTAATGTTATCAATCTTATTAATCAAATACTAGTTATATTGAAAATAATAAAAACTTGTAATACATTTTTTTCACCAATACTAACATTATAATACTGTACATGTTTGACAATCTTATATTTTATAAGTTTTATATATACAACACATTAATAATATTATAAGTAGGCTTTTTTATTTAGCATTTCTACATAAATAATAGATTTAATGACTGATTTGAATATATTAAAATAGATCTTGCTTATATTTTATATATAATATTTTATTTTAAAAATTCAACTATTATTAAATGTATTAAAAATATAGTTTACTGTACAATATATGTAATAAGAAAATCTATTAATTATGATCTTTACTTTAAGTTGATTATACAATAATGTAATTTATTTAATATTATTCTTATTTATCCTTAATTTTATTGCTATRTATATAACATAAGATATGGCAATAAATTGTACAGTATTTGCAATATTTTTAAAAAATAATTATGAATTTATCTCATTGTGAATATTAATAATTAAAAAATATTTATAAATTTTCTTTAATAATGTCTACTTAAAGTGATTACTAAATTTGTTTGCAAATTAAATTGAAAGTAAATTATAAATTTTAATTAATTATGAAAAATAATTGTCAGACCTGTTGGTTGTGCGGCTTCTGAAGACTTGTTCTGGAAGTTGGATGCGTTGCAGACCTTTATTCATGACCTCTTCTGGCCGGACGAAGTGTTTGCCAAACATTTAGAGCAAAGACTCAAATTAATGGCCTGTGATATGATGGACGCCTGTATTAATCGGACACTACAAGCATTTCAAACGTGGGAACGTAAGGGTAGTACCCGATGGAACAGTACTGACTATATCGTGCCCTCAGAGATGTGTGCTATGATTAATGTCATACTCGAAGCTAAGTCACAATCGCTTAAGTTATGTACTTTCGATGGCGTCGACACAGTATGTCCTCATTTTACACAATCATTTGTTTCAATATATTAATATTTCAGTTATTATTTAAAATTAATTCAATAGCATCAATACCACAGCAAAATTGACAATTTAGTTGATAAAGCATTAGTTGATATGCAAACCGGATTAATAGCAAAGGTTTGTATTAATTATAACATATAATAAGTTTGAATTAAATAATAAATAATATTATAATAATCTCTGATATATCAAAAGTAAAGCTTAAAATGTACAAATAATAACCAAACCTTAACTATATAGTAAATATAACTTTATATATATATCGTATATATATATTAATTTTTAAAAAATAAAATAATACAATTTTTATTTAAAATTACTTTTTAAACAAATTTTTAATACTGAATAAATGAAAGACATGAAATAAGACAAAATAATTAAATAAATAAATAATAATTAGTTACATGTTTCATAATTAATTACCTTGATGATTGGTTAATTTGTAGAACAAGTCGAATCTAAATCGAATGCATTAGATTCTATATTTTTAGGAATAAATAATCAAATTCTAATAATAAAAATAATTAATTATATATTATATATTTAATATTATATAATTAATTATTTTTATTATTAGAATTTGATTATTTATTCCTAAAAATATAGAATCTAATGCATTCGATTGATGCATTTAATTGATTAATAAATTTATAAAAATTCTATTAGTTTCAAAAAATGTTGTGTAATCACTAAAAATAATTTTTGAAACCGATTTTATTAAATATTATATTTGATTTTTATTATAATTTTAAAAATATTTAGATGCTTAGTATATTGGAGGCCAGTATTGCCAAATTATCCCGTTATGATGAGGGCAGTCTATTAGCTCCAATTTTATCATTAACTGTAAGTTATTTTTAAGCTTAAATAAATTTATATTAATTTTTTAAAATAAATTTTTGAATTAATGTAATATATTTTATAAAATAATTAGTATAACAAAGGTATGTCTAGTTCTGGTCGAGAGGTTGGCAAAGCATATGTCAATTTTGTACGCAATAGTACTGAACAATTGAGACAAAAAGTTAGCGACGAATTGTGGGTCATTAGTTTGTTTGAGGTATTAAATAATTTATTTAAAAAATTATTATTAAATCAAAATCATTTTTTATAGCAATGGTATTCATCACAAATGAACCTTATATGCAATTGGCTATCGGAGCGCATTGACCACGGATTGCATTTATTTCAATTGTCTGCTCTTTCCTTAATTGTTAGAGTAAGTATACATTCAATTGTTTTCTCATTGTTGTATTAATAGTTAATATTTTATATAATTTATTAGAAAATCTATTCAGACTTTGAGTTGAATGGTATTGAAGAGGAGAAACTAAATAGCAAAGTATATCAAACCATAATGAGTCGGATCCAACTCGAAGAAGCCGCCGCTTCCGTCACTAATGGACTAAATCGAGAAAATGAAGATTCAGAGTATTCATTGATTTTTAATTTATTATTGGATTCTTATTAATATATTTTTCTAAATTTATTTATACTTTATAGAGAATATCCCGAAGTAACTGAAACATCAGCTAAGGGTAAGACACCGGGTCTTAATAGAGCTGATTCGGAGTCTGGAGAAGGAATGGTTAATCGATTGCAAAATGCAACCCAAAATGTAATGGGAAGGATATCTGGTATCGGTAGAGGTGTCGGAACCATTGGTGGAGGAATCGGTGGTTTTGCCAATAAATTTTTGAATAACAAGTTTTAGTCAAACAAATGAATTTGTGATCTCTTCCGAAATTCTCATATTTGATATTTATTGATATGAAATATCAATCAATACATAATTTGTTAACATTTAAACATAAGAAATATAATTGATTTTTATCTAATTATTTGCAAATATATCAGAATATCGTAAAATGAAACCTTTATATACAATATGTTTTCCTTATGTTTATTGCTCACACAGAGATTAATATAAGATATGTACAGTAAATTCATATTAAAATAAACACAAAAACATCTAATTTATTAAATTAAAATTGACTTGAAATGCTATGGTATTGCCTTTGAATGCACTCAACAATTATAGTCATAAAACACTGAAATTATTATTAATTGATTATTTATTTGAAATTCAAATTTTGAATATATTGAAACAGTATTATCGTATGTTTATACCTAATGGTTATAGTGGGGGTGGTTTAAACCTTGATTATAATATAAGTTAATTCACAAAAAAAAGAACCCAAACAATTGTCTCATTATAACAATTTAGTTAATATAAAAATTGCATTAACTTTAACAATGCAAAGCATTTATAACAAACAAATCAATAATACATTTAATAATATGAGATATAATACAAATAAAATTATAATTTAATATAAATTTTTGTTTTATTTAATAATATCTTATGATTTGCTGGCATTTCTCAGTCTTGACTATGCATTTAATTAATTCATTATTTCATTAATGCATTTTATGTTATATATTAATATATTTATATATTGTCTAAATATGTTTATATCAATTTAGAGATTAAGATAACTAAACAAATTGTAAATTAATGTTTACTGTTAGCACACATTCATATATTTATTGTATTGTTTAAGTGTGAAATGATTATTAATGTTAAACCTATTCAAATTTTTTATAATATTTTTATTATTATTATTATTGTCCTCTATTTGTATTTTTGAAAAAATTGCCTCTCAATCAAGTATTCATCAAAATTTATAAAACTACCCTGGCAACTTTTTTTTGAAAATATCATATATATACAAAATCAATTCAATCTATTATATACTACAGAATTTTTAATAAAATATTGTTAAATATATATTTAATTAACTTTTAAAATAGATATATAATAATTATTACTGTAAATTATAAGCTGTTATTTTTAAAACAATTAATATCAGGGTATATACAGTATATATATGTATAATTATGTTATGTTATATTGATTGAGATGGCGGTTATTTAACAAGAAATACAAATATTTGGTCATTTAATATACAATAATGATTAACACCAAAAATTACCTTGATACACTCATACACATATATTATTTTTGATCTCTATCTACCAATTGTGTCATATAAATGCCTTTATGTAAAGTGGTTTATATAATGTATAATTGTTTACAAATTTGTTAAAATCTATAATTTATATTTATATTGTTTATAAACGTTTTAATACATATTATTGAAATTTATTATAATTTTAATTTTGATTATAATAATACTTAGAATCCATTAGAACAACGAATTATTAACTAGATCATTTTCTTTTATTGATATTATCGTAGTATATCATACCCTCCGTTAGATATTATTATTAATTTTAATAAATATTTAAATAATAATTAAATCTTATAAATTATATAAAATAAAAGTAAATGTCATCTACTTTTTAAAAGTTTATCTATGCTATCAATAATAATAATTATTATATTACTAAAGTTTATCTAAATAAACAATTTATAATTAATTATACAAATATAATTGATTATTACATTAATTAGATGTGAATTTATTATATTAAATTATAAGGTTTGTAATTATGTTATTAATTTAAGAAATATTTTTTCAATTATTATAATATAAAGAGTACTCCTTTTATAAGTATTTTGCGTGCAAACTGACCCAACTCTACAATCAATTTTGAAAATTTAAATTAACATATTATAAACAATGAATTACTAATGCATTGATAAATCAACTAAAAGTAAGTTAGTTTAAAATAAATTTTATAATAGATTTATCAAAATAGTTTGGCATAAAAGACATAAAAATACAATAACTTAAAGATATAATAATTAATTAAATATATAATAAACATTTAGTACTAAAAATTACAATATTTGTAATCTGAAATTTAAATTTTATTTTGATAAATATAAATATAACATATTCAAACAAATTTTTTTCAAATTTGTTTAATGAATTCTATATGTGTGTGTGTTTTGTGAATTTTGAAATTATGATTTCAGATTCGGTTAGATCATCAAAAATAAGGTATAGGGGATCAGCATTAAAATTTTGTTATCTCTTCAGGAACATAGAGAAAATGGCGACCAAAGTACAAAAAATTTTAGTTAACAATTTTAAAGATAAGATTTGAACAAACCATTATAAGTAAGGTATAGAAATCAGAATTAAAATTTTAATATATTTTCCGATACATAGAAAATGGCGGCCAAAGTATAAAAAATTTAGGTTGAAACTTTTGGTTTAGATTTTATTAAGCATCAAAAATAAAGTATAGGAATCAGAATTAAAATTTTTACCTCATCAAGAACAGAGAAAATTGCGGATAAATTAATATATTATAAAATGATCTAGAAATCATTATAAAAATACAATTTCATCACCACAAATATTGCATCATCAGAAATATTGCATCATCAGAATTATTGCATCATCAGAAATATTGCATCATCAGATATATTGCATCTACAGAAATATTGCATCATCAGAAATATTGCATCATCAGATATATTGCATCTAGAGAAATATTACATCATCAGAAATATTGCATCATCAGATATATTGCATCTACAGAAATATTGCATCATCAGAAATATTGCATCATCAGAAATATTGCATCATCAGATATATTGCATCATCAGAAATTGCATTCAGAAATATTGCATCATCAGATATATTGCATCTACAGAAATATTGCATCATCAGAAATATTGCATCATCAGATATATTTCATCTACAGAAATATTGCATCATCAGAAATAATGCATCATCAGAAATATTGCATCATCAGAAATATTGCATCATCAGAAATATTGCATCATCTGATATATTGCATCTACAGAAATATTGCATCATCAGAAATATTGCATCATCAGAAATATTGCATCATCAGATATATTGCATCATCAGAAATATTGCATCATCAGAAAATCAATAAATATTTTGTTTATAATATGACAAAAACAAGTAATTTATGCGTTAAAAATTTGTTTTTGGTAATGCTTACTAGCATTCTCAACTGGTTTCTTTTATAACTAAAAAATTAAATATTTGCATTAGTTTACAGGAAAATTGAAGGGAACATATTAGGGAACTTTCTCCTTAGAGATGCCCTAACTCTACATATGTAATATTTCTTTAATAACTTGATTATTATTATTTTAAAAGCATATTTTGCGTTAATTAATAAAAAAAATAATTATTAAACTTATTGTTTTGTTACCTATATTTACCAGTGTTGGCAGAGACAAAGTGTATGTATAATACAAAGCGTATTATACAGTATAATACAATGTAAATTACATGACAATTTTGGCTTACAAAAAAAATTTAGCGCCACCTAGTAATAAAAATACTAAAATTCACAAACAAACACGTGTTTTGTAATAATAATTATTTTTTTATATTGAAAACATTTGAAATTAGCTATTCAATTTAATTCTGTTATTGAAATATATTAATAAAATAATTAATATTAATTTTAATAGTTTTAGAAAACAACGATTCTAATAACGATATTAAAATTATGTAATAATAATAATAATTTTAATAAAAATAAATATTTTATCATTGTTAATGTAATTTATCTATTATTGTAAAATACATCCAGTACATTGTATTTTACATAGCCAAAATTGAAAACCTTGTATTTTTCCAACCCTGATATTTACTGTAAATAGTGTTATATTGATGAAAATAATTATTTTTCTGTAATTAATTAGGGCATTACTTACCTTAGAGGGCTTCGTTTTTTATATTGTTTTTAAAGTATAATATAAAAGCATTAAACTTATCTTTACATTTGGGTTAGTTTGTGGGGGTGAGTTGGGTAGGGTGTGGGAGGTTAGGAAGTGGTGGTGGGGTGGGTGAAGTTAGATAGTAGTGTGTTAAGTAGGGGTGGTGTGGAGTCATATTATGATTTATATTTTTTTTTATTTCTAATGTGAATACAATTAAGTGATTTCACGTGCAAATAGTATTATTAATACATTTAATACAGTGTTGTAATGCACGCGCAAACAATATAAAAAACGAAGCCCTCTAAGGTAAGCGTTGCCTTAATTAGTTTTTATTTATTTATTTTAAAACTAACGCAATATTTATTTTTTGTTTAATATTAATGTGTAGTTGTATTATTAATGTTTTATCAATTATTTCTAAATTTTAAATACAGATTATAGTTAAAATTTGTTTTTATTAAGTTAAAAAATATTTTGAAAAATAATGTAATTTATTGGGAATATTACCTATTTTTCTGGAAATTTATAGGGAATATTCGTAAATTTAAGGAATTTTACCCCCCATAATCTTGGATTTTTTAAAAAATTGCCATTTAAAAAAATGCAATAAAAGTCTATATCCACCCTATACCCCCTGATTTTTGTAAGTTGATCCCCCTCTAGACTCCCCCTAAAATGCAAAACCTTGTTAAACCAAAATTCATGTTATTTCCATAATATTAATCATATTTCGTAGTTTAATAGTCCTTAATAATATTTAATGCACTATTAATACAGTAAAGATATAACAATTTAATGCAAATAAAATAAAATAATTATTTCACAAATTACTACAGTATTGTTATTAATATAAATTTTAATTATCAATAATTTGTTTAGAAATTAGAAATAACTTTCATATTTACAATAATTTTATGAAACAATTAATCTAAGATTTGCAAAATTATTACTTCAAATATTATAGTTAACCAATTAAACAGGTATTTCAACAAATATTACTAAACTATAATATACTGGTATTAATATTAACAACAATTTGATATATCATATGATATATCAATTCATATACAAATAAATTATAGTATATTTTATATAATATTTCAATACTGTATAAATTTATCATTTTATCATATTTACAGTACTTGTAACTTATATTAATGACATTTAATATCAAATAACTATTACTTGAATGAATTAATAGTTAGTAAATTATAAACAGTAAAAATGATATATTAATTGTTAATTTATTGTTAATTAATTAAATTAAAGCATTTGGTGTTAGAGTACATTAGATCTGATGTTAAACCATATAATAACTGTATAGATGTGACCAATGATTGTATGTGTTATGTGTTATGTGTTATACATTGTTATTATAATACAGGTATTACTGACATAATTGAAATCATATGGTATTATAACTACTGATTCAATGATTCAGTGAAAACATGAAAACTTTGCTACAATTTTATCAATATTTATGTTTTAATTGTTAAATCACTATTTGAGTGATTCATTTAGTAATCATTACTGAAATTTACTTAACATTTGACACATTGATTGCCAATAAATAGCAATTAAAAGGTAAACAATTGATTGATTATTTGAGTAAATAATATAAACAATGAATTATTAAATCAATTGACAAACAATGAGACAATTGATGTATTGATGTATTGATTATTACATGATATGACTACTAATGTAATATTATTGTATTCATACCATTAGACCAAAGTTGGATCAATCGGGTGATCGACAAACCAATTGATAGCCGCGATGTCCGCTGAAATTCGACCGTTCAGTGACTCAATGTCTGTGACCAACAAAATGGAGTTATTGTCTAAACTAGAGGGTCATCAGGATGTGGTCAATATGGCACTGATTTTGCCCGCAGAGGATGGAGTGATCAGCATTAGTGACGATAAGTATGATTACAACTCAATAAACAAATTAATAATATTGACATCTTTTAGATCAATTCGTATTTGGCTTAAGAGAGATGTCGGCAATTACTGGCCATCTATTTGTCACATTCTTCCAGGTATTTCAAGTCTTAATTTAAAGCAATTAATGGACTGATTGTATGACTTACTTGTGATGATAGCGCCGGCCATTTGTATGGATTTTAATAATGAAACAAAACGTTTGTTTGTTGGTCTCGACAATGGATCCATTTCTGAGTTTACAGTGGCTTCTGATTATAACCGTATTGACCACAAACGCAATTATTTGGCGCATCAAAACAGAGTTACATCTGTTATCTTTTCATTGGTCACTGAATGGGTCTTAAGTGTTGGTCGCGACAAATATTTTGTTTGGCACTGCTCTGAAACTGGCCGAAGACTCTGTGGATATCTTTGCAACAGTTGGATCACAGCTCTTCAGTGAGTTATTATTAAAAACTAAAATAATACTATTGTTAATGAAATTGATTTATCATAACTATAGATTTGATATGCAATCTAAACACGCTTTTATTGGTGATTATAACGGAAGCATTACAATGTTGAAGATTGAAGAGAACTCTTTTAAACCAATTACCAGTTTGAAGGGACACTCAGCAGCTATTAGATGTCTTGCCTGGGATTCTAGTAAACAAATGCTATATTCTGGAGGTTTCGACAAAATTGTCATCTGTTGGGACATTGGAGGCAAAAAAGGAACCGCTTATGAATTACAAGGACATCAGTTAGTCTTCATTATATTTTTAATTGTTTTGATTTAATTTTTAATTAGATTAATAATGTTTTTATGATTTATAATTTATAGTAATAAAGTAACTTCTTTGGTTCACTCAAACACATCACAACTATTGTTATCTTCAGGAGAAGATAATATGATAATTGCATGGAATATGACTAAAAAGAGATGTGAAGTTAGTTTATAATAATGATATTATTGAAAATTTAATACTTAACCAAATATTTGCTAAAATTTGATGAAATTTAATAGACTCCTGAATGGGCCGAAAATGATAATTGTCAGCGATGTCAGAGACCATTCTTCTGGAATATCAAATCCATGTACGACCAGAAGACAATTGGATTGCGACAGGTTTTGATTAAAAATATATTATTACCGATAATAATAAATAAAATATATTTTAATTAATTAATAATAAGCATCACTGTCGTCGTTGTGGAAAAGCTGTCTGCGATACCTGCAGTTCCAACAGAAGTGTCATTCCTATTATGGGATATGAATTCCGTGTTCGTGTTTGTGATGAGTGCCATAGTGTTATCACTGATGCCGAGTATGACATTATGATTACATTTTAAATTTTAATTAATTATATTTAATATTATTTTTTTAAAGTCGTAGTTCTCTTGCATCATATCATGACTCCAAACATTGTATAATGCATATGGATGTCGACGAATCTCGAGGACAGGCACTTACTTCAGGAGCAGATCGTGTTATTAAAGTAATACAACAAATGTTGATTTTAATCATATATTAATTGAGTTTTTTTTTTATTTTTTAAACAACAAGTTATGGGACGTATCAAAGATTTTGAATTCATTGTGAAATAAAGTATTATTGCCTTAACTTATTGGCACAAATGTTTTAAACCAATTATTTAACATTTGTTAAATCCTACACTTTTTAAAAAGATTTTTCTTTTAAAATAGATTTTCTAATTTTGTCCTAAATCTTATTTTATAATTAAATATATTCTATTTACAAATATTTATTACGTTATTTGAATGCATAAATTATGAGATTAATGTTTAATTATTAAAAGATTTCTCTTTATATTACATTTTGTCAAAAAAATAATTGTCAATACAAACGATAGATTTTATTGTTATATAAATTTTTATATTATACATTATTTACTGCAGTATATAAACTATGAGATTGAGATACAAATGATAACATTATGGATGCAAAACAGGTGCCACTCTTACAATAGTCGTTTCCCGAGAGGATATAGGGCTCACCGATCTCTATGTCTACAGCCGTGTCTGTCATCAAAAAATCTAATGTTTTTAAGTCCTCACATCTTATATCAATAATTAATTAACTAAATAATTATAATATATATATACTTTAATTGCCATTTTATTTTATATATTAATAATATTTAATTTTGTAAAATTATGTTTTAATGGTTGGATCAAATCTATTGAAATTGTTTATAATTATACAAATTTCTTTACTAATTAATTTTGATATAATTGCTATTGTTTTCAATTGGTTGAAACCTTAAAGTATTGATAAATATTTACTAAAGTTTAGATAATTATTAAGTAGACTACAGTATATTTTATTCAATATAGCAGATCATGTTATTATAGATAATTGAGTCCAATACCGGTAATCAATTGTTTTAATATTATATAAATTGATATAATGTCACAAAATAATTCAAACACTTAGATTTGTAATTGTTGTTAAAAATAATTATTATTTCTTATATAATATCAATCAGCATTTGATTATCAAGTGGTAAACATTTTGTAATGTATTTACATCTTTGAGGACGTTTTCATAGGTAACTAATGACAAACCAATGATGTATTGATATGTTTAGGCCAAAGCTATCCAATCTACGGTACACTGTATATTAAGTTAGTATTTTTAATAAGTTTAATATTGCTATATATATATGATATTTTGATATTTAAAAATAAATTTGATATTAATTTACTATATATTTTAATGATTTTATAATATATTTATATGATTCATGAGTAGTTATTTGTGCGGGAATGGGGTGTATAGTAGCAGCACTTATGCCTGTATTGCAGTGACAGTTGAACACACCATTTACCTGTTGAATGCATTGAATACATTGAATACATTGAATACATTGAATACATTGAATAACTTTGTAAAGTTGTATATTAGAGGGTATATACAGTACACCAATACAGGTAACCAATAGGTATATCAAAGTATTGTGTGTCTCTCACCACTCATACATTTGTCACAACATTACTGACTCGACTCACTTAATGTTTGCCAACAATCTCTCTAAAAATGTCTTAAATAAATTTAATTTAAATCATTAAATGATTTAAACTAATATTTATTTAAAAAACAATTTATAATATCTGCAAATTTGTTTCAAGTGTCGCAAACTTTATACTAATTTTACATTCAGTTAATACATTGAATAAGGTTTGTACTCAAGAGTTGATCGCCATTTCATTTGCAAGTTTTGGTAAGTTTTATGATAATTACTAATTTTCAATAACTTTATTATTTGTCACGATTTATGTTTATAAAAGTTTCAAAAGTTTTATTTGCATTAAAAAGATCGCCAAAAATCGATAATATTGTGTAATATTTGGGTTAAGATAAGTTGAGTGACCACTACTTGCAGACATCACATCTACACCTCTTTGACCTTCAAAGTTACCAATCAAGACATGACCGACACTTTTAGTCATATTTTATTGAAACTACTTATTTGACACAAATATAAAACTTTATTACTTTTTCATCTTTAATATCATCTAAACTAATTTGAATGAATATCTATCGCTGTTAAAGCAATTAAATGCAGTATAAATTAGTTATACTAAACTAATATTAGTATACAATAAGTCATAATTTATAATTAAATAAATTAAATTTTACAGATTTTCAAACAAATAACACATAAATGAGTTCAAATAAGAAGATCTGAATCAATTGATAAGCTATGGTTATCGTCACTCGAGTATGTCTTAAGTGTTAACAAATATTTGTATTAATATTTAAAAATGATTGACATTTATAGGGAGATTACATATGGATTGAACCGCAATCCAAACGTGAGTTTGACGTCGCGATCGGCGCCCGAGTTATTGCTGCAGAAGGAAGACGTATTCAAGTGAAGGACGACGACGGAAAGGTAGACATCATATGTTATAAATGTTTATAATATTATTGATATACCGGTTATCAGGAACAATGGCTAACTCCAGAGCGTCGCATAAAAGCCATGCATCCGACGTCCATCCAAGGCGTCGAAGATATGATATCATTGGGTGACTTACATGAGGCCGGAATACTTAGAAATCTATTGATTAGATATAATGAAAATGTCATTTATGTTAGTCTTTATTGTTTTATCACTAAATTATTACTAAAAAGTGTCATATTTTTTATATATAGACTTATACGGGATCTATATTGGTTGCGGTTAATCCGTACCAAATACTTCCCATATATACAGTGGAACAGATTAAACTTTACAAAGACCGCAAAATCGGTGAATTACCGCCACATATCTTTGCCATCGGAGACAATGCCTACAACAATATGAAACGTTATCGACAGGACCAGTGTATTATCATAAGTGGCGAGAGTGGCGCCGGAAAAACAGAATCGACAAAATTAATTCTCCAATTTTTAGCCGCTATTAGTGGTCAGCATTCTTGGATTGAACAACAGATACTTGAGGCCAACCCTATATTAGAAGGTAAGGATGTTATGATTTTATAAGACAATCAACAATTAATTGTTAATTTGTTTTATATAAATAGCATTTGGAAATGCAAAGACTATCAGAAATGACAACTCCAGTCGTTTTGGTAAATATATAGACATTCATTTCAACAAACAGGGAGTGATTGAAGGGGCAAAAATTGATCAGTACTTACTCGAGAAATCAAGAATCGTTGGTCAGGCAAATGATGAACGAAATTACCACATCTTTTACTGTCTATTGGCCGGAATGGGCAAAGAAGAGAAATTAAAGCTTGAACTACAGGATGCCTCAAAATTTTATTATCTCACTCAGGGGGGGACCATCACCTGTGAAGGCAGGAATGATGCCGCAGAGTTTGCTGATATCAGATCAGCTATGAAAGTACTAATGTTTTCCGATCCGGAAATTTGGGAAATATTAAAGATATTGAGCGCACTCTTGCATTTAGGAAATATCAAGTTTAGAGGTATTATATAATTTATATTATATTAAGTTTATTAAAATGATTAACTAATTGTTGAATACTATCTTTAATAGCAACTGTAATCGATAATTTAGACGCCACTGAAATTACTAACACAGGAAGTGCTGGCAGTTCATCAAAATTATTAGAAGTAAATCAGCAGCACTTGATTGATGCCCTGACCACCCGTACCATCTTTGCACACGGAGATACTGTTGTGTCGACTATGAGTTCTGAACAATCACTTGATGTAAGGGATGCTTTTGTCAAAGGAATTTATGGCCGAATGTTTGTATGGATTGTAAATAAGATTAATTCAGCCATTTATAAGCCAAAAGGTTCTGTCAGTCACTTTCGGTCATCAATAGGAGTACTCGATATATTTGGTTTTGAAAATTTTAATATTAATAGTTTTGAACAATTTTGCATAAACTATGCAAATGAAAACTTACAACAATTTTTTGTGAGACATATATTCAAACTGGAACAGGAAGAGTATAATATTGAGACAATCAATTGGCAACACATAGAGTTTGTTGACAATCAGGAGGCACTCGACTTGATTGCCGCTAAACCTATGAATATAATGGCATTGATTGATGAAGAGAGCAAATTCCCGAAAGGAACCGATACTACATTACTTAATAAACTTCATAAAACTCACGGCTCTAATGGCAACTATTTAAAGCCAAAGTCAGATATTAACCAATCATTTGGATTAAATCATTTCGCAGGAATTGTTTTCTATGATACAAGAGGTGTGTTTATAATTACATTTTTCAATAAATTTTTTAATAATTTATAATTAAATGGTTTATAATATTTAGGTTTTCTTGAGAAAAATAGAGATACATTTAACGCTGATTTGATTCAATTGATTCAAGTCAGCAAAAATAAGTTCCTTCAGAATCTTTTTGCTCACGATTTCGGAATGGTTTGTATTACTTCTTTAATTTAATTTATTTTACAATTTATAATATTTACTTATAATTATGAATTATTAAACTTTTAGGGTAACGACACCAGAAAGAAAGCACCGACACTGAGTGCACAGTTCAAGAAGTCATTAGATTCACTTATGAAACAATTAAGTCAATGCCACCCTTTCTTTATTAGATGTATTAAACCAAATGAAACTAAAAAACCTATGGTATGTACAGTAATTGATATACACTATCGATACAAACATTTTAAAATATATATTTATTTATCAGATGTTTGATCGGTATTTGTGTTGTAAACAACTACGATATTCAGGAATGATGGAAACAATTCGTATCCGAAGAGCTGGTTATCCCATTAGACATACATTTATGGAATTCATAGATCGCTACCGATTTTTATTGTCTGGTATCGGACCGTCACATAAAGTACCAGATTGTAGGGCTTTAACACAACGAATCTGTGCCACAGTTCTCGGCAAAGTTGACTATCAATTAGGAAAATCTAAAGTTTTTCTAAAAGTTTGTATAATTTAAAAGTTTATTATTTTTATAGTTAAAAATTTAACTATTAATAAATTTTTAAATATATTTTCTTATATATCTATATAGGATGCACACGACTTGTTTCTTGAACAGGAAAGGGATAGAGTTTTGACCAAAAAAATATTGACTCTTCAGAGAGCTATAAAAGGCTGGTATTATAGAAGACGTTTCTTAAGAATGAGAAATAACACAATTATTATCCAACGATATTGGAAGGGATATATCCAACGAAAAAAATATAAAGCGGTAAGTCTTGACTTATATATGACAGAGTCGAGGGAGAGTCGATATAATAACATTCCATTCTATTGTTATATATTATACATACCTGTGCTATGAATACCTTATTTGCATTGATATTATAATTTTATGTGACGACAGATGCGTTTGGGTTATCTAAGACTTCAAGCATTCATTCGGTCTCGAGTTTTGACCCATCGATTCAAACATCTTCGCCGTCATATCGTGTCTTTACAAGCAGTTTGTCGCGGATTTCTCGTCCGTAGAGAATATCAACGAAGACATCGCGCGGCTCTTAAGATACAAGCTTTTATTAGAGGAGCCATTGCTCGCAAAAAGTATATTAAACTTCGAAATGAAAACAAAAGTTATTTGGAAGCACTTCGTCTTAAAGATCAAGAAGAATCTCTTCTTAGAAAACAAATGAACCCAAAAAAGGCCAAAGAAATTGCTGAACAAAAATATTTCGAAAGAATGAAAGAATTCGAGTCTAAGAAAATAGAAGAAGAAATTGAAGAAAAACGTCAAATTGAAGAGAAAAAGGCTGTCATTACTGATGCCGTCCACCGACAGGACGAAGTGTTAGACGACTCAAAACTTGTTGACGCGATGTTTGATTTTCTTCCGCGAACTGATAACATTACCGAACATAACGGTCCCTCAGCTTTTAGAGATCTTGAGAGACCTAACGGTGACCTAAATATTGATTTAATCGAAAGCGAAGAAATGGTTCCTCCAGTTCCTGATGAAGAATTGGAAGATTTATCTGAATATAAGTTTCAGAAATTTGCCACAACTTATTTTCAGGGAAATGTCGGACATCAGTATCAACGGAAACCACTTAAACAACCACTTATACCTCTTCAGACTCAAGGAGATTGCATGGTATGGCTTACAAAATAATATTTATTACTTTTTATTTAAAATTTTGTTAATTACTTTTAAAAAACTATTATAATCTATAAATTGTAGATTAATTAAATATATTTTCTATTAGTAAAGTAATGAACTTTATTTGGATAATAGGCCTCAATAGCTCTTTGGATTACAGTTTTACGTTTTATGGGAGACCTAACTGAACCAAAGTTTCATACAATGGGAAGAGTATGTTATATTTGTTAATATTATGATTCATAGGATTTATGATTACATAACTTTATAAAAATTAAATTAACTTAACATAGGATAACACATCAGTGATGAGTAAAGTAACGGCAACTTTAGGCAGAAATTTTATAAAGAGTAAAGAATTTCAAGAATCACAACTATTGGGTCTTGAATTGGTATATATATTAGAGTTTATATAATTTTTATATTATTAAAACATATTGAATATACTGTAAACAGGAGATGGCAGAGAGTAAACCAACCAAATCGCGTTCAATCCGTAATAAATTGGTTTCACTGACACTTAAAAAGAAGAATAAGTTGAGTGAAGACGTGAGACGTCGTCTACAGGACGATGACATCGCTGCCGACACTTATAGTTCATGGCTTGAGTCGAGACCGACATCTAATCTCGAAAAATTGCATTTCATTATTGGACACGGAATACTCAGAGACGAATTGAGGTCAGTTCACACAATCATACCTTTCCTTCAAACTATATGTCAAATTCTCTTAAATTTAAAGTGTTTAAAATGTTATTCAAAAAGTTAATTTTATTAAAGCAAATAGATTTTTTAAAACAATATAATATAAGAATATATTCATTTTTACTTTTAGATTTAGATTTAATTATAAAATCTATCCTAATATCGATGTTAAAAATTATTTAGTAAAAACTTATACAAAATTTTGTATAACTAGTATTTCTCTTACTTTAACATTAGATATTTGCTAACAAAATTAACAATTTTGAACAAAATACTCACATATTAAGTAATATCATATACGGTATATATATATATATATATATATATAAATTTATATACTGTATTTACATGTAAAAATATATTCAACAAATAATAATAAATTAACATATTATTAATAGGTAATAAATAACACCTTATACTATACATTCAAGTCATACATGTCATCGGTTTTGTGTTACTAATTAATAAAAACACGGCAAACTTTTTAACGGGAAATTTCTATTTGCTTGATATAAGTATAATACTGTATATATTTTTAAAAAATATTTAAACAATAGTTTGCATACAGTATAATACACATAAATTATAGTGTTTTAATAATTTTAAATTTTATAAAACTAGGAAATGTTTAAAGAAAAGTATAGCACTTATGATCAGTGATGAGTAAACTTTGATCGATGTGTTCAAACTATACTGTATTATGCTATATATCAGTACAGTTTATTTAGGTATAATAAGTGCTGAGTTTATAAAAATACTCAATAATGATAATTCAAATTGTTTTATAAATATATTTTTACATAATTTGCAAATACAGTATATACTAAATAAGAAAAATCATTTTTTATAGTTTTTTTTGTTTCAATTAGAAATCAAAGTTAAGATAATTATAGTAAATAATACTATAATTCAAATAAGTAAATGAATACATAAAATAATGAAATTAGAATATAATACTATTAAATCATTTTTTATATTATTGTTTAATATTAGAGATGAAATATATTGTCAAATATGTAAACAATTGACAAACAATACGAGTAAAAGTTCTCACGCGAGGGGATGGATATTATTATCACTCTGTGTCGGATGTTTTGCGCCGTCAGAAAAGGTATTTTACTAAATACTATACTTTTAACACTAAGCTTATAATACTTAAAAATATAGTAAATCAATGACCCATACAAACAACTGTTGCAAACAATTAATTAATTATTGATCGTATGGTTGCTTTGCTAGCATTATAATAATTATCATATTATTTGCAAACTCTATTCAAGTTGTCTTAAACTTGAACTTATTTCGTGTTTCAAAGTTTTTAGACTTTTTCTACAAATTATTTTGTTTTAATTTAGTTTATATTTTGGTATTTCTTATGAATTTAGTATAATATGAAACATTTCTTCACAACTTATGATATAACTTATGAATTACAATATTAGTGATAGTTTATAATGAAATGATGATAATGTGAGTAATTGTGAATAATTAATAAATTTTATTGATTTACAGTTTGTTAAATACTTATTGAACTTTATAAGAGAGGGCCCACCAGGTTATGCACCCTATTGTGAGGATAGGTTGAGACGAACATTTAGGAATGGGACTCGAGGTCAGCCCCCGTCGTGGCTGGAACTTCAAGCAACTAAATCCAAGAAGCCATTGATGCTTCCGATTACTTTTATGGACGGAAACACCAAAACATTGTTAGCAGACTCGGCCACAACTGCTCGCGAATTATGCGCTCAATTGTCTGAGAAAATCAATTTGAAAGATCAGTTTGGCTTTTCATTATATATCGCACTCTTCGATAAAGTGTCATCACTTGGAAGTGGTGGCGAACATGTAATGGATGCCATTTCTCAATGTGAACAGTATGCCAAAGAACAGGGAGCTCAAGAGCGCAATGCTCCCTGGAGACTGTTCTTTCGTAAAGAGATTTTCGCCCCCTGGCACGACCCCACTGATGATGCCGTCGCTACTAATCTTATATACCAACAGGTAGTAAGAGGTGTCAAATTTGGTGAATACCGGTGCGAAAAGGAGGAAGAGTTGGCTATGATTTCAGCGCAACAGTACTATATTGAGTTTGGAGAAGATATTAAAACTGAAAAATTATTATCTGTTTTGACTAATTATATACCCGACCACTGCCTTCAAACAAATGATAAAAGTATGGAAAAGTGGGCCAATTTGATCATTGTTGCCAACAAAAAGGTATATTTCTATTATTATTGTAATTATCATTTATATATTTTAATATACATGTTGTATACATATTTGACAGTTTTTTTAAATTTATTATAATAGTTAATATTTCATATTTATTTATTTGTTAAATACTGTATATTAATTTGTTTACCGGTAACTAAAAATTCTCATTAAGTAATTTTCTGTCACTAAAATACATTATATTGAGCTCAGCTTAAAAATACTTTAGTATTAATAAATTTTGTTAATTATTGATATTTATATTGATAATCAATTCTAGTATAATTAGTAGAATTAAGCGATAAATAATAAAAATGTGAATTAAGTGTTTTTTAGTAATTATTTAATGCAATGATTTTGTATAACCCTTAGAGTTATTTCTATAAGGAGAAGGTATCGTATTTGAAGATTAAAGAAGACATCGTAGAGTACGCCAAATACAAATGGCCGCTACTTTTCTCCCGATTTTACGAAGCATTCCGTGTGAACGGACCTATTCTACCTAAAAATGATGTGATTATTGCTATCAATTGGACGGGAATATATATGGTCGACGATCAGGAACAGGTTCTGCTGGAACTGTCATTTGCAGAAATTACATCAGCTGTGAGTCAGAAGACAAACAGACCTTTTATGCAAAATTTTACTTTAAATACCATTAGAGGAGAAGAATTTATATTTCAATCGCCAAACTCTGAAGATATTTGTGAATTGATTTCATTTTTCTTAAACGGTCTCAAAGAACGATCTAAATATGTGATTGCATTACAAGATTATAGAGAAGAAGGACCGTCAGTATTGTCCTTCAGTCAGGGAGACCTTATGATATTAGACGGCTCTTACACTGGCGACTATGCTCTTAATAATGCATGGGTTACGGCTAAGTTAGATAAAACAGGAGAAAAGGGAGATATTCCCACTGAATGTGTTTATGTATTGCCGACCACAACAAAGCCGTCCCCTAATATTTTATCGGTCTTTACTCACGACAATCTCGATGAGAATAGTAGACATCTTTTTAGTTATCCACAGATCAATGGTTTTGATGCACACGAAAAGCCACATACATTAGAGGAGTATTCAATCGATCACTTTAGACCCCCGCCTAAGTATACCCTTCCGCGGACACTAACATTTTCTTCGGCTCGAAAACGAAATGTCGATCAATTATGGAGGCACTCGAGGGAACCCATTAAACAACCGTTACTTAAAAAATTGTTGAACAAAGAAGATCTAATACAAGAAAGTTGTTTTGCATTTAATGATATCCTTTTCTTTAAAAAATTTTTATTTAAAATTTATTTATCTTAATTTAATATATATTATATTATCAGCATTTTATAGCTATTACTTATAGTATATAAACTGTATTTTGAAGAGTTAGAAGTAGTAAATGTTTTTTTTTTAAAGTATATGTTTTGACTTAAATACAATATTCCTTAACTTCTTTGCACCAATTCTTAAATATATGGGAGATCTTCCATCACGACGTACCAGAAGTGGCAACGATTTAACGGATCAGATATTTGAAGGACCCCTAAAATTTGTATGATTTTTATATTTAAAATATATTCATTAATTGAATAAAATCTATTTTTTAGGATATTTTGAGAGATGAAATTTATTGTCAAATTATGAAACAATTGACTGATAACAAGAATAGGTATTTTATTTTTCAGTTTATTGTAATATTTTTTAAAAAATTTATTAAACTATTTTCATATTAAGACTAAGCGAAGAAAGGGGTTGGGAGTTGATGTGGTTATCCAGTGGACTGTTTGCTCCGAGTCAGACATTGCTCAGGGAGTTAACACTTTTCTTAAGAACTCGTCGACACCCTATAGCTATTGATTCACTGCAAAGATTACATAAAACTCTCAGGTATTACAGTGTTATTTAATTATACTTCAAATGTTAATCAATATATTTTATTTTATTTATTAATTTAAAACTCTAAAGAAATGGTCAGCGAAAATATCCGCCGCATTTGGTAGAAGTAGAAGCCATTCAACACAAAACTACACAAATCTTCCATAAAGTTTACTTTCCCGACGATACCGATGAAGTGATAAATTATTATTTATATATTTCAAAAGATTTTAATTATTTAAGTTTTATTTTTATTAATTATAAAGGCCTTTGAAGTGGACTCAAGTACCAGAGCTAAAGATTTTTGTCTCGATATATCACAACGTCTTAACTTAAGGACTGCCGAAGGATTTAGTCTTTTTGTCAAAATAGCCGACAAAGTAATCAGTGTTCCCGAAGCAGATTTTTTCTTTGATTTTGTTAGACATCTGACCGATTGGATTAGGAAAGCCAGACCTTCAAGAGATGGTAATATAATAAGAAAATGATTTTTTATTTGAATTATTTATAGTCAAACACTTGTGAGTTGAATGAAATGTGATATTAACTAATTAGAAATGTATTTAATATATAGGATCTGTACCTCAGTTTACATACCAAGTCTTCTTTATGAAAAAGTTGTGGACGAATACAGTTCCCGGAAAAGATAGAAATGCAGACCTTATCTTCCATTATCATCAGGTTTACTAAATTATCATTAATTACAGATTAATTATATAAACAAATTGATTATTTAAGGAATTACCAAAATTATTACGAGGATATCATAAGTGTACCAAAGAAGATGCCGCAAAATTAGCCGCACTTATACTACGTGTAAGATTTGGGGAAAGTAAAGCTGAACTACAGGCCATCCCGTAAGACTTAATTGATACTAAAAATACTGGAAAATATCCAATTAATGTGGAAATTGTTTTATTTAAGTACAATCCTACACGAGCTCATACCGATTGATTTAATCAAAACCCAGAATCCTAATGAATGGAAAAAGGTTTTTATAACAAATTTTTACAAATGTGTGATTAGTTTGTTTGAAAATCTATGTTTATTACTGTATTTAATGAAAATATAGGCAATAATGACAGCACATAGTCAAGAGAATGGTGTTAACTGTGAAAATGCAAAAATATCTTTTCTTAAATATGTCTATAAGTGGCCTACATTTGGATCAGCTTTTTTTGAAGTTAAGGTGTGTTTCAATTATTAAATATAATTATTAAAAAGAAATCTAAAGAATAATTTGTTTTATGTCCAGCAAAACGGTGACACAAATTTTCCGGAACACCTTCTTATAGCAATCAACAAGAATGGTGTTAGTCTTATAGATCCGGTTAGCAAAGATATACTGGTGACACATCCATTCACCAGAATATCCAATTGGAGTAGTGGTAACACCTATTTTCATATGACTATCGGTAATCTGGTTCGCGGAAGTAAACTGTTATGTGAAACACCACTCGTATGTTTTTAAAATGCATATATTTTTAATAATTAAATTAAAATAAATCTCATTTATTTTTATAGGGCTATAAAATGGATGATTTATTGACTTCATATATAAGTCTAATGCTAAGCAATATTAACAAACAAAAAATTATGACAAATAGGATTAAATAATTATATAATCATTAATGTGTTAAATGAATTCTATTCACAAAGTGATATATTTTACAATTAATACTTATATTGTATTTATTATATTCTAAACTAGTAAATGATAATACTTTATATAACAATTTCATATTTATTTATTGAATAAAGAGTTTTCAAACTCTAGACTGATTTTGAAATAAAAAATATTAAAAAATAATTTCAAGAGCATTTAATATTGGAAATTGTGATAATTATTAATTTGATAAACAAAAATATTTTATATAATTATATGATAAAAAATTACCTGTAATGTTTAAAAGGGCAAAACATCAATATTTTAATATTAATGATAAAATAATAATTGACTGACAATTATGTTGTTTTCTAAATATTTGCAAATATGAACATAAAATCTATAGAAACTAAAATTTTTGTGAGTTTTCTAAGAGTTTTTGTCGTATCATTGGATTAGGAATTCATAAGGAATAACAACAAATTTTTAAACAATTTTCAAAAAACATTTAAAATATATACAGTATTTATTACAAAATTATATAATTTATAACGTGTATATCAAATTAAGCCATAAAATTATATAATTCTTAAAAAAAAATCAAAATTCTGCAAATATATACAATACTAAAAAACCTGACTATAATTTCTACTTTTAAATGTTTTCCTCGGAGTTATGTAAATCAATTTTAAATGTTTTAAGATTTACATTAAATATATCAATATTTTATATTTAAAATGAAATATCAATTATTAGAATAATTTCTATAAATTAATTATGTAATAAATTGAAAACAAGTCAATGTAAAATAATATACCGGTAAGGTATTTATATTACAATTATTACACTATTTAATTATATTTTTTTAAAGTATCGTAATATAGTTGATATAATTGTCAGTTTATCAACAAAAAACATTAAATATSATTTGAATATTTGTTTATACGACGGTTGCATCCAATCATGAAATGTAGAAATAATACACAATTGAAATTTAAATCATCAATAATTTTAGTCATACATGTATTATCGAAATTATATAATACGGAAAAGTATTTAAATAAAGTATTAATAACTCAAATAAAATAATTTCGTTTACTTAGACAAAAATGGATTTAGGTTAATATAAATTTTACAATAAGTAATATTTATAAATTGGATATTAAATATAAACTAATAAAAGGTTAATCACTTAAAACTAATTGATTTATTAATAATTTTGAAAAATGATTAGAAATACTAAGAAATGTTGGTATTTATACCAAAATATATATAAATACAGATTAATGATTACTAATAGCAAATGATATCAAATACCACAAACAATATTAAGTAATATAAACATATTTTTTTGGATAAAAAAGTTTCATTTTAGTTAATTTTCCCATTTTTATTGATTTTAATGAAATCGCATAACCGATCGTGAAATTTAAAAAACAAATTGTCATTATGTTAACAGTTTTATAAACTCATGAGCGACTGGTTATAGCGTTTCGTTAATTAAAATAAAGTATATAAACACTTGCTATGAGTGACACGAATTAATTATATTAAATTAGATTAAATCCGCCACATTCAATGGCATCTCCTCTATCTGTGTGTTATAGAATGTCTCAATATCTCGTAAAGATCGGGTGTCTTCAGCCGTCACAAAGTTAATGGCAGCTCCTTTACGACCAAACCGACCGCCTCTTCCGATTCTTTAGTAACAAAAATTATATCAAATTAATGACAAACAACTAAATCAATTAATATCAGTACAAACCTATGTATATAATTCTCACGATTTGTGGGTAAATCATAATTAATAACAAGTGATACTTGTTGTACATCAATGCCTCGGGCCAAGAGGTCAGTGGTGATCAACACCCGACTCGAACCCGACCTAAACTCACGCATTATAACTTCGCGCTGCTTCTGCTCCATATCGCCGTGCTTTGAGAAATACATATACATTATTAGTCTTCAATTCAATCAATTAAATAGTAAAATAATGTTTTCAATATAAATGCTAAACTGTTGTAAAAGCCATTGAGAAAGAGTCCATTGAATAAAACAAATTCTCACCCAAAGCTTTACTAATACTATTCTTCATAACGACGAACTCAATATTTAATTGTAATATTTAAATATCAAGTGCTTTATTGTGAAGATAAACATATATTAGATGGAAATCAAAGAAACAAACCATATGTGAGACAGTGAAGTCTCTTTGTTGCATCTTCTCTGTCAGCCAATCAACTTTCCGACGCGTATTACAGAAAATCACGGCTTGAGTAATGGTAAGCGTTTCATACAAATCGCATAACGTGTCAAACTTCCATTCTTCGCGCTCAATCAGTACATAGAACTGCTTAATACCCTCGAGGGTTAGCTCTTCCTTCTTAACCAAAATTCTAATGGGATCTCTCATAAACCTTTTGGTAACTTCCAACACCTCAGCGGGCATTGTGGCCGACAATAAGATAACCTAAAAATAACAATTACTATAAAACACTTTCTTAATAAATTAGACTCAAACCTGAATGTTCTGATTCAATGTTTTGAAAACATCGTAAATCTGATCCTTAAACCCACGGGAAAGCATTTCGTCGGCCTCGTCCAACACAAAAATCTTGATGTGATCGGGACCTGATTGTCAACCAATTTAATTAAGTTTTATAACTAAAGATAGCTAAGACTTACGTAAAGCGCGTCGAGTAATCATATCAAAAACACGTCCGGGAGTTCCCACAACAATATGGACACCCATTTCAAGCTTACGAATGTCTTCACGAACATTAGTGCCACCAATACATGCGTGACACTGAGCATTCATATAGTCACCTAAGGCTAACACTACTTTCTGAATCTGTTGCGCCAACTCTCGAGTTGGGGCGAGGATTAGGGCTTGACATTCATTAAGTGAAGTATCAATTTGTTGCAATATAGCAATTGAAAATGTGGCCGTTTTACCAGTTCCCGATTGTGCCTGTGCTATCACATCCATACCTGTGCACATACATTATATTAGCCCATCTCATAACAGTTTATTATAATCAAACCTTTAATGCAGGGAATGATAGCTCTCTGTTGAATAGCCGAAGGTTTTTCAAAACCATAGGCATAGATTCCTCTTAAGAGTTCTTCTCGTAAATTCATGTCATCAAAATTTGACACAATTTCATCCCAATTGGACTAAAATCAATGATATCAACAAATTGATAGTAAACTATATTGATTCATCATTTAATAGCAATTAATACCTCAATGACACCATCGGGATCCATTCCAGTCGGGCGATCATCACCATAATCACGATTGTCATCGCCATCACGAGACCTATTATCGGGTCCGTCATGAGACCTCTCGGGTCCATCACGCGATCTGTCGGGTCCGTCACGCGGTCTACTATCGGGTCCGTCACGCGGCCTACTATCGGGTCCGTTACTATAATTCAATGATAACATTGTAATAATGGCTTAACATTTAAAAATATGTTTTGTGTTAATTAAAACGCTTGACATTAGAGTGCATACAAAATGGGAAAACACGTGCCATTCACTTATGGCACCGATAAATCATTTATCGTTTATAATAACCATAAATGTAAAGTCATATCAAAGATCATTATCAATGGTAAGACAATGACATGTATTGACCCAAATCAAGGTCTATTGTCGGCAATTGTGGGGCCAGTAGTGTGTGTCAAGTGTGCATATATAGGGAACGCCATGTTGGCAATGGTTGGCAATTGTTAGCAATGGTTGGCAATGTGTGCCAAATGTTAATCATCTAATTATTAACTTTTTACTAACTTTTACTCATAATTATCACTTATATGACACACTTTGACCAATAATTTGTTAATAATAATGTAATATATGATATATTTAATGAAAATCAATATAAATCAGTGGACCTACCGATCATCAAAAGCACTGTTACTGTTATTAGACATGTTTTCACAGCTATTACTGATTCAATCAACTATTCAATGGCTATGAGAGACAACTAATTGACTGATAGAATGCACAAACACTCACACATACATTGACGGCATTCATACCTTACATACATTACGACTATTATATTATATTCAACAATAAAACTATACATTAATACAACAATCAGTTCAATACAAACAATCATTAATTAATTAATATTTAATTTAATTCTAATGCAAATCAATTGAAAAAATTAGTTAATTGTAATCAAATAATTGTTATTTAATGCAAATATAAAGTTGTATTTAATGTCGTAATTAATGGTTAGTGTGAGTCATGTATTGCCGGTGTGTCGACCAATACTTCCTTCATTTGGCATCAATTGAGTGACCAATCAGTGACTGAATTGCATTGAAATGTAAACTTGTTTTACACTTTACCGGTACTTATAGTACAGTACAGTATATACAGTACTATACTATAGATTCTATACTGTATTGTAATGTAATACTACTGTATTGTATTGTATTGTATATACTGTACAGTAGTATAGACTCTATTGATATAATTGAAGTGTCAATTGTTATGCATATGATTGACATCTTAAGACATTTTGACTGATTTAATGATTACTTGTCGTATAAATTGGTTGATAATTGAATAATGATTGATATTATTGGTAATACTTAGCTATCAATATGTATGCAATGGTAGTGTCTTTAGTGTCGATTATCATCTATAGTGTGTCACTGATGGGTGACTTTGTATTTGATGACACAGAAGCCATACTAAACAATAGGGATGTAATGAATGATACAAGTATTGGACAATTATTTGTTAATGATTTTTGGGGAACTGCTATGAGTGACAAAATGAGTCATAAGTCATACCGACCGCTAACTGTTCTCGTCTTTCGTTTACTTCGGTTCTTAAGTCATACTTTTGTATTGTCGACAAATCCATGGTATCCTATGATTGGAGAAATGAATGCATTTGTATATCACTTGTTTAATGTCTTAATGTATACCATATTGAATGTCTTACTATTGATTGTATTAAACAATCTATTGATGACATATCGCTTATATAATGACAACAATAAGATTAAGAGGAATGCCTTTTTGGCGACTCTTTTGTTTACAAGTCATCCGATTCATACCGAAAGTGTAAGACAATGAATGACACAATAATTAGTTGAAACTACAGTATAATTGTGTTGTTTTAGGTAAGCGCTTGTGTCGGTGCCGCTGATCTATTGTCTTCAATGTTTGCATTGATTTCTCTCTTAATTTATCTCAAATCTAGTCGTCAATTATATGATAATAATTGTGGTAAATGTTGAATGATATAAAAAACTTAACTAAAGTCAAGATAACTTTGAATTTGTTTTTAGTGAATCTGTCAAACTATGGTATCAATTGTTTGTTTATTATATCGATGTCGACAATTGCTATGCTTTTCAAAGAGCTGGGCATCACTTTTATCGTTAGTTTATTATGATTTGTTGATTCAATGGTTTATTTTTTAAAATTAATTATATAATTATTTAGGGCTTATGTATAGTGTTTGACTTGATTTTGATGACTGATTTAAGATACAAATATAAAACAAAACTATTAATTTATCGGATAATATGTTTAACTATTGGTACTATTTTTGCAATTTTTATGAGATTCAAAGTAATGGACTTCAGAGGACCTAAATTTCAAAGAGGAGACAATCCTTCGTCATTTGAAGAAACACTTTATATAAGAATTATTAATTATAATTATATTTATGCCATCAATGCATGGATACTGATATTTCCCGACTGGTTGTGCTTTGATTGGTCCATGTCTTGCATCCCACTCATCAAAAGTTTTTATGACTTTCGCAATGTTTTTATTATAATTTTTTGGATGACTTTACTTCTTGTTTTCAAATCAGCACTTCTTCATAAAGATGAACAAATTCGTCGGTATTTTAAATTAAACAGAGATTTAAATAATAAAAGTTAATAATTAATATTTGGTTTGCAGTCAATTGCAGATATCATTGTCATTATGTTTGGTGCCATTTATTCCGTCTTCTAATATATTTTTTAGAGTTGGTTTTGTTGTCGCTGAAAGAGCTCTCTTTCTTCCCAGTATTGGATTTGTTTTGATTATTATAATTGGTATTAATATTATTTCTAATCGATTTTCCAACTATTCAAAGGTAATAATATTTCCTTAAATAAATGATTGATTTACAACTAAAAGTATTATAATAAAATAAAATCATTATTATGCCATAGATTCTAAACTTTTTTTAATTATATTATTGTATATTATTAATATGTATCGATATCGTAGATATTACCGGTAAATGGTATTAAATATGGTTACTAATGATATAATGTGACATTTTTGAACATTTATATAGAGTATTAGTATTACATTAATACAGTTAGAATGCTTTTCTACATTATTATGAATTTTAATTAAACAACATTTATGTTTCCTAAATATATAATTTTAATAACTTTAGATATTATTTAGTTTTTGTAACTATGATATTGACTTTTAAATCAATTATATTAATATCATCTACTAGTCGTATATAATAATTGTATTATTATTCCATAAGTTAGTTATAACTATCGTATTATTAATAACTTAAATTTATATTCTCTAAGTTATATTGTATATACCGTAACAATGATTGATATTTATAAATTGTTTATTTGATTTCTATTGCTTTATTTTATCATTGTATGCAAACAGATAATTCATTGTATGACAATATATTTGGTAATTATATTTACAATACGTGCATTTTGTGTAAGAAACTTTAATTACCGTTATTGTCAATTACTTTTAATTGTTATTAATTAACATAATTGTAATTTAGCGCAATTTTGAGTGGACTACTGAAAAACGATTGTTTAGTTCAGGCCTTCGTGTTTGTCCGGTTAGTGTCAGTTTAATTAATAATTTTTATTGAATTACTAATTTATATATTTTAAAAATTATTAAGTTAAACGCAAAAGTTCATTATAACATTGCTAAAAATGCGGCCGATTTTGGAGATAAAAATAAAGCTATTGAAGAATATAGAGAAGCGATTCGTTTGAATCCAGTCTATGAACAGGCTTTCAATAATTTGGCGAATATTCTTAAGGATTCCGGATATTTACACGAATCCTCTGAATTGCTTATAAAAGCAGTTAAAATTAGGCCCACATTTGCAGCCGCGTGGATGAACCTCGGTTTGACATACATTTACATTTTGCTATTAATATTTATTTGAATAATTTTAATTTGTTTATCTAAATCAGGTATAGTTCAAACAACACTTAAACAATATATTGAGGCTGAAGTCAGTTACTTGAATGCTATTAAACACAGAAATCGATACCCACAATGTCTCTATAATTTAGGAAATTTGGTCAGTTTTAGTTATTACCAAATATTTATAGTTTTAATATTTTAATAATTTTTTTTATTATAACCTACTTTAGTATAAATTTGAGCGGTTTTTAACTTTGTCTATTTATAACAAATTTATGGTACATTAATCTTGATATATAATAAATGAATGAATGATTGATTGATTGACAGTATGTGAAACAAAATCGTTATTCTGAGGCATACAAGATGTGGATGACTGCCATTGAAATGAATCCAACATTATTATCACCATGGAACAATTTGATTATTATGCTCGACAATACACAAGATTACCACAAAGCACTTGACATCGGTTTGCAGGCACTGGTATATCACACAAATGAAAGTTCATTACTTTTTAATATTGCCAATGTTTTAGGCAAACTAAATATGTTTAATGAATCCGAGACTTATTTTATGAAAGCAATTGCTTTAAATCCAAATAACGCACAATATTTTGCTAATTTAGGAGTCCTTTATCACCGATTTAATGATTATACCAAAGCTATTACTAATTATAAAATAGCTCTTCAATTGAATCCAAAGTTTGAAAGTGTTCAAAAAAATTTAATAATTGTTAATAAATTAAACAATAAATAATTTTATTTAAAGTTGTATAAAATTTATTTTATTTAATAAAAAAATAATGTTATGTTATTAATTTGTTATGCGATTTTACATGTAATGAATACTATTCAAAATTTACAAAAAAAAAATAATTATAATTTTTATATCAATAAAAGTATATTAAATAACAATATTATATATTATTATTATTAAAATATTAATATATATTAATGTTGACTAAAGTTCAGCAGTGGATCCTCTCCAAGACATGCGCCCCAAAGCTGTTCCATAAGTTATACCATTATTAAGATATTCAATAGCATTAAGTGGTGGCAAAGATGATGCACCACTTGGAGTGCCATAATGTCCGGCCAAATATCGACTGAGTTCCTCTTGAGTATCAAAAATAAGTACAACAAATGGTGATCCGGGAACGTGTACTCCCGACCACTTGACTTCAATTCTGTAATCTCCCGGTTCTGTCGGATCGTATTTACATAATATTGTTCTATCCTTTTGACTCTCCCTTTGCATCTCAACTCGAAAAGCGCCTAAAAATATGAATAATTTTGTAAAATTTATAAATAATTGTAAATAATTGTAAATACCTTTTGGACCACGAATTCTAACAGTTAATTGTCCGGCACCGGCACCTCTTGTATCACATATGAATCTACTTTGATATAGTGGTAGAACCCCGTGCTCTATACCCGGACCAAGTACTCTAACTTTTGAAGCATCCGGTGCTCCAGCAATTCGTATTGTAAATGCAGAACCTTTTATAATAAACGTCGAAAAACATCATTTTATTATAAATAACTAATTATAAGATGTAATATAAATTTATGATAAACTTTATTTTGATTGTATATTACCCGACACATGTTCGCCGCCATATTTAATGGTCAATACATGTTTACCCCCTTCTTGTGGCTTAATTAATAAAGTGAATGTCCCGTCCATTTGATCATATAGTTCACAGTGGGCTATCTTATGAGGACCAACACAATGGGCTGTAAGTTCACCTAATTTTATGAAAAAGATATTAATGTAACAAATAATTAAATCATAATAATTAGTTGGGACAGACCTGGACCAGCTCTTCGAGTATCGATAAATGCTTTAATCTGTTTTCCAATGGATCCATATTTAAGTCCATCACCCGAACAAATAACTCTCTTTGCGTCACAACTCGGAAGGATTGATACTTTTAGTGGACAACCTTTAACTTGTTTTTGACCCCAAATTACATTTAATAAATAAGTGCCTAATAATAATAAATAGAGTAATAATTAAAAATAAATAAATAAATTGAATGATTTTCTAAACCTTGAATTGATGGCATATAAACAGCTTTGAAAACTTTTGAACTGATTTGTGTTACTTTAACGGGAATGTCTGTCTTAACACCAGTCAAAGTAACTTCTGGCTGTCCATTTCCTGCATCTGTTCCATCAATTGTAAATTCCGACTCTTCACCGACACGAGCACCGGCTAATCCATGTCCTCTAAGTACAACAGTAGCGCATTCAGATGTTTGTGGGTTTTCGCTAACTATGGCTTGAATTGGTGTTTGCGGTAATAATAAATCAGCAAAATATATATATATTTGATGTTCGCCTGCAAATCATTAAAAAAATTTTACGAAATTAAAATATAAGTTATAATGTAAATTATATTTAAAACATAATAATAGATACCTTCGACTTTAGGTCTAAAACATAGTCTGTATTTATGTCCAGCAGTTTGTTCAACAGGTATTTCATCAAAAGTTAAATCAGGATTTTTTACTTTTGCCGTCAATTTAGCTGTTAATAACAAAATAGCAGTTAATAACACATATGATAAAGTGATATATAATTATTGAATTGCAGACCTGGTCCGCCTTCGCTAATATCAAAAGATATTTTTCTTTCTTCTGCAACACAGATATTGATTTGATTGTTAGAGTCCAAGACATTATCCCAACCGCCTATTATGCGAATCTTTTGCAGGTTTACTATACGTGGATGAAATGGACTTTCTAGATATATAATATATTATCTAAATTATTGACTCAAATATTAACCATTTATTTGCATACAAACCGGGAATATCTTTGCCATTCCAGAGAACTCTGATATCAAAGACACCGATTTCGAGGGGAACGTATGTCACATGAAATAAGTCATTCTCTTTCTCTATATTACAGGCGGCCTCACTGTCGGGTCCATCGATCCTAACTTCGGGTGTACCATAAATACCGGTTGCATTGATGGTGAAACTGGTCGGTTCATTTATTATACCACAATATAAACCATTTCCTTCAACTTTTGGCGACAGTCCTTCCTGTGCTATAAAAGTTATTGGACTGTTGGGTATTTCAAAGCCTCCATAAGTTATGGCTATTTTATATTTTCCGGCAACAGTTGGCACAAACTCTATCAGCTCTCCCTCACTATCAGACATACTTTTTACTTCAATAGGTAAATGTCTACCCAATGGACTCGTAATTGTTACATCAAGTTCTGCATAACCGGCCCCTAATCGGGTCACTAAAAGTATTAAATTTCAATTAATTAATTTGCAATCATTTTCTATAAAATATAAAATTAATTTACGTGAAAAAACAACTTTTTTGTTGACCACCAAATTATTTAATTTGATTTTTTCGAGTTTGACTTTTGATGCATCAAATATTTCGCATTTGAACGGCGAACCCATTATTGGTTTATCCAAATGCAAAACATCGACCTTATGATGACCTAATAGTGTTAAAGGGTATCCATATTAATAAAATCAAAATAATCCATAACTAAAATAATACCCGTTTGAATTGGTGTCCATTCAACAAGTAAACTACCATTTTTCTGCTGATAGCATTTAACTGGAAGGGGTGATCCATTGGGATCAGTAACTATTATATCAAAATCTTTGGCAGATGCAAAACATCCGGTTTCTATAATAAATGTAGTATTTTCTCCGGGAACCGATGATTTAATTCCATTCCCGTGAACTATAATAGCCTGTGAAGGATCCCTAATATCTATAGTTTGAGGGAAACCTGGAATTAGGTGTCCATTATATCTGATATCAATTTGATGTGATATATCAATTCGTGGTATAAACGATACCATAAATATATTTGAAGACAATTCTTTAATATTATATGGTATATCTTTTTCGTTACTTTTTATATTAACTGATAGTACTCCCCAACCGGCCTTTGAAGTGTCAACTATTAAATATTATGCAATAATTATAATAAATATTACAAAACAATTTAACAAAGTGTTGAATACTTTACCTTTAAATTGATTTTCTCTGTCAATGACTCCATCGTATAAATCATTGACTTTAACTCTTGAAGGATCACAAACTGCTATAAATAGTGGTTTTTTAAAGACGGACTTAGAATTGGAGAATAACTCCATTTTATGTAATCCTATTTCTTTCGGTGAATACTCTAATCTTATTTTATTGTCACCGGTTTTGACAGCCGTTGTGCTAACAACAGACTGATTCGGTCCTTTCATAAGTAATTTAACGATATATACAATTAAATTAATTATTAAACAATTATATATATAATTACAGTATAAATACCTATAACAACGGCCTCAATCTTATCGTTACAATTATTTACTTCAAACTCCATAACATTTAAAGTACCGACTAATCCAGCAGTTGTTTGTTTATCAGTTTTATCCTCATTTGTTATGAAACTTGTATTGTCTTCAATCTCGTCCTTAATATCTTCCAATACATCGATTTTGAAAGGACTTCCTATTTATATAAAGATATTGTTAATAATTTTACTAAAATTATGACATCAAGTATGACAAACCGGGAACATCTTCTTCATTGAAAGTTATATTAATAAAATGTGAAACAATCTCTTGTGGTATAAACGTTACATTATATAGACCTCGACTTTTCATCAGGACTTCAGCTCTAACTGAAGATTTTTTAGTAGTGACCACTAATTCAAGTGTGCCCTCACCAGCATGTGATGCGTCCACTAAATAACCAGAATTTAGCTTAAATTGTTAATTCAATGTATATTATAATAGTTTACCCTGAAATGTCATAGGTTTACCCACAACACATGTATTCAAACCCGATATATTCACTTTATTCACATCATATATATTACAACTGAATGGACAGCCGGGAACTGTTACTCCATCCAAAAGGACGAGCACTTGATGTGGTCCTAAATTTTTATTTGTATTTTTATAAAATGTGTTTTAATGTTTATAAAGTATACATATATATGAATCAATAAATAAATACATACCGACTTCAAAAGGTTTAAATTGAACCAAAAATCCATTAGATTGGGGTATACTTGAAGTGTCAATTTTTTTACCAGTTGGACCTATAGTTATATTTTATATTATCAATTTCAATAATGAATTTATGCTTATTATATTTAATAATTTGAATAATTAATATTAAATCAATAAAAACAATTTAATAATAATAATAATCAATTAAAGACTTATAGTTATTGTTATACTTAATAGTTATTTCACTATATTGTATAATAAATAAATATATTTCATTAAAGTAATGCTCAATTTTGTATATCAGATTTTTTTTGTATTGTAATAAAATTAGATTAAATATGAAAAACAATTATTCAAAGTTTATTTAAATTTTAGTAGAAATAATTTAAATTGTTTAGTATTGATTGAAAGTTGTTTTAAAATAATTTTATACTATCACTAATACTTATATTATTATTTAATTTTTATAAAAACTATTAATGATACTAAAGAAATACATTAAATTATATCCGAAATGAGTAATAATTGATTGAAAAGCAAACAATCACTTACTGGTGACAACAGTCTTGCATTCAGAGCACTCATCGTTTCTGTTTTCGACAATGAATTCAACCCCTTTAGCTAACGAAGCCATCCTTAATGCTTGTCCCGAGACTATAGATTGAGTGCTGTCCACAACTTTTACTAAATAAGGACTTCCTATTTATAATCAAATAATTAAATCCATTACAATATACGACAAAACAATTAAAAATAATGTCTATCAATACCAGGAACGGGTTCTCCATTGAATTTAACACTTAACACATGAGTGCTCGGCTCAGTTGGCTTGAAATTAACGCGAAACTTGGCGTTACCTTCAGATTGCACGTAATTGGGAACATTCCTTCCATTGGCCGATACTATTATCTCCAAGTTTCCCGCACCGGCAGCACTGGCATCAACTTAAATGAAAAAAATTGTTAATAATAATACAATATACTGTGTAATGCATTCATAAAATCATATGAAAGTTAATATATGTTAATCTGATGACATACTCGAAAAATATATAGGTTTGCCAACAGTTCCACTCGTTATTTCTGAAATTCTGACATTTTTTGAATCATAAGCCTTAACCAGAAATGGACAGCTGGTTACTGATGAACCACCGATTTTGATATCAATCGCATGGTCTCCAACTTCTGTCGGCGTGAACTCTATTTTATAACCGTTTTGAGGATCACCCGTCAGATTTGCTTTTAAAGTTTTATGTGTCGGACCAAGAATTATAATGTTATTTTCAGAAAGAGTGGTTCCATTGGTGTCAATAGTAAAGGAAGCAGTGGTCAAAACAGCTGATTTCTCTAAGCCCTCCTTATTGATGGAAACTTTAGAGGCATCCAATACAGTACATGTAAATGGAGAACCTATTATTTGAATTGAAATCAATTTATATTCAATTATAAATATAGAAATAAAATCAATTCTAAATATAACAAAATGTTATTTACCGGGAACTGGTTCTCCATTAAATTTAATATCAATATTGTGATCCTCTCTATCTTTGGGGACAAAAGTAATGGCATAAAGACTTGATCCCAAAGCCTTTGGAGTTGACGGAACTTTTCCATTGTTGACTATCACTTCCAAATTACCCGGACCTGCATTTGTCGCCTCGACTAACAAAATAAAAAATATTTATTATATATATAAGTATTTAACATTGCATTTACTATATATATATATATATAGTTGTTAATCACCTATAAAAGTGACAGCTTTTCCAATAACAATCTCTCGAGGAATTTCTTTGACACAAATTCTTTTTATGTCATAAACTTTTGATGAAAAGGGCGAACCCATGATTGCTATTCCTTTGTACTTCAGTTGAATTGCATATTCGCCTATTTATTTGTAAATTAATTATAAAAATAAATATAAAATATAAAACAAATATAAACAATTTATACCGGGGACAGTTGGCATAAATTCCAGAAATGTCAGATCAGAATGAGTATCTTTTTTAATTGTAGTGGCAATGGGCTGACCAGTTGGGTCTATGAATATATGTTTTAATTAGTTTTGTTTATATATTTAATAAATGAATATTATGACAAACCGGCTATTATGACAAATAAGTCACTTTCTGATAATATATTATGAATTGTAAGGACAGCTATGCTATCAATAGGTGCAAAATGAAGAGCTGAACCACTAACTGAAACTTTATTCATATCCGGATTAATATGAACAACGAAAGGACTTCCCAGAACTGGTTGTCCATTAAAAGTAATGGAAACAATGTGATCGATATTATCATTAGCAACAAATGAGACGCCAAACTTTGCGCCTCCCATGGGGTGCACTTGTGTTATAATGTTTTCTCCCTTTGCATTGACTGCTATTTCTAAGTTTCCTTCACCAGAATTGCTGGCATCCACTATAAATTGAATGGGTTTTCCTATACTTCCCGATGAAACAGGAGTCACCAAAACTTTTTTTGAGTCATAAGCTTTGATAACAAATGGTGATGTATTGATGGCTCGATTGCAGTGTTCAATGGTTATTATATGAGGTCCCACTTCTAATGGTGTGAATTCACAAACACATCCATCGATATACTCGACATTCACTGGTAATTGTTTGCCATTTGGGGATGTAATGAATACATGCATTGATTGGTTCTGAATAATAGTATTTGATGTTATGTTGAATCTGGCAGATAGTCCGACTGGGATTAGTTCAATATGGCTGACATCTACATTAAATTGTGTGGCATCGGATATTTCACAAACAAATGGACAGCCTATTTAAATAATTATATTAATATAAAATAATTTTCAATAATTTCATTCAAATAGTTACCTGGTACATTTTCTCCATTAAATTTAATGTCAACAATATGAGAGATGAGTGATTCTGGTGTAAAGTTAACCAAACATTTGCCATTACCCAACACTTGTACCTGATTAGGAACCTCTCCATCATTCACTGCAATCTCTAACTGTCCCTCTCCTGCTTGAGAGGCATCCACTATAAAAATACCGGTAATAGTTAAAAGTAACCAACTATTAGTTTGTTATATAAAACAAATCAAAAAAACTTATACAATACCTTGAAATTCAAACTTATGTCCGATTAGACAAGTTTTAGGTGTTTCGCTAACTGTTATTCTGGAAATATCATAAGCTTTTGCTGAAAATGCATTTGTCATCATTGGTTGACCGCTAATATTGATCTCAAACAAATAGGTGCCAACTATTGAGACACTAAAATATACACGAAAAGTATCGTTTTGTAGATCTAATATACGGTTTTGAATAATTGTTTTTGAAGGTCCAACTATGGAAACAATGATATCTTCTTTTTTGAATCCAGAAGCACTGATATCAAATGAATGTGTCTGTCCCACAGGGAAAGACTCAAGAGTCTGGACTTTTAATAAATCAGATTTTGATAAACAATTTGATGCAATATTTGGCGCAAATATTTGGCACTTAAATGGAGATCCCGACACATGTTCTCCATTAAACTTCATTTCAATGGTATGTAATGACACAGAATTTGCTACAAATGAAGCCAAGAAGTGATGATTTCCTAAGTTTTTAACTTCACTACAAACTCGTCCGTTGTTTACAAGAATTTCCAAATTTCCAGAACCAGCTTCACTGCAATCGACTATTAATTAAATACAAAACAATTTTTTAAATTTAATTGACAATACGGTATAAAAAAATTAATTAAACAATTAGTTAAATATAAAGGATGACTCACTGTTAAATTGGATGGGTTTGCCTATAATGCCATTAGGTATAGTTCCCACTTTTATTTTGCTGGAATCGTATGCAAAACTACGAAACGGATTGCCAGTAATTGCTTTGCCCAACGCCTTCACTTCAATTAGATGTTCGCCTATTTCTGGAGTTATGTACTCCACCTCATAGTGACCCGCTTTAATGGTATCCATTCGGAAAGGGATCTCTCGACTGGAAGGTGCTGTCAAAGTAATTATTTTAATTAATTATAAGACAAATTGAGCCAATGATGACCAACCAGTGACAACTATGGAAATGTCATCTTGTTGAAATCCCGGTGCATTTATAATAAAAACAACGGGTCTCTTAACGGCCACAAACTTTAATCCATTTCCATTAGCCGTTACTCTGTGAAGATTTAAAAGTTTTTGCGACTTTACAGCCGTTGAGTTCGCTGTTTGGATGCAATCTTCTGTAGAAAATACTTTAGACATATTTGATAAATACTATTACAATCAATTGATATCAATTTTATGTCAAATTATGACTTATCAAAGGCATGACATGTCAAACGTGGCACAAATGTCTTCAAAATCATCTCCAACTGCATTCCATCAAAGGAATGGGGTTTCACATCAAAATACATGAGCCATACGTCCTGTGCTCTGAAACTCACCTCAACTCACTTGTCAAACAAGTTCTTCACACTATTTCTTATATTATTATTTTCTACTACCTGTCCTCCCAACCCCTATTTCACTTTGGGATATACCCCTAATATTTACATATTGCAAATAATCATACTTGTTTAGTTAATGTTATATAACAAACAAATATTAAGCATTAATATAATAAGTTTTATATAAAAAATATATATGAAATTTTTATAAATATAAATAACATGGGGTAAAATTGAAATTTTAGTTTCTCTAATCTATTGTAATTATATATAATAATGCATACAAAATATTTATACTTTATTTTTATAATTAAAGTATAAAAATCATACATTTTTAAATAACCATTTATACAGTTATATAATACTGTAACATACATACGACAGGACGGGACATAACATGACATTTATTTTTACAAATTATTATACTGTTGTATAACTAATTGTATTGTATTGTATACAAACCTCTGTTAGTTTGTTGATTATGTCATATTTGAGCAATGCGAACAAATTTTTAAAATAATATTAATTTAATTAAAAATGATTTTAATTTTATTACTAATAATAAAAACAATAGTTAAAAATAATTACCGTACGATTATTAAAAAATAAGCTCCATACATTAATGATGGTAATAATTAAAAATTTGTTAATATATAATCTTAAAAATTTTATATATATTTTGTTTTATACAGTATATATATATATATATATATTATTATTATTATAAATACCGCATTAACTGATAAAATGTTGCAAGATCATTAACTAATATTTATAAAATTTATCAAAAATAATTATGCAACTCAGTTACCACACTGTATATCAATTGACATAAATATTAGATACTGTATAATATAATATAAAAATTGTGTCAATATTTTCATTAAACTTATACAGTAATAGATTTGTTAATATTTTGTTTATCGGCTAATTCTTAATGCAAACTCATGTCAGTTAATAAAACGGCATTTCTTAACAATAATTAATATTATATTTAAAACCTAATTATTTGCATTTCTTATATATTAAAAAGTGATTAAAACCCATTAAAAAATATTTAACTCAATTTTGGCAGTAATTTAGTTGACATTAGGCAGTGATAGTCACCAACACTAATGAGGAGCAGTGACTCGGGTCGAGTAGAGACCGGCGAACTGGTCGAGTAATGTGGAAAATCGGGCCGAATTGTCGTTCAATCCGTTTTTGAATTTGAATCCAATGGCCGAAGAATATGAGTTATAGAAAATACTTCGGACTGCTTGAAGTCTCTCTCGTCTCTGAGTTGTCTTAGACAAGTCTTTACCATTATTACTATTTATGCGATCCTTTTTATTATTGTTTAAAAATGAATTTTTAAAATCACAATTATCTGAATTACTACTCGAAGACGTATCTATTGAATTGCCATTTGTTTTGGGTGATGATAATGAATCGGGAGATGAATAACGCAATGATGTCTCACGAATACTACCCGTATCGGAGACCAGTTGCCAACTGTCACTCCGACTTAAAGATGATAAGTCATTATCTATTTTATGTGATTTATGAGAAGCATTTGCAGGAATAGCAACGGGTTGTGTTATATTAGTGTTATATCCGGATGAAGTAACAGTACTATTAGTACTTGAAGTACTCTTCTTAAGCATTGATTCATCCAATTTATTTATAATTGAATTAACAGGAGTGGCAAACATAGCATATCCTTCTTCACTATTAGTCAAAGTCGGTGGTGTTTTTCCGTAACCATTATCTCTGTCTGATTTGATGAGAAACGCATCTTCAGTATTACAAATAGGAAAATATAAAGGCGGACAGTTATCTTGACTCCTAGTGCTGGTTGAACTACAGTTGCTGTTCAAACTGGTCGAACTTCCTCTATAATTACCACAATTATTATGTCCATCGAGAAGTATTTGTGAGACATCGGTATTAACCAAATGGTCGACACTATGTTTGCGTTCTTTACAACAATTATTAGTAAGAAAATCAATAGAAAATTCTTCACTTATTATATATTTAAGAAAATAGAAACAAAAGAATAGAATTTCTTCGCCCTTATTGAGTCTGTCATTGAGGTTATGGCCAAATAAAAACCAGTCATAAGAAATGGTTAAAAATGTCATCTCTATTGGACTAAGATTTTGATGAATCTTTCCATCGGCCCATAAGGATAGTCGTAATAATGAAGTAAACAATGGAGTTCTGTCCCAACCAGAGATACAGTGGATCAGTATTGAAGAGTCACTTAAATTGAAATATAATAACAAAAGTTTTAAATAGTTTTGTGTCAGTTTAATGACATCCCAATTACGGTATTGATTCCAATCAATGTTAAGACCTTCACATATGCCGTCATTGTTGGGAACAATGAGATTTGCGTCAACAAAATGCTGTTTCCAGTCGTATATTAAACCTTCAGCTGAATATCCATTGTCACGATAGTCTTTGAAGAATTCACATCCAGGGTATGGCAAAGACATTATAGTGAACTCTTGATATCGACTCTCTTTATCGGCCTTTTCACTGGAAGTCACATTCATCCCAAACTTTACTTTTTTCTTCTCCACCATTAGATCACAGATATATCCAACTGACAGATATTTAAGAAGTTCAATATCTCTGTTTCTGACTTTAGAGAACAGATGACTGCTATCACTGATATTTAAAGATAAGCCGGCATTTGATGTGGAAGTAGTTTCGACATCAGATAAATGAGTTTTCAAATTATGTGTCACATCACTGTCCACATCACTATTATTTCGGTAATCACTAAATAAAAAGTCAAGACCTGATCGCCCATATATTTCTGGTCCGCCGGACAATGTGGCCGATCGGCAAATATACTTATTGTTACAAAGTATAACTGGAATCGGGAATCGAGCCCTACATCGGGCCACTCGAGCCCTACTAATCAAGTCTTTTAATTTATTAACATCTAATCGTCTGTTGGCATGTGATGTGCCATTTGTGCCATTACTCGATGGCATAGCAATTGTGTGACCATTAGTATCATTAGTCAAAGTATTGCATCTCTTGATGGGTGATACGTGTGAATCCACTTCATCCCAATTATCACTGTTAGCATTGTTCATGTCATAGATGTGTGGTATAATAATCTTTGACGGATAACTTGAGGCCAACTCTCCGTTATCATTGTTGATGATCTCGAGATCGTCATAGTCTTTAGCAAACAGTTTTACACAAATGGTTTCAATAAAATCACTTCTTTTATCACTATCTTTGGTCTTATAGTGACAAATGGAGAATAAATCGAGAAGTCGTCGCAAGTCATCTGAGGTCAACTCAATGTCTTTGAGTCCATCCATGACTGCGGTGTCAACACATGTGATGTCTAATCAAATAATCATTGCATTGATTGTAATCAAAGTGTTATTAATATTATTAATAATATTAATTGATTTACAACTCATAGCTTAACATAAATATTAACATCAATTCAATCACACATTGACTCCATTTTTGGCGACAAATACTAAATAAACGAATCAATTAATAGTCATATCATATACTGTAGTGTATTATACACTATATTGTACTGTAGTTTACATTACATTATACTGTAATACTGTATTTGTATGACTACTACACTGTCATACTATCCATTAATATAACGCTATTTAATATAACGCTATTTAATATAATATTAGTTTAATAAATTTATACAGTATTTGTTGTAATTTATATTATTATACTGTATTATAATATTAAATTTTTAATATATTTAATATTTTCCCTAATTTACTCATAAATATTACAATAAATGATACAATTTAATAATTAATGTCATTATATATTCATTGATTTGATTATTATAATTGCTATTAATTATAACACAACTATTAGTTAAATCTATTTTGTGTTTTATGTGTTATTTGCTAAAACTTATCAAAAATTTATAATTAATGATCAAATAAATTTGATAAATTATCCATTAATGTTTTATTTAGTCATTCAACCAAATAATAAATTTTCAATTTAATTATACCGATTATTAAATAAAATTGACATTAATTATAAACTCAATACATTATTTGATAAATTCAAAAGTGTATCAATTAATGCACATAACAGTAAAGTTTTTAAAAAATTATAATATACTGTAAATTAGTATCTAATAATAAAACATTAAAAATTGTATTTCAATTGTATTGCTTATCAAATTATTTGTTTAAAAGTTACTGTAATTTACATTTAACTGCAGTTGAAGTTCATTATATTAAAAGGGTGTTAATTTTGACAGAAATTCATTGAAAAAATATTAGATAAAAACATGAAAAATAATGATAACAATGACAGCAACCAATGATCAGTTAAATTATATAATAATAATAATAATATGTAAATTATCATTTTGATATTTTTGAAACTTTTTATCACAATTTTTATACAATAGCCACTTATTTTAAATAATAATTTTAAAATGAAGTACAGTATTAACTTTATAGTTTATATAATAACTATAATATTAAAATAAGTTATACTATATTTTACTATTAATATTTAGTATTCTTGTCTAACAAATCACTTATTTTTATGAATAGCATTGAAATCCTTGAGTTAACATTTGAAGTATTTTATAAATAATAATCATATATTTTATTACTTATGATTTGTTAGCCGAGGAATGCCTAAAAATATCCATATAAATTATATGTAGTGATGTGCATATTATAAAATTAGTGGTTAACATGATTTACAAAATACAGATCATATCCCTTACCAGTACTCATATCATTACAATTGTCAATCAATTATAGATTAAATGAATTAAATGATAATAATATAACTGGTATTTCATATCTCATTGCAATTGTATGTAATGTATATCTCATATAATTGTCGTCAATAAGTTTGTCGGTGTTATAATATGCCGGTCTCTCATATTTGTCGCTATTTTTGTCGCTTTACTTTATATGTAGACCATTGACTTAAATAAACTAATAGTAGTAAATAAATAATTATTTAAAGCAATAAATAATTACTTAGATATAAATTTACTAAAAATTATTACACAATAAGTTATTCAATTAATATAAAATTAATTAATGAATAAAACTTTAATCCAACATATCTTCAAAACTTTTACATAATTGTGAGTCCGACCGACTGTTTTACAATAAAAAGCAATAATTTATGACTCATTTAATTAATTAAAACATAAAAAGAGTAATATTTGGATCCAAACGACGAAAATTTACATTATTTGAAAATCGCTTTTTTAATAAAATTTTAATAAAACAATGCATTAATTAATTAATCAATCAGTAGTTGTTTGCCCGCAAATAATCTCCTAATTTCTCGACCACTGTATTCAGTTGTCCCGGCGGGAAGCCATCGGTAGTGGCCGCACATAATAGACCTGTCATTTCAATATAAATGTAAACATTTGTATGACAGACACACCCATAAGTCATCATATAATACATACATGTATTGGTGGCCACAATACACAGCGCCGAACTACCCTTTCGGCCGCGAATTAAAGTATTGTCCGCTTGAAGACAGAAGTACTTCTCTCCGGCCAAATGTATGCCGTGTTCTTGAAATGAATTGGGATTATCTTTCAAAGCGTCGGCTATTGCTTTCAGTTCTTGTTGTGATACCTGTTGTGACAATTATAATCAAGAAGTGAATCCAATCAAATAAAAAGTGGTTAGTATTGGTGACAAACCGGTTGTGAGACATCCTTCTCGAATTTGGCCCAAATCTGACCGTCGGCCAGACCTGCGATCACCGCTAATTTACACGACACCTGAGCACAGATCTGATTGTCCACATATGTCTGCCACGACATCTTCAGCACTATTTAATACAATTCAATCAATCACTCAATCGATACTCAATTCAGTGATTCAGTGATTCAGACGTAACCACAACTCAGACAAAGCAATGCATTGACTGATTGAACAACACTTACAACACATACAACACTACAACACTTTGACGGCATTGACGACACACTAAACACACACTAATCACACACAACACCCAAATATGGCTACCGATCACACATTGGCTCAAACACTATACAGTCTATAGTCTATACAACCATATTATAGCATTACCAACACATTTATATATATATACTGTAATTGACTAATAATTATTATTAATATCAAAATTTATTAAATCAAATTCATTTCAATTTTTACTTTAGATAAATTCTCATATCTGTTTAAACTATATAATATATTAGATCTATATAAAGCTTGGTTTTAATAAATTTGTTTAAAATAAATATAAATAATATTCAATAAAATGAAAATAAAAAATGATAATAGTAAATACTAATAAGTTTTAATGAATAATAATTAATTTTGATTGTATAATCTTAAAAATGATAAAATTAAATTAACATATACTTTGGTTATCTGTAGCATCAAATTTTTTTCATTACTTTATATCTACTGTATATTAATTGGTTAGATTGGGTGATGTGGGTTAGGAAAGGTGTGATAAAATTTGTAATAATCTATTATTTGAATATTGCGTGAAATTAAGCAAAAATCGATTACACAGATAACAAAGTTATTCCTAAATTAATAGTTTGTAATTAGAATCTACAGTATATTACTTGACATTCGGTAATGTTATGCTAATAGACTGGTGTGAACACCGGTAGAAATCATTCATAAACTTCATTACATCGGGAGTTGTAATAAATAATATTAAATTTGAAAAATTGTTTGAATTTTCAATTTTGAAAAACATTAAAAAATTATTAAATAAATTCAAACATAAATTTTATTATTTATTTAATTATATTTATTGTAAAGTTTAATAACTTATTGATTGTGTTAATAGTTGTTAAACAATAGTAAAAATTCAATAAATAAATAAATTTATTAATCATATGATTGAATCATTCATTACTCACGTATTTATTAGTGCTTTCTATTGACGTTATGATACAAAAATGTGTTTACAGTTATTATAACATATTTTGGACTATAAACTAACTGTAAGTTTAAGTATAACTAGGGTTTACTAATTACTTAATTATATTTAAATTAAGTAGTTGTCATAATAAGACAAATGTAATTAATATCTCAATCAATTATTTTTGTGTACTGTATGTAAGTTTATATATTGATTGTCCGATGTTTTTATGAATTGTAACGATTTAATAAATTTCTTAATATAACAATTATTAATGTAATTTATAGTAATTTATGATATATTAATGTATATATAATTTTAATTTTAAAAATTTGGAATATTTATGTTAATAGTATTATTAACAAAATTTTTAACTAAAAATTGAATTTCTTGAAACATTACAAAAAAATAATATTTTGTGAATGATTTAGTTTTCAAGTTTTGTGAGAAAGTAATGCAAAATATTTTATTGAAATTAAAATATAATTTATTTCATTAAAAAAAGTATTTAAATCTAAACTATAATAATTATATTCTTAATTATAATATTATTGAATTCATTGACAAATAATATTTTCTAAATATAAAATATGATTTTTTGTATACAAAATTTTTAAGACCAAATCTTTTTTTTTAAATGTTTTTAAAAATTTTAATGTAAATATTTTTTGCTGCAATTGTTTTTATGATGACAACTACTTTTATATTTTTTGCAAAAAAAGCAAAAAAATCTTGTTTAGTATACAAGTATGCATTATATTATATTCTATTATGTTTTATTTATTTAAATAAATGTTTTAATTTATTAATTTCTAACACTAATTAAAATCATTTATATAAAAAATATAATTAATTAAAAGAATAAATAAAATGTCATATAATAAAAAAATATGTTCAGAAAAATAATATTTTTAATAATTATTATTCTAATGATATTAGTTTTAAGTATTGATTGAATATAATTTAAATTAAAATAATTGGTTTTAAATTTTTAAAAGAATAAATAAGTTACTTATGTTTAAGAATTTTAAATTTGGTGTTAAAATGTGTTAAAAGTGATTGAAATACGGTATACTTATAATTAAGAAAGTTTTAAAATTCACAAAAAATGTTATTTTAGGAAAAATAGAAATCATAGTTGTGTTGCAAAATATAGTTAGTTATGTGAAATATTTATCAAATATTCTTTAAACTATATTTGATTTTTTTTTTGAAAGACGACCTATTTTTGAACATCGCTTATATGAAATGTGTCTTTAATTTTGAATCCGTGTTTGTATTTTTGTCAACATTTTTGTTACACAAACTTTTTGTACGATATGTTACACTATATTTATTATTTAATTTATATATTTATTTACCACATTTAAACATTTGCAAATAAATAAATCATCTCAATTTCCTATTAACATAATATCAAATACAGTATAAATAATTATGAAATTTAATTACATATTTAATATTAAAATATATTTTATAGTTATATATGTAATTTATATATTTAATATATCAATAATTATTTAAAGACATTTGTAAAAACTTTGAAAATTGATTTTATTAATTTACTAATGGGTTTATTAATTTGAAATACACATTAATTTCATTAATTTGATACAAATACTGTATTAATATTTAACAAATGGATTTATGTTTTAAATATGACCGACACATGAATTTGTTTTTTAACGAGTCTTTCATTATGAATATGTTTTGCTCTAAAAACAATTTGTTTTATTCATTTAATTTTACATTTAATAATTAATTTGTTGTCAATTATTTTTTTAGATATTATTTAATATTGCTTTGAATTGTATTTTATTTATTACTTAATATTTATTTTTAGACAATTACTGGTGTTTTGGAAATTGAAAATATTTTTTCTATATTATTTTAATTTGTTAATCCAAAACTAAACTTATTTATATTAATGGGAACACAATTTTTTATCTATTTTCTACAAACTTATTAAATTTATAATTAAGTTAATTAATATATTGTTTGTTATTAATATAAATATTTTTAATTAAAAAGCTCCGATGACTATTGCAAAAATTATTTGTCTATTAAAAAATCAATTAAAATAATACCTAATTAAAAATTGATATTTTGTCTAATTGTTTATTAAAATGATATAACATTTATTTGAATATAAAACAATGACTAATATGTTTGTCCATACAATTTGATATTTTTACGAAATATAAAAAGGATTGTTTAGACTGCAAAACACCGTTAACTGGAAATTCAGAAATTGGGAGAAGAATTCAATTTAATTGTGCAATAATTCAGCCCTAAAGCTGTTTGTCCTTAAACTCAACAACTTTTTGATGGCAGTCATCGCAAGTCTCCGACATTTGATTTGGAGCCAAATATTTTGACCAATTGGTCCTCATAGTGGTTAAAGTTGCGCTTCATTATGTCCATACAAGGACCTAATAGACGCTCAAATGCGTGTACATCCAGAACTATAATACAATCAATATTACAATTATATTAAATCAATGTAATTATCACATAATGACATAATGACAATACAGGCCAACTTGACTTCCGGGCTCAGGGCATATGCAGATGCAGCTCGTGGTCGGTGAGTAATGAGTGCTAATTCACCGAAATAACCGCCCTTTTCAAGTCGTGACAATTCTTGTTCGTGACCCTCCTTTCAGATCATATTTTATAAGTATTACTATATCTTTCATTTGATTTCATTATTTATAAAATGTTAATTAAAAATATTAAATAAATTAATATACTTCTGTGATTCTGGTAATCCTAACGATACCCTCCTGAACGAAATACATACCGTCTGCCTTATCATCCTATAAACAATAATATATTTATCTATAATTATAAATATTTTTATCTATAATAATATTTGTATATTTACTATATATAAATCAATCAATTAATTATTATAATTAAATATAAATAAAATAAATTAAGATTTATTTTATAATCACTTGTTTTATAATGAGGTCTCCGGCGATATATCTACGCGGCAATAAAGCATCACTTAAAGACATTTTTTCGTAGTGCTAGAGATTGAATGAATAAATAGTTAGAACAGGTATGTAGATATATAGGTATGTAGATAGATAGGTAGATAGATAGGTAGATAGATAGGTAGATAGATAGGTAGATAGATAGATAGGTAGATAGATAGGTAGATAGATAGGTAGATAGATAGGTAGATAGATAGGTAGATAGATAGGTAGATAGATAGGTAGATAGATAGATAGGTAGATAGATAGGTAGATAGATAGATAGGTAGATAGATAGGTAGATAGATAGATAGGTAGATAGATAGGTAGATAGATAGGTAGATAGATAGGTAGATAGATAGGTAGATAGATAGGTAGATAGATAGGTAGATAGATAGGTAGATAGATAGGTAGATAGATAGGTAGATAGATAGGTAGATAGATAGGTAGATAGATAGGTAGATAGATAGGTAGATAGATAGGTAGATAGATAGGTAGATAGATAGGTAGATAGATAGGTGGGTGTTTTGTAGGTCTAACCTCTAGTGACCTGAGCATGTCCACTTTTTCTATTAACGACTCGTACTCTTTTCTCTTCTTAAAAGCTCTTTTGAGAACTATTTTTCGGAATATATGTCGACTCTAAACAATATATTAAATTTCTATGAAATGATTTCAAAATAAATAAATAAATATATATATATATATATATGTTATACCATTGCCCAGAGTGAGCCTGAAGTCATGGCTTTAACAGTGGCCGCTCGGGGCATGTTATACATGAGCGCCAATTCGCCAAAACTTCCAGAATCGGTGTATTGTCCCACTTCTCGCTCATTTCCATCATCAGTTGTGACCACAATTTTGAATGTACCGCTAATTTATCGATATTAACAATGATTTAAATTTATATAACATTTAAAGTAATAAATAATATACTCTGATATGACATAAAAGTAGTCGCCATCGTCTCCCTGTCGGATCACAATCTCTCCCTCCTTTACCTATAAATAAAAAATAACATTAATATAATATAACTTAATTTACAGTACAGTATATAATAATTAGTTTCATTACATTATTATTATTATATAGATTCAAGTATTATAAACGACATTTAATACTCAATTTAAATAAAATATCAAAATATCAAAATAAAACTACAAATACTTCATTATCTATTGTCATAAACTACTGAAATGAATACAGAATCTAAATTCTATATTTTTATCCTTTTATCAGATTTTTAAAATTTTTAAGTTTTGACTTCAGATTTGGATAAAGCATCAAAAATAAGTTATATGGGATCAGCATTGAAATTGTCTTATTTCTTAAGGAACATAAAGAATATGGCGGACAAAGTTTAGATTTGGATAAAACATCTTAATGTTGTAAATATTGAATGTTGTTATAAAAGTTTTTTTTAACTATACCTTAAAAGCAAAATAGCAGTCAAAAAATTAAAACTTGATTTGCAAATAATTATCAAAATATAATTAAGAATATTGAAAAATTAAAATAGACAACAATTATTATTTATATTGGCGTTATTTTAAATTATGACACCCATATGATTATACTTAATATGGATTTTTCATTATGATTATTATAAAAACATATTGAATAAAAAAGTTTTTGTTATACTAAATCATATGTTACCTTAAGTGCTTATTGTTTAGTTTATTTTTGTCATATTGTCATTTGATATCTTACATGACAAAAGTTGACTTTATTATGTCATACTTAGTAATTTGATAATTAGTGTTTAATTATGTTGTTGTTAGATGATTAATGTTGTTTATTATGTCCGCCTGGAGTTCGTCTGAAAATGCTTTCTAGCATTCTCAACTGGTTATTAATATATTTTTGTATTTACTCACAACTTGTGAGTGTAAATGTGAGTCACAAGTCATTATCGTTTTATACATTTATAAAATAAAATTTATAACTAAAAACAAGGTTTTTTTATATAAATAATAATCAGTATTTAGAACTTAATTTTTGTTTTAATGTTAAATAAGAATGTATACCAAATTTTATATAGTTTAGGAAATATGATATTTTTCAATTTAAGTTTAAATTTAATTATATATGTAATAAAAGTACAACTAATAAGTTAAATGAATATCAGAAAAACACCTGAAAAATAAAGAATAAATACTTTTTCATTACAAGTCTATAATTGTATTAAATTATAATATGATTTGTAAAATTGATTTTAGATAATGTTTACTAAACATTAATTTAAACATTTTCTTATTTTATATATTTATTTAATAATATAAAAATTATTTATAATAGTTACTAATTCTTGTGTTAAAATTATATACAGTATATTATAGCAGTAATATACAAGATTGTGAACAACTTTATCTTAAATAATTTTCATAAAATTTGATATAAATAAAAATAAATTTAACTCTATTTAAGGTATCATTAAAATAATAATATAATTCATTATCTTTCTATGCATTATAGCTCTGGTAAATAAACTAAAATTTCAACTTTAAATAACTTGTGGATAGAGATGAGCAAATAGAAAGTTTCTAGAAAATTTCTCAGGAATAAATTTCTATAGAAATTTTACTTTACTGTTATACTATGGGATCCCCATATTTATAGTTATTGTAATATTATAGATATAATATTATACTATACAGTATAGTACAGTACTATACAAATGTGATTAATTTAATTATTTAAACATTTAATTAATTAATTTTGTAAAATTGTATTCATCATTTTATTATATATATCATACTGTAGTTTAATTAATTAATTTTTTACTCTAATTAATAATTAAAATACTAATAATAATATTTACGGTAATGTATTGTTATATGATAGCAAATATCGAGATAACAAAATTAAAATGGGGATCCCATAGATAGAAATTTCTTTTAGAAACTTTCTAGAAATTTCTCTATTATTTTATAAATTTCTCTTTTTTGCCAACACTACTTGTGGACCACATTGTATATCATCATGCAATTTTTTCTAATAAATACTAAATTAGTAATAGAATATTATACAAATTTAGTTTAATTAGCTAACTCATGTAGTTTTTGATATAATTACAAAAGTAATACCTGTATTTCCCATTAAAATTATTACCAATAATTAATATCTCAATTAATAAATATTCAATTTTATCTAATAAACAATTATAATGGAAAATATTACTTTTGTAAATATCTCAAAACTACATGAGCTAGCTAATTAAACTAAATTGGTAAAATATTCTATTACTAATATAGTATTAATTAGAAAAAAGTGCATGATGATATACAATGTTTTCACAAGTTATTTAAAATTTAAATTTTACTTTTTTAATTATCAAGCTTATTTTTCTTAAAAACTATATATTATAACTAAAAATGCTAAAAGACGTGTCTAATTATTTATTATTAAGTCTTATTTAGAATTCACAAAATTTTTAAATCTCCTTTAGTTTCTGATATCGTACCCTCCCTGAGCTAGCATACCGGTGCCCAAATAGAATTGAAATAGTAAACTCATTGTATTGGTGATAGAAAACCATAGTTGTAATTAAAAAATATTTTTAAAATTTTATTATATAGAGTTTAAACCAAAAACCAAAAAACCATTAAATTAAACAATTTATATATTAAAAAGTTATTAATTCAAAACATGATTATTACTAATGTATTATTATATATATTATTCCATGAAATCTCATTTAGCATGACTTTACTTTAAAACATAAAACAGAAAATTGGCAAAAATATTATAAATATAAACGATTAAATAAAATGAAAATTATTGAATAAAGTATTTGTTTTATTATATAATTCAAATCGAAAAATGATTGATTCAAATAAATCTCATGTCATTTTTCTCATTCAATGTATACCAAAATTAATTATTTAATAAATTTATATTTATATCAGTAAATTAAATGTATAATACAATAATATTATTATAAATAAATTATAATAACTTATAAATATATAAATCTTAATATGTACCAATTGTATATAATAATTAAATAAACATTTTAAAAATTAAATTATAAGAAATAATTTAAAAAATATACTAATTAAAAAAAATTTCATAATAAATATTAAAATGCCTTAATTATTATAATACGTTTTATTTTGTAATGAATATTCGTAATTTTAATAAAAATAAGTAATTCCTAATACTGTAGAATTACGAATATATATATATATATATATATATATATATAATAGATTAAATATAATATGAAGTAAATATAAAGAAAATTTTTGATATTTTATAATTTATCAAATAACTTATATTTAATTTTTAACAAAAATAATAAAAATTTTTAATAGCCGTATAAAATTAAGTTTTATATTAACGCGACTACAATTGTATTAACTCTTAATATGTGTCTCGACATTTAGTGCACATTAATTAATATTTATTGTTGTTTTTATTAAATTAAAGTTTGTAACCAATAACACAAATATTTCTATATAATTTGTTTCATAAAAATCTATATTTTATTATAATTTTACTAATATAAATATTAAGTTTAGATTTTTATAATAAATTTTTAATAAAAACTCATTTCGGTATTAATAAATATAAATATTTTATTTGATGTATCCTTAAGACAAGTTCTTATTGAATAAACTTTTGAAACTACTTTATACCTGTATATGTATATTACATACAATCTGTATGCAGTATATGTATAAAAATACATTTCAAAATATTATAATTTTTTTGTATTAAGTTCAATAAATTTAATAGTTTGATAGGAATTGTTTTTTAGAAATTGCAGTCAATTGTTAAAATAGCATTAAATAGTCTATTATGAATTAATAAATTATAAGATTTTTATTAATTATTAAATTAATAATTTGTCTAAATTATATAAAAACAATTGATAATAATTTATATCAGAGTCGATATTATCGGATAATAGGAAAATGAGTTAATATGTTTATTAACAGTAAATATAAATTTTATTTATGAGTAAAAGTAAAGTTATAACTTGTTTTATCACAAAATAACATAATTTATTACAATATTTATTCATTTCTTTATCTTTAAAATAATTTTTTATAATTTTTAAAATAAAATTATACCAAATGTCTGCTTTCATATTATTTTATTTTAACTCATTCTCCAATATCAATAAAAGTTAAATAAAATTAATTTAATGGTTTAATTATTGTAGAAATAAATAATTAATTTATAATGAAATGATTCAATAAAGTGTTTCTAAGGATTATTTCATTTAATAGACAAAACTACATTTTAAACTATACTTTTCATCAATTATTTTATTTTTTAAAAATAATTTTATATTATATGATTTCAAATTACATAAACTAACAATTATAAACGAGTTGAGAGTGCATAGCATTGCCAAAACAAACTTATAATTGTCTGAAATGTTCATTTTTATAAACTTTATATTACAAAACACAAATAAATGCAATCAAATACATAATTATAACTCGATTTTTCTAATATTTTGTTCATCACTGATATTTTGTTATTGTTGTCGAAGAGATGAGTTATTTTGTATACACATTCATCACTTAATCTTATATTTTATGGTTTATCCGAATCTGAAGTCAATTTAACAGATTTATATATTATAGAAGATTTATAAATTTAAGATTTATAAAATTTTAAAAATTTAAAAACCTGTTGAATATCTCGTAATGTAATGTTTATATAAATAATTCTAATACAGTATCATTAGTATAGATCTAAAAAAATATAACAGGTATTTAAAATATATACAAATATAATTATTAGCCTAACTTAAATATTTTAATTATTTTCCGTAAAAATTGGAGGGATTTTATTAGGGAACTTCCCTCACTTGGGAATCATTACAAACCCTATATATAATATAAATTCTTTAATATTTTAGGTCTTCTTAAAAGAATAATATTATGATCAAAGAATAGACTAAAAAACTTGTATAAGATTTGAATGTAAAACACTTATATTTCTTTAGACTTGATTTCATGTGATAACTCATATTAATTATAAAATTATTTTTTAAAATTATAAGTATGAGCTCTGAAATCAACAAAATGTTTTTAAAAAGTTTTATATACAATATTATTAATTATATATCTAATAGAGTATATAATTACTTTTGTAAAATATACTGTAGATTAATCCATATATTAATAATATATATTTAAAATATATATTTTTTATATAGACCATCAAAACTGTTTTTGAATATTATTATAACATTATACTATTGTAAAATTATAATATTATCACAAATACATATTTATAAAAAATATAATTTTGTTGGAATTTTTAATACAAATAATCGTTATTAATATTAATTAGTTATTACATAAAAATATAATTTAATTAAACAAATCTTACTTTCTTTTCAAACATAGCATCGATTACTTCAGACATTTCTAACTGTAAGACATAAATAAATGAAAATAAAACAAATGATTAAAAAGTTAATAATTAGTAATAATTATTGAGTTCATCACTAACCGGATCTAATGAACGAAAAAGGAGTATATTTTTAACGGCTTCTCCTAATCGTTGGCGCTGTTCATCACTTTTAGGATAAATAATCTGTAAAATGAATAAAAATGTTTTATAATTTTAATTATTGTTTAAATCAATTTAAATTATAAGACTTTTTCATTGTCATCGTCTTCGTCCTCTTCCGGATCGTAGTGTTCGGCAAATACTAAATATAATTAATTTTTAATTATTATTTAAATGCATAATATTTTTTAATTTATAACATTATACCCGACTTTCTTCGTGTAAACGACAGTCTGACCGGTGGCTCTAAAATATTTAAATAAATTAAATTTTTAAATTATTATTTTACCAGTACTTAATAATTTATAAAACTTATAATAATTAATATTATGTTTTTAATTAATAATTAGAAAAAGTCTAGGACACATTTTAATTCCCAAATATATTAACAAAATATAAAAATTTATTATTATTTTAAAATAAAAAATTAAATATAGATAAACTATTGTAAAATTTGTTTTTTCTATTTATAACAAATGGCACCATTTAAATATGTTAAATATTATTTAAAACTTAATTTCTAACTAAAATTTAATGATACAATTTCAAAGTCTACTTGTGATATTTTATTTAAAATCTAATTAAAACTTTTATATTGCAAATTACTGCACATAAAATTATTTCAATTAATGAACTAATTTAATGTTAATAGAAATGACTAAAAATTGAAAATTAAAAAAAATAGAAATGTAATAGTTTTCAATAATAAATATACCTATTGTAACATAATATACAGTATATATATTGATATATTTATTTGTTTTAATCTTTTTCGTAAGATTGTATATTTAATATTATCAATAATAATTATTATATTTATTTATATTATTGTTTAAACTATATTAATATATATATATATATATATACGATATGTTTACAGTAAATTAATTTTACTTAATTCAATAAATTATTTAAACAAAAAAACATCATTAATTCAATTTATTTTAATTTATATCTATTAAATAAAATGAAAATATCAAAATTTAGATAATTTGTTATAACTAATATTAAATAACATTTTATAAATGTATATTTTGTAAATTGATTGCAGTTTTAAATCAAATTTTAGTTGAAACTTTAGTCGATGAAAATAAATTTAAATTATAATTAATAACTTATATTATTAACATTAGTTATAATCATTTATTAATTGTTATATTAAAAACACAGAATTATTTTAATTAATTAAATTAAATTAAATTATAATTTATATCATATTATTTGTTAAATAAATGAAAAATACTAAATTTCATACTAATATCACTTGAAGTGGAATCGTTGTCGTCGTCTATCAAATGGTTGTTTTCATTGTCGTTAACATTAGTCAAGTGATGTGCAGAATGTTGTCTTTCGTCAAGAAGTCGATTGAAATAAATGGTCGCGTATTCCAAGAGATCCGTTGGTTTGTTCACTAAAACACTTACAGTAAAGTCTAGCAGAAGATTAGTGAGTTCTGCCGGTACTTCATATCTGCTTCGGTTTAAACTCATGTCCACCATATGTCTTAAGACAATACCATTAGTGTTGAGCACAAGTCGCTGGTAAGCGAAACGTCACTTAGAGATAGAGATAGAAAGAGAGAGAGAAAGAGAGAGAGAGAGAGACAGACACTTGAAATCAAATAGAGTTAGACTTCCTCTCTATCGCTATATTCTAAGCATACGTGAGATAATCAAAACAGATATCATCCGTGAGATCACATCAACACTTGCTATATATGAGTTTGAAAATCTATTACTTTTAGTTAGAAATATATACAATATATATATTTATCTACTCTCACACCTATTTGGTCACACATTCATTTTAGATAGTCTATCACTGTTTGACTATTATATCTTAATTTCTATAAAACCATATCTTATTAATTATCAAATAATTGATTTCAAAAATATTATATCAATATAATTATTGAATGCATTAATTATAAAACAAAGAATCACTCAAAATATAAATCATTGCTTCTCTTACTAGTCGTGGCTATAGAAGAGAAACTAGAGTACAGAATCAGACAAATTAAAAACCAAGAGATGAAAACATACTGTATATGAGTAGTGAGTGAGAGTGAGACTGAATGAAAGAGAGAGAGAGAGAGAGAGAGAGAGAGAGAGAGAGAGAGAGAGAGAGAGAGAGAAGTCCGGGGATGCGTTGCGAAGAATAGATTGTCTATTGATTGAAACGATTCGCACAACTGTTGGCTCCACTTCTGTGTTAAAGTGACTCATGTTTTGTATTAACCATTGATGTGATCGACGACTGCGCCCATCATATCATATATAATGCAAAGTAAAATACAAATCGATTTTATATCTCATTGTTAAACAACTAAATTAAACACTTGTTATATATTTTAAACAATTTATTTTTGTAACACATTTTCATAATTAAAAAATAATAAATATTCATTTTGAATGCAAATTATGTTATTAATATTTTATGATTTAATAATTTAGTTATATACATATATATATATATATATATATATATATATATATATATAAAATATATTAACAATGTTTATAAGGAGATTTTTAAAGAAGTTTATAAAATTATGTAATCAGAAACAACAATAATTATTATAATTGGAAACAATTAAGTATAAAATTAATTATTGCGAATGAAAGAAATAATCGATAGTTTTTTGCAACTTTTTTGACTCTACTTTCTTATTGTTTGACTCAGAATTTCGACTATTTTTTGTGTTCAGTTTTGTATCCGAGCTGTGCATCCGTTTAGTTGTCTTAACCGGTTTGGGCGTTGAATTAGAAGTGGAGGCACGAGTGGGTACTTTAGTTAACTCTAAACACATATTTTTGTTAAGACAAACATCAATGTGTGCATTGAGCTCAACGTTATCTTTAAATGACAATTGATTCGCACATATGGGACATAAGTAAGACTTATTGCTGTCATTGTTATCAATGTTGAGCGTTGGCCACAATTCTTCGACATCGTTGTTATCATTTTTGTCATCTTTTTCATCATTTTGAGTCTCACTTACATTTGATTTATCAATTGTAATGTTAAGTATTTTATCGATACAATCGTTTTCATGCATTTCAAGATTTTCTTTATCATGAAATTCTTGAAAACAAACGGAACACTCAAATACATTTGAAATACAATTTAAATCATTATCTAATCCATTTGTATAAATGTCTTCATTATCACCATTTATGTCATTGAATGTTAATTCATTATCACCGGTGGTTTCATTTGAATTAATCACTTTTGTTTCTGTGTTTTTATTGCTTTTTAAAGCTTTAAAAATTTGTGATAAAGTCATCTGAGATGTGGATCTTTTGTCGCAATCATCTGACTTAAGATTTGACACTTTGAGTCCAATTAGTCTATATTTGCGACAATTTGCTGAAGTATTACTCAGTTCTGTTTCCAACAGATTCTTTGCCACATTAAGAATAGTTTCTGAATCACATGTATAATAAGGAAGTGTATGTGATTTAAGTGTTACTTCAAAAGTAATTTTCTTTAATTTAATAGTAATTGTTTTACAGCTCTGATTTCGCTTAATGAGATCTGACGCCAAATCTTCACTCAACTCTTTCATCAAATCAGATATGGCATCAAAAGAGCTAATCTCTCGTACAGTGCGCTCACAACTCATACTTTTTTGAGGTTCATTGTCGCCACTGATTATATGACTGCCAATTCCTAAACCGACTCTCAAGTAATAATCAGAGTTATGTTGACTTAAAGCAAACCGTATAATATCTCGTTTGTGATACAAGTCTTTGCAAGTTTTGATATCAAGTGCTGTCAAATATTGTCCACTAACTGGTCCGATACCACAAACTTTTCTAATAGGAGTGTCGACTAAGAACTCTTCAATTTCTTGTCTATTGCCGCGAACCATATGCTGTCCATTAGGTTTGTTAATATCAGAACAAACTTTGGCAATCATTTTATTGCAAGCAATACCAGCGCTGGCACTCAATTGTGTTTCATCTAAGATTCTTTGTCTAATTTTTGACATCACTAGAGATGCCGTATCCCATATGTCATCTGGTAATTGGCGACAGTCTTTCAAACAATATCTATCAAAGTTTACATTTTGTTGACAGTAAATATCAATCACATATTCAGTTAAATCAATGTATGCCTCATCTAAACTCATTTTCATATAATTTGGATCAAATTCACTGATTATTTTCATCACTGCTTTGCTTTCCACAGAATACGATGAATAGTTGCCTTTAATTATTATCAATTGTGGACACAAACGCTTAGCAAGAGCTCCGGGCATTCCAGGTCTGAAACAATGGACACAAATTTTATAAATCTTATGATATAATACTGTAGTTATTATCATATTTCTCAAACCTAATGCCATATTTTCTTGCGATGTAATTACTGGTTCCCAACATCTGTTCACTTCCCACAGCAATGGGTTTATCTTTGAGAAGTGGATTGTATTTGATCTCAACGGCGGCGAAAAACATATCCAAATCTATGAGACCAATGATACGACTCATGTCTCGTTCAGATTCAATATTCTTCACATAAACGTCTGCTTCTTTAAGACATTGTTGTCGTTGCCATACAGTTATTGTTGACAAATGTTTTTTCATATCATTGATGTGGCCATCGATACGTTGTTGTCTTCGTGTTTGAAATGAGTGAAAATGGGATCCATTGCTCCACTCGTGTATAATCTTATTGATCCGATCCGTGTCCAGACCTGTCATTCCCGCCTTATTGTCATTTATATTCATAATGGTTGGTACGCCATCACTACCACTAATTTGCACCCCATTGTCACCTAAATTGGTCTCAATCTCTTGTCTATTATTATTATCCATTTGTTTTCTTTAATTATTTAAATCATTGCTAAAAATATTCAATAAATTAATTCAATCACTGATTGTTTCAAACGTTTGCCAAACATTCAGACAAAACATGTGATCCATTCATCACTTGAAATGCCATTAATTACGAGTTTTATTGTAATTTATAATTGAATGTAAAATTTAAATCAAACTAAAGTACGATTAAAACTATATTTATTTATTCAATATTTCTTATATATTACTGTAATATGTATTACAATATTATAATAATTTTTATATAAAAGTAAAATAAAGTATATAATGTAATGACAATTAGATTACATTAACAATTGGAGCGCTTCCAAGACATTCATCGTTTTGATAAAAGACTACAAACTATTTGATTAAATAAATTAAAGTCAATCATTACATCAACTTATAATGACATTAACATACCTGCCCTTCAGTTAAGGCACGTATCGGTAAATTTAAGTGAACACTGTAATGATCATCAGTTTTAATGAGACGACACTGTTGTGGCTGATCCTTGTGCTGACACTTCATTTCACATTCAAATGGTAAGCGATGTGACAGGGATTTCGGTTGACAAGTGATCCAATTTATGTCTTTTACTAACATTTGATTGCTATAAAGTGAGATATCATTTGTATGATTGGTCTAATAAAAACAAAAATTTAATAAATAATTGCAATCAATATATTATATTGAATATGACATTTCATACAACATATATAATATTGTTTTGCGGATCCTTTTTAACGACAAAGTACTTGTGTTTCATTCCTCCGATGCGACAATTCTGTCCTAAAGTCCAATAATGAATTCCTATACAAATACCAGTAATAATAATAATAATAATATATATGATGTGATGAAAATGTCAACTGATTAGGATATACCTAAAATGGGACAAACCTTTATGACTTCCCACAACTTGTTTGGTGTGAATGTCAACAAAAGAGCCCACTTTTGGTTCGATATATTGTTCAATAAATTTATTAAAATTTCTTTTACCAATAAAACAGATTCCTTGACTCTAATAATAGAAATCAATGTTAAAATAAAAGAGTTTAAAATTTTTTTTTTTGCTAAATTAATTTAATTGAACACTTAATTGACATTTAAGTCATGTAAATAGCAATAAAATAATATAATAAAAATTATGATAATTAGTAGAAATACTTCTGGTTTGTTAGCGATTCTTTGCAAACCATTTCGTTTGGCGATTGACTTAACTTCTGATTTAAGCAAATGTTGTAACGGAAACATAACTTTCTTGAGTGCCATTTGACTGATTTGTGCCAAAAATAGTGTTTGATCTTTGACTTTATCGGTTGGTCTTAAGAGACGGACAGCATTGTGGCAATTATAGTGTTGCCAGAAGTTACCATAACTGGTTCCCGCGTAATGACCGGTTGCGATGGCATCCATTTCCAACTTATCGACGCAATAGTTAAGAAATGACCCAAATTTGACAAATTTATTACATAAAACATCTGGATTTGGTGTCTTTCCTGATATATAACTGTCCACAAGATAACTACAGTATAATAAGTGATAATTTCTTAATAAGTTAGTCTATTAGTGATACTGTCATCAAACCTAAACACTTTGTGCCAATAAGTCTTAGCAAAACTAATTTCTTTGAATTCAATATTAAGTTTATAACAGACTTCTTGAGCTGACTCTTTGTGGTCATCATTGGGACAAATGGTGTGATAGTTATCTTCAATCCAATTATTCATATAAATACCTATTATATTAAAACCTTTAATCAAAATAAAGTCAATAAATATTGAAAAATATGAAATCAATTGAAATGACCTCTTCTTTGAAGCAGAAGTGCAGTGACAGCGCTGTCAACGCCTCCCGAGAGGGCGACCGCCACTCTCATGGCTTATCATTCATATGACTTAAACAAACACAACATTACACTAACTTATACTTCAATTACTGTACAGATTGTATAGTCTATACAATAAAACATATAATTTATGTGCAGTAGAGTTGATAAAAGTCCAGTTTTGCCCTACAATTCAAGTACAATACTATATTAACTATCAATTTTGGATTTAATTTTTTGACCGAAAAACTAATTTAATTGTGTTTTTATTGAATTAAAGTTAAAAAATTACATTTGTTTTTCATTAAGTCGAGCACTGGTAGTATTCGCAAACTAACACCAATTATTAGGTTATAAAGGAAATACTGGACATATGATCGACTTAAAGATAAATGTTAAACAATGTATAAATTTAATGATTCAATAATTGAATATTGAATATTTTAGATTTTAATTTTTTAGTTACTATAGTTTTTAAATTTTAGTAAACAATAAATATTTTATATTAATTTAAGAAAATAGTTTTCGAAATAATAGTAAATTTATTATTTTTATAGGAATTTCCTTAAATTTTATGCCATTTTATTCAATCTTCTAATAATCTAAACCATTGCTTAACATTGAATACATGAATACAACAAAACTTTTCCAATAAAAACATTAAACATTATTTGAACTCTAAATGATATAATCAACAAATATTATTAAAGTCTCATTTACTATGAATTAATTGAAATTTCTATTAGAATTTTGAATTAAAAACTAGAAATCAATATTTTTAACAAAAATTTATGCTAAAAATTTTTCAAATATTCAATTCAAATAATTTATAAACTTTGGATTTTTAAATTTTTATGATTTATACGAGAATAACATAACAATAATTATTATAATTTACACACAAAACAGTTATACGAAATATTTCAGTCAGTGGATCAATAAATTCTTTTATTGTATATTGAATTTGCAATAATAAACCAAACAATTAAAATTGAAATTTTATCCATTTTTGCAATATATCAAAAACTACGGATAATTGTACCGCAATTTATATTTATTTGTAAATTGCAATATTTAATTAAATATAATCAATTCATATAATATTTACTTACGTAAGTTTTTAGTAACCGTAATTTAAAAGTACCGATAATTAATAATTATATATATAACAAATAATTAGAAATAAATTTTCATACATGTAATATTTAAAACAATTTTATATCATATAAATAATACACTATTTATAATCGTAAATACAAGATTAATTACAGTCATGATTTAAAAAAAAAATGATTATAAGATTTATAGAAACAAATAAAATCTATTTGAGATCAACATAAAATTTTATAATTATATTATATAATCATATAATGTATTTATTAATGAATATAAATAATAAATTTAAATAATAATTATAACCATTAACTATAATATTTAATTAAGATTTGACAAATAGAAAAATTATTTAAAAAAATTAATAGTTAGTGCATTGATGTTATGTAATTTAAATACAATGACAAAATTGTATAAATAAATTAACTATAAAATTGTATAACTTGTATATTACATGGCAGTAGTTGTTAGCGATGAGAGTGACATATAATTTGTATTTTGAGAACAAAGAAAACTTTGTTAATAATATATTTAACATATCTTTATACCGATTCATAAATATACTTTATATATATATATAAATATACTGTATATTATATATATTAAGTATAATATAATTGGTTATATAAATATAACGCAATAATTAACTATTTTGTAAACCTTTACCTCAGATTATAATACAATAATAGTTAGTATTGTCGACATTGTATAATAAGCACTAAACGATCGCTAAATATTGTACTTTGGATTCAGTCGTCAATACATTTAACTGAAGACCACTAGTCTTTAGAATAGTATTTCTATCACAAAAAGTTCTCTTCAGTTTACAATTTATTTTAATATTAAATTTTAAGTAAATAATTCATAATAAATATTATTCAAAACTATTGTAAATATATCTCAAAAATGTTAAAATCACGTGAAGGAAGAACTGATGGCATGGAGTGTGAAATTGTCGTATACTTCCATCAGCTCATCCATAGTATATTCTTCAAGTATTACAAATTCCTCTAACTGTGCACTTGCTTTACGAGCGCAGTCTAAACAATGGACGACATGTTTTTTGTCCACTTCTTTAACAAAAAGCATATTAAACACTTCCAACTAATAATAATAAAAAAATTTCATTAATCATTATCGATATAAATATGAGTAAATGAAATGCAATACTTCACAATTGACGCAATAGTGTGCGGCCTCATTCTTTCCGCGGCCGTGCCATCGAGTTTCGCGACCAACACTCTCAATGTATTGTAGTGTCATTTGACATAATTTTAAGCTTCTCATCAATGAATGTCTTTATTAATAAAATAAATATTAAATACTATAATTAAAATTAAAGTGTTTGAAAACATACTTAATCATATTGAAGAGTTGCGGTTCCGATACTTTTATATTTCGGGCCAAATTCCAGGTCAAGTGCTTTAACGGAACAATTGATTTGAAATTCTCTAATTTATTCCATTCATATCTATCAACAGCTAATATATATTGTTTGGCAGTGAGAGGACCGACATTCCAAGCAATGTTATTACACCAGCCAACAGCCTGAACCCAATGAACTGTACCGGCATTAACCCATACTAGATCTCCCGGTCGCTGCAAAAATCTATAAACCGGTATATTGTCGGCTATTAAATCATCGAGAGTTGGCCACCACGAGCCGTGCAAATAATTTATATTATTCCTAATTAAAAAACAACTCTTAATACTTGTTTACTAAATCATTGTTAACATACTTTTCACACATTCTCTGAATGACTCCCCAATATTCATCGGGAACACCAAACCATTCACAATCTCCCGGTCCTATATTTATATTAACTGAACAGTAATTGTTGTTTTCTTGATGACCAGGAGTTCGACAACCGGGTACTTTCATGTATAGCTGAACTGTATTCATACCCAAAATAACATGTCCCACATGACTCAACATATTACCGGCTGACACTACCCGTGCAAAAGATGGCAATTTTGTTAACTCTTGTAACTGTGTTTTCCATTTCTTTTCATCTGATAGATCAACGTTTGTACCAAACTTTACAGTTTTAAAGGTACCGTTCCTTTTAGTTTTCTTTCCTCTATTATAATATAATCATATAATATATAAATATTTTTTTATGAATAATAAACACTCAATTCATTATACTTGGACGGAGCAGAAGAATTAGAGTCAGTATCTGAATCTCTGGATAAGCCTAAAGCTTTGTCCTGTTCCTCTCTAAGAGATTCTTGGAAAGAGGAGGCCTGATAATGAGCATATCGTGCGATTGTCGTATGTGACCGATGGCTCTCACATCTCCACACTTGTTGTCTTCTCTCGGGATCCCAATTTTCATCTGAAGGTTGAAGTAATTGTGTCCTGACCTCAATTAAGTGTTCAGGATTTGCCTCAACAAGAGTTTTGGTTGAAAATAATCCTAAATCTAAACTTTTAATTAGCATTTTGTTGAAATTATAATATTTTATAAGTATTACAAACCTAGTTTGAGAACACTGGCTAACCCTCTAATAACAGCAATAGGATGTGCTAAACAAAATTCATGTAATTGTGCAGAAAAGGCCTCCTTTTTGTTTTCAAGCTATTATTACAAATAAATAAATGATTATTCAATAAACAATAATTAATATTACTAACAAAAAACAAACTCACAAAAACACTGGGTGCTGCTGGATGTAGTTTATCATTAGAAAGTGGAGGATATGGTGGATCGGGTGGTACAGGTGGTCGACCCTCATCCGAGATAAGACTCGATACTATACGTGTATTTTTTGGCAGTTTTTTACAAGAATTGATAATCTCTTTTGCCGTCATCTTAATATTGAGCTGCGGTTGATTGAGACTAGAAGTCGATAAAAGCGATGTCATTGTAGTCAACGAGTTATCAATAGATTTTAATTGTAAAAGCTTTGAATTATCTGAACACATCATTTGAGTTATTGTTTGTTCATTATTAATATTATTAGTATTATTATTATTATTACTTTTATAACTAATACTATTAACAGCACTGTTTTGGGCACTACTGGAGTTGGCAGTGATGTCATTATGACTAGAATTAGTTGATTGAGTTGTTTGAGTTATATTAGAGTCCGACTCAAAGTTGAACACAAGGTCTTCAGTCGATGTATTTAACTGTTTGTTTGAAAGTAATGATTGTAAGTCCTGGTCGTTCAATAAGACATTGTTTGAGTCGCTACTAGTGCTGGACGGACCCAATTTTTGCTGAACACTTTGTGGTGACATTTTTGCAGACGACTGTAAGTGAGGAATGCTTTGACTAATTGGTGATCTAAATTGTGCACCAATTGAATCAGACTTTATAGATATATCCGATAAAAAAGGTGGTGTTGTAGGACAGCCTGCTGTTGTCTGGCCTTGCATTGCCTGTTGCTTTAATAAAGACATTTGCTTTTGTTGTCCCAAATAACGACATTGTTGCTGAAGAAGACTCTTTTGCTGAGAAGTCAAATTTGCCTAAAGAGTATAATTAGCGGTAATAAATGTCTTATACTTAATATATTGCTTTAATAAATACCTGATTTTGATGCAAATAATTCATAATTTGCATCTGTTGTTGGTTGAGGTAGTGAGGGGATTGTGGGGCCGAACTGTTCATATGAACGGGTAATCTGGACGGGCCCTCCGTTTTTTGACGTTTAACGCCACCACCGACGGTGTCATCGTTTTGTCGTTGGAATGCATTTTGTCGGGAAGCCATCTCTTGAGAGATGGGAAAATTCCAGGCATCCTCTATACACGGCAACGTCTTACTGCTTTTGGATACACTTTCAAATTAATTTATTTATTAAATCAATTAAACAGACAATCAATACCTCTGAGAGCTATTATGAGGAGCAGTTGAGAGTTGGCTTTGCAAGAATTTAACTCTTTCTGAAAGACCACTGCTTTGAGTTGGTTTGCCTCGGGATGCGTTCAAATAGCACTTTAAAGCGTCTTGAGGTTGATTGCAATTCTCATAAAGTATTCCCAGATTAGTCCACGCGGCGCAGTGACTCTTGTCTAACTGAACTGAACATATATAAGCTTGAAGTGCGTCCATAGGCTGGTTTTGCTGCTGATACAATACACTATCAAAGTATAAATCAAATTATAATTAAATAAAAATTAAATCATTTAAGTTATAATAATGACTAACCCTATTGAACACCAGGTGTCTGCGTTAGCCTCTGCTTTGTCCACAGAATTTCGATAAGAAATGAAGGCATCGTGAACTTTGGTTAAACTTGCATAAAATCGGCCCAAGAAATACAAGCTCTGACCAGAATCAGGATCTGCTTCTATAGAGCTCTTCAAGTAATTCAAGGCTTGAGTTTGTCTGTGCTGTTTATCACCTAAAGAGTCAACGATGTGGTGCATCCAACCCAAGTGCTTATATATGTCTGCCCTTAACTTGACTGAAAGATCTTTCTCTTGAAGTAACTTCTCGTAGGCTTCTTTGGCCAACTTGTGTTTGTCCTGAATCTCAAACAGGTGTGCGATATGGAAGTGAACTATCATTTTAATTATATATTAAATCATTAATTTATTTAATATTATATCATATGATAACTCACTCTCTAATTTAGATATCGAGCAAACATTAGAGTCGTTTAGTGCTAAGTGAAAGTGCTATAAGATATACAACAAAATATTGTTTAATCAATTCATCATATATTTCATTAGTTTGCTTACCTTTAGTGATAAGTTGTAATCATTAAGCACTTTAAATATGAGTGCGAGTCTCACGTGAGCTTCATTTGCACGTGCAAAGGATGGATCCAAGTATAAGACCTGACGAAATGCACAAATCGACCTAAAATACAATTATTTAATACATTATAAAACATATATCAACTAATAGACAATAACTGGCAATAAAAGCTAAAAACAACTCAAAATGCCATATATTTACGTCTAATGTTAGCTTTAGGGCAGTAAAGGACATGTTTTGGCACTAAGAGAAAGCCATCAATTGTAGAGATAATATATTTGTTAAACAATGACAAGTGTGGCCCATAAGGTATAATATATTAAATATATGGCACTTGTTTTCAAAATAACTTTGCAGACAAACAGTGCAAATGTGAACACTTTCTCAATAAAAATCATAAGTAGAGAGAGAGAGAGAGAGAGAGAGAGGACAGTGGGGACAGTGAGGACAGGGCCCACAATTCAGACCCTTTGCTTTTGTTGGTCTCTTTATTTGATAGCAGCTGCAGATGTCTTTATGACAGGTCTGCCCTATCCTAACACTCCTTCATACAGTATGAAGGCATACGTGACTCAAAACTGCTGTTTAAGGCTATAGTTGTCCCATAAAAGTATAGAAATCTCATTAAAAGCTCATTTTCATCACACAGTATATAATTAATGCGCTAATTATATCAAATAATAATAATATTAATTTATTAAAAATATTTGTCGGCTATATATTGACCACTTGGCAGATGTCTTGTCATCATTACATGTGTTGGTATATACAGTATAAGAGCACAGTTAGCTCAGTTGATACCATGATATGACAATTGAAGGGCATTAAAGAGCCTTAAGATATATTATATACACTGTATATACTGTATAACTTATATATTGGTTAAGGCGACTAACCTCTCACTAACTACAAGTCAGTCACAGCAGTCACCCCTAACACAGCACTTATAATCACTTGAATAAAACATTGTATCAATTAATGTCTTTACCTTTAATATCAGTTTAAATATTGTGTCAAATTTGGATAAAAATGGTGATCACAACAAACATATAGATTAAGGCCAGAGACAGACACGACATGAGATGGGATCAAATCACGTATACATTCAACACAAACACCACATCCTTTGCTCGTTCACAACACTACTAGTGCTCTCTTTCTCTTTAATACAAACTATCATATACTGTATAAACACAAAGAGTGAGAACAGCAGCTCATACCAGTGCCTCATACCAGTGCCTACTATCAGATCCTACAATACAATAAGCAAACCATTGCCCTTAACGCCGCCCTATAGTTGCCGTTCCCCTCTAAGCAACTCATAGACACAAACTCAGTACAAGAGTGAGTGCACTGACAGTCAAATCACTAACCGATAAAAGAGATCTCTGTTTGCAAACACATAACAGGCTTTCCCTAAATTTAAACTATAATTTCACTGACTGTCTGACTCAGTGATTGTATTTTTGACTTTTAAAAAGTTGGCACCAAATGGTTAACACTGACATCAACTTCATTATTAGCATCACTTGTGACTTACTCTTCAGGAAGTCATTTCATTTCATTTTTATTTTACAAATTACTAAATCACTTACCAATGATAGGCATTGAAGTGAAAGTATACGAGACCAAGACTGAAGACGAAGGGCACATCCTTTACCATTATATCCATTCAATTAATATATAACATAATATAAAGTATATATAAATATTAATATATAATTAGTTATATTATAATTAAATACCTTTTAACACATTTCAAATAATATTGAATACTAATATTTATAAAAACTATCTATATTTTCTAACTATAGTAACTGTATTTAAATATTAAACTTTCGTAAATAAAATAATCAAATAAATCATTAATCATTAATCATATATTAATTTATATTTAGTAATATATTTGTAGTTTTATGAAAATATGTGAAGAAAGGTATTTATGACAAATAGTTAGTAAATGTTATAATAACTCACTTTCCAGTGTTCTTCACTTAATGCAATAAATCGTTGATAGGCTGACAGTGCTATTATAACAATTGAAAACAAACTAAATTTATTGGTTTCAAAATTATAAAACAGATAATATATAATATATATCGATAACATTTAATCCAATTATATGCCAATTATTTTAAATTTTATATAAACTCCAATTGATAGATAAATTATTACCGTAACAATTATTTTATACACAATTTGTATTTTAAAAGTATTTGTGTTAATTGATTAAATAAAAAATTATGTTGTCTTTATTAATTAACTCTAATTATAATAAATTATATAGTGGTTAGAAAAAATTATTGATTCATAAATATTACAAAATTAAAATACAGTATAATAATTATCGTTAAGTATAATATTATAATTGATATTTATTTTTATTCAATTCAACTTAATACTGAAAACCACATATTTACTAAATTTTATCAGTATATTATGGTTATTACTTACCACAAGTGATTTTATCTATTTTATTAAAACAAACAATTTGTTAAATATTTATCATTTAAAACAAATGACATGAAATTTGATCAATAGTTATCGAAATATTAAGTATATGTCATAATATCACATAGTTTTCAATTTTTATATTAAAAATTACTATTAATTAAAAATTTACAATACTTTACAAAACTCTTTGTGTGTTAATATTTGGTAAATGAATTCATCAAATGATATCAAAGTTGTTTTCTAATTACTGATTAATAAATGTAATTATTGTAATAATTTATTTTTAATATTACCAGAAATTTGTTTTAACTAAAAACTAATAGTTATTATTAAAATTTTTGATTAAATCTGTAATTTTAAATAATTTGAAAACAAATTTGATGTGTTTTGATGCCAATCACGATATTAATGCACAAAATAGAGGGTAATATTGCAAAGTAGTGTATCTTTTATGACAAACCTTTAGCATAATTGCCTAATAATAAGTTAAAGTCACCGATTTTGCAATAAATCTTAGGATCAATTGGTTTACACTTGAGTTCACTTAAAGCCTTGTCATCATTGACTTGATTGCCATTTTTGTTGTGCTTTTCAAGCAAGAGATGTCTTTGAAGTAACGATGTCTCCAAAGCTTTGATGGCCTAATCATTCAACATATCATTAATTAACTGTTGAAGCAATTAATGGTCAATACCTTAACAATCAATGACTTGGTTTGATTGTTGACGGGATCTTCGAGACGAAGCACTCCAAACAAGCGACTGATTCAAAGAGTATGACAATAATGAGATACCGTCGATGACTATCTGTAACACAACATACCTATCGATATCTGCGAGTTGTAGCAACTCTTGTGATGTCAAAAGTGGCCAACTATTGCCAGACGACGGTTCCTCTGAAGTAACCATTTGTTTAGCGATTAGTTGATACAAGTAATCAATAATAATATTATCAATAAGTATGACATCATTTCAATCATTTAATTCAATCATTTATTTCAAATACTTTTCAAACTTTAATGGCGTTCAAAACATTCACATTATTTATCGACACTAACGCCACATATACTATGTTATGAAAAATATTAAATTATAAACATATTAAACATATAATTTTATTTGATATCATAATTATAGTAAATGATAGTCATTTATTTTAATAAATTATTTTAATCAATGATTATTTTTATTAATTTATTGATAACAATATCAATAAATATGTAATTAAGTTAATATGAGATATAAAGAATTTGTTTGAATGAGAGCTTTTAAAAATATGGTCCAAATATGAGACACAAATCATTTTAAAATTACATTATAATTATTATATGTGTGCTCTTCTATCAATCATTTTTTGAATAAATATTAATTTTTGTTCAAAAGACAAACAAATATTAAATATGTTTTACATTAAGACTCGTCAGAGATTTGGCAAACAATACAATACATTATACTTAAATACAATAATAATTGATATTTTAATACAAATTGAAAAAAAATCTAAAAACTCATAATATATATAAATCAATAATTTTTAAAGACTAATAGCCAAAATTAATATCAACAAAATCTAATAAATTGATGGATAATTTGAAAATCTAAAATCTCACGATTTGTCAAACATTAGTTAAATAGAATCATAACTGAAAATACTAAATAATATACAATTTATATATAATAAGTTATATATATATATATATATTATTTTTTGATATATATAGCACATGCAATACACTAAATTGCAAAATCAAGGAAACTTATTAAAAGCTTAATAATAATAATAATATATCACTTCAAATATTTATATATATATATATACTGTATAATTTATATATAGTACATAAATTTATGTTATAACTTAATATATGAATAATGATTACATCATTAGTGCGTCTGTTTTCGGGGTTTTCAACGATTTTCCAGATATAGGGGTAACCGTGATATTTAAGTACACAAAAGTACACAAGTCTTAATCGTTAACATTTAAATTAAAACAAAATTAATTGTTGTGTAAATAAAAATAACAAACACTAGAAGGAAATCAATTCACTAATTCAAATAACAAGCATTGTTGGGATGACTCTAATCCTGGAAAGTAGTGATTGCGGTAATGAACTAAATATGACACCACTTGAGACTAATTGGCAAATCTGTAGATTGAGATAATACCAATACTGGCGTTTCAAATGAATAAATTCATTGGTTTATAATTTACAATTAATTAACTTTCTTCTTCAGTGACAACAACTGAAGTTTGTGTTCCATTGAGAACAGTCTTGACGTCTTCTGATATGGAAACGGCTGTTGTAGCGTTCGGGTCATTCATCTCATCTGAACAATCAGTCAATTCAGCGATTTGTGCCGAACCTGTTATAGCACTCATAGTCAATGGTAGACCAGCTTCAGTTAGATTCTGAATATTTGTTACAACAGTTTGATACATTGACACCGGAATTGTAACCATTCCAGAGACTGGAAATGCTGTTAAAAATAGATATAATCATTTGATAACAATACTATACTATAAATAATTCATTTCATACTGCTTTGAGTTCCATCCTCTCCAGTTAAGATGATCTGACCATCGGGACTGATGGTAGCCTCGGCAAGTGATACTGTTTGTGTGGTACCATCACCGCTGAGATCTACATTAACAGTTCCAATTTGAGTGACTCTGTCATGTTCCTGACCAGTAGCTATGTCTGCTAATGTTTGTACAGCTTGTGTGGCTTCACTACCAGTGTTTTGTATCTATAATATAGATATGAAAAATTAATTTCAAATATTGTTATATTATATTATAAATTGTATAAATCTTACCCTTAAAGCACTAACTGCTCGAACTTGTGCTTGAGTTCCATCAGGTAGTGTAACGACAGCACTGTTGGGATCCATATGAATGATAGATACGGTTCCGTCGGGATTACTAATTGTTTGTAACATTGTTGGCGCGTAATGTGCTATTGGTTGCGCATAAAGAGCCTATCATCACAATAATATTATTGCATTAATAATTGCATAAATATATAATAAAACAATTTTGATATTCAATTAAACAGCAAACAAATATAATGCAAAGCAAAACCATAGCATCAAACGTAACTCAAATGAACAATATGTCAAAATAATAATTAAAATGCAAAATAATAAAATTTGGGTAAACAAAACTTTTACAAAACAGCAAATAAATCATCATATAATCACATTATGCAATCTTTTCAATGTTAAAAAATAAATAAATAAGGATTGCATGATTAAAATCATGCATTTAATGCAATTTTAGTTCAAAATCCAATTGGTTTTGAATGGGAAACTATTATCAGACATACGTTGACCCCCTGAGCGGCCGCTGCGAGGGTATTGTCAGCGGTTAATGTGGAAACAGTGGCCACACCGCTAGCGTTGGTAACATTGGTTACATTGATGCTGCTATGGGTGCTTCGATTTTTCACCTTCTCTTTGGTATGATTTCCAGACTTGTCGTCGTCTTCACTAAATGTTGGCAATAAGTCTTCCCTTCCGTGAAATTTATAACAATTAATGACAATCTGTCGCAACGCATGAGTCCACGAAACCTATTCAAATAAATTATTATAATTTAGTAAAAGTTATATAAAAATCTGCCGATAAGTCAATACTTTTTGTTTGTCTTCCTCAGTTCGAGCATCACTTCTAACATTAGCCCAGGGAAGGTCTTTAGGCCACCAGGGGGGTCGTGTTGACTCTTTACCCCATCCAGGTTTACCTCTACCGGTTGAGTACTTTAACATTAAAGGAATGAAAGCCCTGAGCTGTGCCTGAGTCATCTTCTCGACCGGCGTTGGGATTCCATCAACGACTAGAGGAGGCAATTCATGCAAAGAGGGGTCCTCTTTCACTTGAGGGGGTGCCTGTTGTGCCAGTGCTGTCTCCAACTCCTGCATTATCAGTGACCGACAATGTCTCACCTAAAATAACATTTAAAACATTTATTAATTTTTCTCTATTATTAATATATAGCTAATACGTACCACATTTTCAAGAGGTCGCGCACCGAACACTTTGAAATTATTCTGAGGTTTCCCGGGAGTGACTATTAGGACAACTGCTTGTTGTCCAACACGTGTTGTATATTCATCTATTGTCGCTTTTAGCTTTCTGTATATCAACAATATTTCAATATCAATACAAATCTATAAATTTATAATAAGTCAAACCTGAGAAGTCGTGTTTGTTGTCGTTTTCTAATGGATGGGTTGGTTTCAAAAGAATGAGGTCTCTTTCGTTTTTTTGCAGTGGCGATAGCAGCGGCAGCCGCAACACCGATTGGACCTAATGTTTGACATTATATCACAATTATTAAGACATAATAGCCGACAATAATAATATTATATTACCTGCAGCAGCCAACTGTGCTGTGATATCGTCGTGTCCATCACCTGAAAGGAGGTCTGCGTCGTCAAAGGATGCACTTTCGGGAGATGAAGGGTCGTCACTGAGATCATCGACATCACCGCCATCTGAATGATTCATCGCCTCCTCTTTGGGTTTCATTAAAACCACTCGTAATGTCGATTACCACATCAATGGTCTATTAAATAAAATAATAAATAAAGTCTTTTTGGATACACGATTGGAGTAATACTTTTAATTTGTTGGTCGCACACAAACATAACCATATATTTTGTACAGACATTTAATTATTATTTTTATTTATATATATATATACGGTATGTATGATATGTATATGATATACTATATTAACTTATATTTTACCAAATCTCTATTAATCATATTAGACATCATTTCTTAAGTATAGTCCAAATGATAATATGGCAGATATATTATTTGGCTCAACAATAATTATTTAAATATAGTTTTAATATTAATTATATTAACACTGACACTAACCCTAAAATATGAAAATATTAAATTGCTAATTATATAATAATTTTTAATTGTGTTTTTTATATGATATATATATCATATGTATATTATAAAAGTAATAGAAATGAATTGTTTAGTTTATTACTTTACTGTATATGTATGTCATAAACATATAGAAAAAATTGACTTAAATAATAAATTTAATGTTATGTAATGAATTTACTTTTATTAAAAATTACTATTTTCTAAAGTCATTATATTAATAGTAATTCATGATTTGTATAAAATCAATGATAAAATAGATTTAAAGAGTATTTATTATATTGTGATAATGTTTGGGGTGGAGATCGGTCTCAAGTAATGTCATTAGATATCGATTGACTGCAAATGTATTTCCTATTAATACACCAAACATTAGAAAACATTATATCCATTGATTGATACGTTAAGACAATTGATTTAACATTAATACAAATGCATGCATACAATCATCAATTTGTTAACATATATATAATAATAATTTAAAACACATATATTTAAGGATATGATATGTATTATCAAGATTTAAATGTTTTTATAGGGATTTGAATTAGCAGTGAGTGAGTGAGTGAGTGATAGAGAGCTAAGCTATGGATGGTATGGTTGTGCAGCAAGTGATGGCCTACGCCTTTCATGTTACCATCAAAGACAAGCTATGGTTAGCGGCTAACTGTGTCGATCAGGTGTAATAAATACTGATTATATGTTGGTATCGGTTGGGATGTATGGTTGGGTTGTATGGTTGGGCTGTTTGGTTGGGCATATGTGCTGTGATAGTGGTTGATGAGCACAGGCCCAGACATAGCACATGCCGTGTGGAGACTGCGCTAATGACGACAAACCAAATTCAAACTAACTGTCATTTGACGACTACTCACTACCACTACTCACATATAATTAAACCCAAATTATCACTAAATCACATCCAAAACAATTAAAACCAACAAATCTGGTCTTACCTGTCATTTGCTGAACAACATCACTATCACTACTATACCACCAATACGTCAATCAACAAAATGGACGATCACTGAGATATTGGGCACCAGTAGAGGGCATTGCCTTCACTTAACACTATAATACTATTACCCGAAAGTGTGGATCAATGCGACCATCAGTTACTGTAATAACATATCTGACACCATATGAGTGGTTAACTTAAAGACAAACCAATTGTACTGTTATTTAAATGTTATACAAATGTCATACAAAACACATTTCAAACTAAATATTAATACCATTAATACCGTAACACATCTAACATGTAGTCATGACAACTGTCATCATAACTGTCAATCCAATCAATGTGTTCACTGATTGGTTGTTTACGATGTATTGCTTTCAATGTTAAACCATTGCAACAATACATTCAAACTTTCGGCCAAACAATTGATGCCTTTATTAATATATCAATCATTATATACATTGAATAACAGTTTGTTTATCGGTTAGTATTTATATAATTATAACTAATTTTGCTATTGTTTTGATTATAATTAATAATTGGATGAAATGGTGACTTAAATCAAGTCAAGTGATGTCAAAGTGATGTTATCATTGATGGCCTAATATATGCTAATAGTTGTCGAGTATATCATATGTTATGTCATATGTTTTAGTGTTAATCAATAGTCAATGAAAGCAATAATCAATTGAATCAAACATTGAATGATTGGTTAACCAATTGATTAATTGAAAGCTAATAACTCCGCCTCTCATTTGTCGCCATTTTGTTTGATTTGATAGCAATTAGTTGTAATGATTGACACATTTGTTGACATATAATAGAGATATAACTTGTGGTCAATGGAGACGTCGTCACAATCTTCAGCAGCTCTTGAATCGGTTCAACTGGAAGTGTGTGGACCGAGTGGACATTCAGTGACAATGCATCGACCATTTGATCCAATAGAACATGACTTGGATGCCGGGTTCCGATTGACCACATTTGCCGAACTTAGAGGATGAGGGTGTAAAGTCCCTCAAGACCTGCTCAGTCGGCTCTTAGAGGGACTTAAAGCGGCCAATAGTGGTCATGACGGACACCAGCACTTACAACAACATCATAATAATATAAACCATTCATCTAATGATTCACATATTCCTTCATACTTTCATCAAGAGATGGGACTTCCGAAGATTGGTCTAATAAAAGACATATTTTATTGCTTTAATTGTTTAATAATTAATATTTTTAGGCATTGGTATGGACTGTGCGGTAATACCGATACGACACGGAGGACTTGTACTCATTCAAACTGTTGATTACTTTTATCCACTCGTCGATGACCCATATCTTATGGTATTTGACATAATATTTATGTTAATCAGTAATATATTGAATCTATCAGTAATTAGTAGTATCGGTAATAATTTATTTGTATTTTACATTTAAATCTGTTTAAATTCTTACAAATTAATAATTATAATATAAGTTTGCTATAAACATATCATATATTCATTTTTTAGTTACATATTTAATCAATAGTATAATTTACTAATTTGAGTTTAAAATTTTAATTTATTTAACTTTAATACAACTATATATTGTATACTATGTGTTTATAATGAAAGTTAAGATAAATTGATTACCAGTAAGTAATATATAATTTGTTATGAGATCAAATAATTCAAATTATAATATTAAATTACCGGTAATATAAAATCATTAAAAACTAAGTATTTAGTAGTTAAGTTAAATAAATAAATTTTAAATACAGTACATTATAAAAATAATAACTGATATCTAAAGTAAATCAAATAAATGTAAAATTGGTTAGAAATACTAAAGGTATAATATATACAATATTAGAATTAGTTTATGATTTTACCAGTATTTGCCAAAATGTTGTATTAAAAATTTACATTAAACTAAGTTAACAATGCTAGATAGCATTACCAGAACGAACTTCTAGAAATACTACCATAATATAATTGAATTGTATTTTATCAAATTCTATCCAAATTTAAAGTTAGTATTTAAAAATTAGTAAAATAATTACAGTCATTAGTAAGACAGTAATAAACATAGAATTGAGTAATTAATTAAAGATTATTGTTATTAAAATGCATTTGATTTAATTAAAGGGTAAAATAACGTGCGCTAATGTATTGAGTGATTTGTATGCAATGGGAGTCACGGATTGTGATAATATGTTAATGATATTAGCTGTGAGCCAGAAGATGACTGACAAGGAAAGGGATGTTGTCGTTCCCATTATCATCAAAGGCTTTCGGGTACCCAATAGTGACAATGTATTTAATCACACTTTACATTGATTTCTACTATTTATAGGACTGTGCCTTTGAAGCCGGTACTCAAATTACTGGCGGACAAACCATTCAAAATCCATGGCTTACTATAGGTGGTGTCGCCACCAGTATTTGTCAGCCAACTGAATACATTATGTAATATTTTATTATTATTATTAATGATATATTTGCCGCAGTATTATATACTTAAACAGTAATTTATCTAAACAACAAAAGACAATACAAATATGTTAATTAAATGATTGCATTCATTATAATATTTATGATTACAAAAAAATACAGAAACAATAATTAGTAGCAAAATCTATAAATGAAAATATAATTTACAAATTGCATGTTTTAGTTTTTATTTTATTTTTGTTAACTAAATGTACAGTTTTAGTGGATATTTATAATAATTTATTTTGTATTATAAAGTCCTGACAACGCAGTGGTTGGAGATGTACTTGTATTGACAAAACCATTGGGAACACAAGTTTCGTGTATTGCATATCAATGGCTGGAACAGCCCGACAGATGGGCTAGAGTTAAATTAGTCGTTACCGAAGATGATGTCCGTAAAGCATACCTACGAGGTATGGATAGTATGAGTCGTTTAAATCGTGTCGGTATGTTATGTCAGTTACTTTACTTTTGAATTTTTAATAATGTAACACTTGTTAGCATCGCGTTTGATGCATAAGTACAACGCTCACGGAGCCACTGATGTGACCGGATTTGGCCTATTAGGTCACGCACACAACTTAGCCACAGTTCAGAAAAATGAAGTCTCTTTTGTTATACACAATCTTCCCGTCATTTCCAAGATGGCAGCCGTGGCTAAAGCTTGTGGTAATATGTTTCAACTACTTCAGGGACACTCTCCCGAAACTTCAGGTAATTTACTTTTGTTTGTTTTGATTCATAATTTGCTTAAATCTATAACTATTAAAATTCCTTTTTATTTTTTAAATAATAGTTTAATATGTTATAATTGTGTTGTATTATAACATTGTTCTAAATTTATAAATTTGGTATCAGATAGTTATCATAAATTAAATTCATATTCAAATTTAAATAATGATTAACTAATAAATTACTTTTAATATAAATATTTAAAAAACGAACTAGTTGAATTTTTATCATTTTATTTCTTATTTAGTTTTATCTTTAATTTAACAATTTTAGTGTTAAATAAATTTGTTTAAATAAAAACTTTGGATATCGAATGTAAACACAAAATAATTATCGTAAATTATATTACTGTATATAATGATTTAGTTAGAGGAATCAAATTTAATTATAAAATTTTACTAATGATTGTAATTTCCTCTATTTGTTTGTTGTCTAAGCGGCAAACTTTTGCAACATTTGGTCACAAAATGAAACACAATTTATAGCATTGATAGCGCTATTTTGTCTATTGTTACGTTAGAAAGTACTGCGGGTTATAATAAAATGGAAAACACTTAACCTATAACTACTTATTGATGAGATTACTGTAATCTCAATACTATATGACGAGAGAGAGAGAGAGAGAGAGAGAGAGAGAGATAGAGAGAGAGAGAGCTATGCGTTTATGATTTTTATTTATTTTACTAATTAGATATTTAACTTCAAAAATTTTAAAACATGATTCAATACTCTGTCCCAAAAATTTTTTGAAGTTATGCAGTATACTGTAAATATCATCAACAAAAAATAGAGGAAATTGCAATTATTACAAAAAATAATTTAATTATAAAATAGTAAATAAAATAATTTTATAATTAAATTAAAATTTTTAATGAATTTTTATTATTCATATATTAATAGTAAAAATATAATATTAGTTTATATATTTGATTTTTTATCAATTGATATAATTTGTGCAAATTAATTTACAAATATTTATAATCAGTATAAGTAAAAATAAATGAATTTTTACTTTTTTATTTAAGTGATTTGAATGAATTACTATATAATAAATTATAATAAAGTAGTTATAATACACTAATAATTTTATTTTAATATAAAGTATAATTTAAAGTTTATTGTTATATTAGGTAATTAAGAATTTAACATTTATTAATAACAATAAATCTTTTCTTTCAAAGACATTTCTGATGAATTTATTTGTTTTTTAATATATTTAATTATATTTTATACTTTAAATAATTTTATATCTAATTTCTAATATAAATACATAGTGTAGAATAAATCAATAAAAATAAGCAAACATTTATTATTATTATTATGTTTAATATTTCAATGTTCAGTATTTGTTATATTATATGCGGTTCAGTAACTTTTGGGGTTTAATTATTATTAAATTAACAAAAGATTATTGAGATAGCATTGCTTTTAATGCTATACTTTTGTTTTTTGAGTTGACAATTAAAATTATATTTATAACTTGAAATTACAATTTATTGATAGACAAAAAGTTATTTATTTGTTTTATTGTAAATAAATTAGTAATTTATATTTGATATTTTATGATTGTTTTGAGCCAATAATTATAATTAAACTTATTGTCCGATATTGGGACAGATAGTTATTTAATTTGCATACTTTAGTAATGAGCTCTAACTATAATTTAATTAATTAGTTTATATAAATAATGTAATCAACAGGTGGTTTACTGATATGTCTGCCTCGAGAACAAGCCGCTGCCTTTTGTAAAGATATTGAGAAACAAGAGGGATATCAGGCCTGGATTATTGGTATTGTCGAGAAAGGCAACCGAACCGCAAGGATTATAGACAAACCACGAGTTATAGAAGTGCCGGCAAAAGACAAAGAAGGCGACCTTTGGTAGCATTTGTTTTATTATCACATCATTTCATAATTTCATGAAAATTGATATTAAATATCGTTTTAAAATATGATTTTTAAGTGATAGCCCTCTTTAGAGGTTCACTTAGAATGATGAAACAGTTAGAATCGAGTTTATATCAATTGTACTTATTTTTATAATAAATATTTCAATATATATTAAACAAACAATTTATTTGATATTATGCATTGACGGCCAATTGAGGACATCCTTGTTGTGCACCACAAGGAAGTCCATCAAAAGAGATGTCAAGCGGTTTATTACAATAGAAACAATTTTTGGAATCACATAAATCTTGATTTAAGGGAAGACCTGTATCTTTCCAGACATGAAGCATATCATCGACAAACTTATCAATCATATGCTTCTCGTGAAAAGGTGTCGGCGCTATACGCAGTCTTTCCTGTCCCTTAGCAACTGTCGGATAGTTAATTGCTTGAACATAATGACCATATTTGGAGAGCATTTCATTGCTAATCCAGGAGCACATCCACGGGTTTCTAACAAGTATTGGAATTATATGACTTGGACTCGACATCTGTGGCAGACCTGCCTTAGAAAGAGTTTTCTTCATATAACTGACATTTTCCTGGTGTTTATCCCGCAATTTCTTTCCTTCCAATCCTTTCAATATCTTTTAATAATTATTAATATATTAATATTAAAGTTATAAATTGCAAACACCGTATATATCAAGCAATTACCCGCACAGATGTGAGAGCACCGGATAATACAATTGGAGGCAATGATGTGGTAAATATAAAGCCGGCGGCATAACTACGGATCATATCAACTAGTGATGCATTTGCTGCTATATAACCGCCAACATTGCCAAATGCCTTTCCCAAAGTGCCGGACACAATATCAATTTTATCCATCACATTATCTCTCTGTCCAATTCCCGCTCCATTTTTTCCATAGAGACCCACTGCATGAACTTCATCCACAAATGTGATGGCATTATATTCGTGTGCGATATCACATAACTCTTCAATAGGACTAATGGCACCTAAAATATATACATTTTGTTTTCACTTTAAATTTGTCTTCAAAGTAAAATATAATTAAATAAATGAAATTCTATTTTAATTATTTTATTAATATAATAACAATACAATATCCTATATATTATTGCAAATTATAAAATTTGTTTGACAAGTGGGTCACAAACTGCTAAACCACTAATACATAGAAAGATCTATTTTGTCTCCTATTTAGTACTCATCAGTTGGTAAAGTAAGAGAGGATAACAATTATAAATTTCATGTAAAAATTTAAATATATATTATTTCCACAAAATAAAACATTTATATTTGAGAATTATTATTATTATTACAACGATAATAAAATTGAATAAAATGTTATATAAATACCTGTCATAGAGTGGACCGTTTCAAACGCAACAATCTTAGGCAAAGAATAGTCAACTGATTGTAATAGACTTCTGAGATGTTGTGCATCACATGTCCTAAAGATATGTTTAGGCACTTGACTGTTACGGATCCCCTGAATCATAGACGCGTGATTACCGGCGTCAGAGAATATATGACAATCTGTTTAAATTATAATTTTATTTTTAACTGTTTATCATAATTATAATTATAATAATACTAAATCCAGTATATGTTTACCGGGCAATGCTTTAGCCAATGTATATAATGTGGAATCGTTTGCCACAAAACAAGAAGTAAACAAAAGTGCAGATTCTTTGAGATGAAGTTCTGCTAATTCTTTCTCTAATTCCTCATGAAGTGGTGTATTGCCTGATATATTACGAGTGCCACCACTTCCTGAACCATGTTTTTCAACCGCTTCTCTAATTATTTATTATAAAATCATTACAATAAATCATTTAATAACCACAAACACACACACAATTTGAAATAATATAATAAAATCTATATTTAATTTTAATATAAATATAAAGTTAAAAATTTGTTAATTTTAAAATTTATAATTATTTTTACAGAATTAGGGAAACATCAACAAATAAGTGGTTTAAATATTATAAACTTAATGATAGCTTCTTTAGTCAATTTGCATAATTGACATTGCTAGTCTAACAATACTATACACTGTATATTATTTACGATATAATTATCATTTTTAATAAATAAAGTTTTGAAAATATTAATAAAATAGTAAAACAATTCAATAATTACATTACGGATTGTTTAACCGCCGGATGAGATGTCATTCCTAAGTAGTCATTACTACACCAAACTGTTATAGGTTTGCAACCATTGGTAAACTCATTAGCGAAGGGAACTCTATCAGCAAAACGCAAAACTTTCTTAAAGATTCTATAGCTGTGGTCAGACTTCTTCTTATGGATCAAATGACGAAAGAATTGTTCGTATTTGAAACCATTATCTAATTAAACAAAATTCATTAATATATTGTATTACTTGTATAATAATATCATAAATTTAACAAACTTTTGCTCTCATCGATGATATCTCTGACTACTTCAGGATCGGCTTCTTTTAAAGTGGGTTTAATTGCCTCCAAAAATGGACAATTAGTTGATTCAACTGAATTATAATTGTTGTTTACTATAGAAAGTGTTATAATTTTTAAATTATAAATTTATAAAAATACTAATCATATGAAACTTACTCGTATTGGATATCAATTCACTCTCAATATTTTCAGTTGAATTTATAGTAAAGTCTGAATATTTTCGCGTAAAGTTTGTTGATATGTTAGACATTACGGGGCATACGGGTAGGTATGTCCGCACCAATGTTGCGGAATTCCTTAATAGAAATGGTGTCGACAATTGACTTATGAAAGGACACGGCATCTTCAATATACTATTATACAAAATATTGATATTTTTTATAATTTTTAACTATTAATCAATAGTTTTTTTAAAAGTGTAAAAAAGTTTAACAATAAGTAATACAATAATTGACTTTTATTTAACTTCAGTCAATTAACAAAATATTATTGAGAATTATTTTAAATAAGACAATACTGACCCAAATGACAGGTTAATCAATAATAATAATAAAATACTTATTAAAATATTTGAGTCCTCACTGATCTAAGGTATCGTAAGTAATGCTAAAACTAAGTGCAACTCAATTGCAGATTAATAAAAGCTGGTTTTGACGACAGTATTGCCTACAGTGTACTACACTATCACAGTATGTCTCTGTAAAACAGCCCTTAAGCTATGATTGCATTTATCTGTTAATGGTTTCACAAATGATAGATAACTAATTGCCAATAAATAACTAATTTTATTTTATGTTATTTTCATTAATATTGGCTTAATTGCCACGTAAGCTAATGACAAACACTTTTAAACAATTTTTCAAATATTTATATTGATGTCATAACTTGTGGTTTATAAAAAAATAATAATTAAAATTCATTATTACATTTAATAACTGTTTTTTACATTATATTGTAGACTACAATAAAGAAACTCTTAATAAAACATATGTTTAATTTATTGATTATTTGCTTGTAAATTATAATTTGTAATTGATTATTTTTATACCATTAATATCAAATAGCATACATTTGGAAAAAATGATTAAAACTTAATATAAAGCTTATCTAATATTACAAAAAAAAAGATTACGTAATAATATTCAATATATTAATATATTGGCATTAAATTATTAAAATTAAAGTAGTTGTCTAATTTGGTTAAAATCTGGTTATAAATAATACTATATTAAATATGTATGTGAAGTGAAAGTGGGTAGAAGTGGGTAGAAGTTGGTAGAAGTGGGTAGAAGTGGGTAGAAGTGGGTAGAAGTGGGTAGAAGTGGGTAGAAGTGGGTAGAAGTGGGTAGAAGTGGGTAGAAGTGGGTCGAAGTGGGTAGAAGTGGGTAGTAGTGGGTAGAAGTGGGTAGAAGTGGGTAGAAGTGGGTAGAAGTGGGTAGAAGTGGGTAGAAGTGGGTAGAAGTGGGTAGAAGTGGGTAGAAGTGGGTAGAAGTGGGTAGAAGTGGGTAGAAGTGGGTAGAAGTGGGTATGTATGCGAATGAGTAACAGAGTATCTAAATATAAGTGGATTTTTAGTATTAAGTAATTTATAAATTATAGTCACACACACAGACATACACACACATACATACAGATTACTAAATAAATTTTTTGTTATTTTAATAATTTTAAAATACAGTAATTTGACTTATATTTTATAAAAATAAAATCAATATAAAGTTTTTAAAAATAAATTAACTTAAAATATAAAAAAGCACATATAATATAAATACATAACAAACATTTCAAACTCTTTTAGTATCTTAATAATAATAATAATAATAATATATAATTGCATAATTTATTATTTAGTTATCATATTTAATGATTGATTAATGTTTTTACTAACTCTTATAATAGCACCGATAAATTGGTACAAAAAAATATCGTTTTTGATTAAAAACAGAAACTTTTTGTATCAGTACTTTAACTACAATATAGGACAACATTTTAAGTACTTTGGATCGAAATTATATATCATATAATTTATAAAAATACAACTTATTTAGTCTAAAATCATTTTATCAAAAATATGTTTATTCATTTCAGCCAATAACTTAATTTAAACTCATTTTGAAATTCAAATTTTCAATAACATAAAACTTAATTTTTTATAAAAATTATTTTTTAATTTAAAATTATTTTATTTACAAAGTATTAAAAATAAAAGTAATATTTATTTTTTTAAATGTAATTGAAAAATAACATCCAAATGTTTATATAAATAATATATAAAAGATTTTTTCATGATATTTAATTTATTATATAATTTGTATTAATATGATTTCCCAAAATAAATTAATTGTAATAAATAGGAATTGATTTATAGAACAACTGAATTTATATGTTATTAGTTTCGGTCAAATGTTTTGAATAAATTAATATTTAAAATATAATTTTCGATTACATGAACAATCCCAAGGACTTTACGTACAAATTGTACTCAATTTACTAATTTGTACTAAATTTTGTTATTATTATTATAAAAATATATCCTAATTGTACTAAAATTAACAGTAATTATGTTGTAATTATATATAAACACTATTTGATAAAAAATATTAAAAGTGTTCTATTTTTTTTAATTTTTGCAAATTATTTAAAATACAATGTTTTACAATCATTGATAACTCACTAATATCTCATTTTAATGTACAATAACTTTAAAATAATTATAAATTATTTTGGACGACAAATGTTTAGTATATAAAAATATTATTTTTTAATAATAAATCAATATGATAAATGAAAATATACAAATGTTAATCTTTATCAATTATAATCATAATTATATATATAATTTACTGCATTGTATTACTATTACATTGCAGAAATAGTTTATAAAAATTAAACATAAATGTACAGTATTTAGAAATGCTAACTAAAACTAATTACATATAAAAATGTAAAACATTATTTATATAATAAATTATTTAAAATTATTATAGAAAATTAAAATTATAATAATTATAAATTATTTTTAAATTATATTTTTAGACGAATATATTAATACGTTTGATTATTTATATTAATAATAAAAATTTTAATAATTTTGTTAAAACTTTATGTTAATATGACATTAATATTATGCTTATCATTAGTATACAGTAGTAAAATGTTTTTTACATTGTTGTAAATACTTATCAATGATACTGTATATTAAAAAAGTTTTAATGATTAATAATATTTCAGAGTTTTTGTTAAATTTATAAAAATGACTTAAATCTAAATCCTATATTTAATTAATCATAACATAGACTCAATGTAACAGTAAAAATATATAGTTATGTGAATAGCAGTTCATAATAATTATTAAACAAAATTATATGAAAATTTATTGTTGAAATGTTTATTTTACTCTATTAACATTAACACTGTATTAACATTAACACTGTATTAACATTAACACTGTATTAACATTAACACTGTATTAACATTAACACTGTATTAACATTAACACTGTATTAACATTAACACTGTATTAACATTAACCATAAATATATACTGTCTGTCTAACAAAATAAAATACAACTAAATAATAATAAGAATAATTTAATTTAGATATAATTATATAATTATTTGTTTTTATATATAGTTTTTATATATAGACCTATTTTATAGTCATTTAAGAGTAATAATTAATTAAAAGCAATTAATTTTTAAACTTTTTATCTATAGATTCACCTAATTTTCAGAGATAACAATTTATAACATATAGATTCTGTCATAGAGTTTATATTTTAATGATTTTTAATAAAAATTTAATAAATAAAACAAGTCTTTGTCAGTCGTGTTGTTGTTATTGTGTATTACATAATGTTTGTATAATTTAGAAATTTTAGTATTTATACGGTTGTGTTATATGATATTAATATCAATATAAATTAGTAAATATAATATAAATTAAAAATACATTACAATTAAACATTAAATTACTTTAAAAATTTATGAAAATGAGTTGCCGTGAGACAGGTCCAGGATATAGGAGTCCATTTGATGCTATGAGAGGGCCGCGAGAAACGCTGATGTATGTAACTTGCATTCAACCTAACGGTACCCGCGATTGTAAAAGTGATTACTTGGCCACCATTGATGTCGACCCGAACTCTTCACAGTTCTGTCAAGTGATATGCAGAACACTTGTTCCCTATTTTGGTGATGAGTTACACCATTCGGGTTGGAATTCTTGTAGCAGTTGTTTCAATGATATGACTAAATGCAGAAATCGTCTGATATGTGCCACTCTTAATAGTGATCGCATCTATGTATTTGATATGACATCACTTAAACAACCAAAACTTTTTAAAGTTATTCAATCACAAGAAATGCATAGAAATAGAGTTAGTTCTGGACATACATCTCATTGTTTGCCTTCAAATGAAATTATGATCAGTTGTATGGGAGATGAGAAACGCAATAATAAAGTAATATTATTAACAAATTGCTAAATATTTAATACTAATTAATCAATTGTTGAAATAGGGATCGTTTATATTATTGGATGGAAATTCATTTAATATAAAAGGAAACTGGAATTTAGGGGATAATAATAGTTCACAATTTGGTTATGATTTTTGGTATCAGACCAGACATAATGTGATGATTAGTAGTGAATGGGGATCACCTAATACTTTCAATAAAGGATTTAAATTAGAAGATGTAAGTAATAATCTTTATGGACATTCAATTCATGTGTGGAACTGGACTACCAAACAATGTATTCAAACCATTGATTTGGGAAGCGATGGAGTGATGCCTTTGGAAATCCGCTTTTTACATAATCCCATATCTTGTGAGGGATTTGTTGGCTGTGCTCTTAGTTCAACAGTATTTAGATTTTTTAAGTCAAATGACAAATGGCTGACACAAAAAGTTATAAGTATAGCCACTAAGAAAGTAAATAATTGGTTATTACCTGAGATGCCGGCCCTTATCACAGATATATTGGTGTCATTGGATGATCGCTATCTATACATAAGTTTATGGCTTTTTGGTGAAGTCAGACAATATGATATATCTGTGACATCTAAACCTGTTTTAGTAGGAAAATGTCTATTTGGTGGCAGTTTATGTAATGATGGACTAGTTTTTGTCATCAATAGTCAAGAACCAGAAGTAGAACCCAATGGTCAAAGGGAAAGGGTTTTAGTTAAAAATAAAGTAATCAAAGGCGGACCACAAATGCTTCAGTTGAGTCTCGATGGACATCGACTTTATATAACAAACTCTTTATATAGTGTTTGGGACAAACAATTTTATCCCGATATGGTTGATCAAGGATCAGGTAGATAATCATATCTTAGAAATATATTGTATATCATTTTAATATATAGAGAAATATGTTAATTTGTATATATATATGATATCTCATAAATCTTATAAATATTTTTAAAAAATAAGTTTATTAATATAAAAATACTGATATATTGTATTTCAAATTAATGCAAAAGACAAGCAAAGGACAACATTAGTTGAGTTGAGAATAAGTAGTGATAGTTAGACATAATATAATTGATGACTACTATGTCGTACAGTATTAATACAATTTATATTCATTTGAAGAATTTTTAATAGATTTTCATACTTCATGTCAATTGATTGTGATATATATTACTAAAACTTTAAATAAATTTTGTATTTATAATTCAAATATATAGCAATGCTTATGATTGATGTCGACACACAAAAGGGAGGTTTAAATTTGAACAAAAATTTTTTGGTTGATTTTGGTAAAGAAGAGTTTGGACCAGTTTTGGCACATGAAATGCGATACCCAGGAGGTGACTGTACTTCAGATATTTGGATCTAAATTAACTAATTATAATAACAATTAATAATAATAAATATTTATTATATGATATTTTCAAATGTTCATAAATAATAAGTTACACTACAATATATCTGTATAACAATTATTATATGTACAGTATTTGTTGTTATTTTTGTGGTCAAATTTTTCATAAGTACATGTAGTTTAATACTGTATTTTTTATTAAAATATAGTTATAAAATTTAACTAATATTATCAATAAATACAAATATATTTAACATCTCAAAATAGTGTATTTTTATTAAACCCTTAAACCATTAGTGGTAAATTTAGTAATTTAATAAAAACTATATTTATAATAATTTTAAATTTTTAAATAAATGAAATAAATATTACTAATATTTTGTTATATGTGTTATTCTTCATAAAAATACAAAACAAATATATAACTAATTTATAAATCTGACGTTATATTAAAATAACGTTTTAATAATTAAAATAAATTTAAGTCTCTTTTAAAATATATACTTAATTATAATATATAGTATAATATTAAAGGCGACATAAGAAATAGCGGCAAACAAATTCATCAAAAATAGTTGCCATATATTTAATCATTAATTAGAAGTAAATCAATCAGTTTTTCTAAAATTATTATTCACTCAATTGGGTGTCGCGTGTGACGAGTAAATACAGGATTCGCGCTATTCCTCTGGTTCTGGCTTTGGTGATAATGTGATGAGTGTTGTGAATGTTGCTGATAGTGATGGTGATGATGATGATGCTGTTGAGGCACTTGACTCACCAGTGACCGACCAGTCAGGTTAACCACAATCTCTTTGATGAAATAGTCGCTGATTCCGGGACACAAACTCTCTGCGCTCTCAAACGCATGCTTTACATCTTCAATGGCATTAACTCGTGAGTTGTGATAATCGACACTCTTTCGCTTATAGCGCTGAGCAATCTTTTAATTTATTGTTAATTAGTATTTAGTAGTATATTATAAACAAATATAAATCAAATGATACCTCATTAAGAACCGGAATAATAGTGCTTTGAGTTAAGTGTGAGTTTGGCATTGAATTGGGAACCGATTTACCGGTACTACTGATTGAACTTTCTTTATCACTATTGTTACGACTCTTCGGTATTCGAGAAGCATTTGCAGAATTATTCGTATGACTCGATAACCTTATGTCACGATCTCTTAATTCAGAGGAATTTGTTTTACTCTTGTAATCGTTAATCTGATTGCTTTCTAAACTATCATTTTCCGGACGATTATTATTCTAAGAAATATATGTTTTATAGAGTATATCTTATATATCTTAATATATGGTATATATCTTACATTATATGAAGTTTTTGAAGTTTTCGATTCATTGTTCATTTGTTTATCTCCCGAACCTTTCAATTGGGATGTTTTAGATGTTGTCACGTCTGATACAATCTTATAATCACCGTTAGTATGACCTGTTTTTTTAGGAATTGTAGACAATTTGTTTGTATCACATGTTAACACAATTTCATCACTTTGTTTGGGTTTATTATCAGCATTTGGTTCTCCATATAATTTGTTGAGAGCCTGTGGATTATGTTGTGGTCTAATCGTTAAATCCCATATTAAACTATCAACACTAGACGTCCCTTTTGACTCATCACTTAAAAAATAATACAAATTAGATAATTAAATATTAAATTAATATAACTTACGAATCTGAAGCTTCAGAGTCACTATCACTGTGTCCACCACCGGCTGCTTTCCAACGTTTATATCTCTCAATTAAATCAACTAAATATGAATTTTTCTTTGCCTTCCGAATAAAAGGAAATTTTAATAACTCCTTAGCCGACGGTCGCTAATAAATACAAATTTTCATTAATATTAATACTATTATAAAAAATAACTTACATTTTCAGGATCTTTGTTAAGACACGATTCAACAAATTCTTTGAATTGTTTGCTATAATTGCCTGTAAGTTGTGGCGGATTATTCTTCGGTATTAAAAATAAGACACGCATTGGATGTAAATCAGAGTTTGGAGGCTCTCCTTTGGCCAACTCAATGGCTGTTATTCCGAGTGACCAAATATCGGCCTAATATTGACAACAAGATTATTAGCAATCATTGATGCAATTATCAAACAATAACCTTTGAATCATAAGCTGACTGTTTGATGACTTCGGGGGCCATCCAGAAGGGTGTTCCTACAAAAGTACTTCTTTTGCTGGTTGTATTGGTTAGTTGACCGGCCACTCCAAAGTCAGCTAACTTCACATCACCCATTTCAGACAACAACACATTGGCAGCTAATTATGATTTATCGTTGGTATTAATAATACTAATAATAATTCAGTCAAACCTTTGATGTCTCGATGAAGTTTGCGTTCGGAGTGTAAATAATCCAATCCTTTAAGTACTTCTCGAAGAATGACTGCAATATGCATTTCCTCGAAGTGTCCGGCTTTCATCAGATCCAGAGCTGATCCGCCGCCCAAATATTCCATTATTATCCATAGTTTAGTTCCCTATTATAATCAAATACAAGAAAACATTATTTTAAAATTAATTTTCAAGATTAGCTTAACTTATCATATGATATGGTGTTAATCATTGATATTATGGCATACCTTAAGATAAGATCCAAAGTATTTGGTGACATAAAGACTGTCACATTGTGACAAAACCATTATTTCTTGTTGAATGTCTTCTATTTCATCCTCGGCTTCTTCTAAATCTATTATCTTAATGGCCACCACTTGTTGTGTCCGATTGTCCACTCCTTTAAACACTTCACCAAAAGATCCTTTTCCTATGCGCTCTTGTTTTGTAAATATCAATTCGGGATCCACTCTCTGGTAAAGAAAAATCAATAATTGTTATCAATTATCAACAATATTGGCCATCGATATCAACAACAATATGAGACACAAGACATACCTCATTGTAAGCCATTGTTTATAAGTGATGACAAATCAATCAATTAATCACTTAATGGTATAACAAGTGGTTTGTCTTAATGTTTAGTATTATAAATGTAGTGATTATTGACAAATCATAATTAAATGCATTAAATCAATATATATTTAGATGTCTTATGTATTAACTCATTGATTGCATTGATTTGACATATATTTACAACAATATTATAAACCAAATAAATAGAGTTTGTATTGAAATGTCATTCAATTGACTATAATATTGAATACAGTATTCAATGCAATCATAAGTGTCTTTCGAGTCATACATTCATTGATTTCATTAACAAATTCATAACCTATTGCTTAATAACGCCTCACAATAGCATTCATTAAATACTGTAATTATTTTATTATGATTTTCACTTAAATATAAACCTTTAATATTTATTTATGACATGACTTTAATACTGTTGGCAAATACTGTAGTGCTCTCCATAGGTCTCAACCACACATTTCAACATAAATTTTATTATTTAATACCATATAATATAATACATATTTTCTTACCGTAAATAATATAATACAATGAGTTGCCCTTTAAATACTATAATACTATACTATACTATATATACTGTACAGTACATAGTGTACAATATATAGCGATACAAACGTTTAAATATCAAATACAATAATATTCTAGTGTTTATAATGTAATACTGTATAAAATGTTTGTATAAATAATACATAAAATGACAACTTGATTGTTAATTGACTTGTTTTTATTTTTTGTATTTATTTGAAACAATTTAGTGATAATTTAAAAAATATTTGATTATATATTTTTTAAATTATTATTTTTATTAATAAATATATCAAATACTATACTTTATTACTCTTATATACTCTATATTACCATTATATTTATTACTACAGTATTTATAAACTTTTACACATTTTTATTTAGTTTATTAAGTAATTTTAATTTAATTATTAATTAATCTAAATTTAAAAGGTTAATAAAATCATTATTTTAAGATTATAATTAAAATTTTAGTAAATATTTCATATACTACATGTATATAAATATTACTATACCGGTATATATTAAGTTATTAAGTTATTATAGTATTATTAATTTTAAGTTATAGTTATAGTTATATCATTGCATTAATTTTCTATACATAAACAGTATTTCAACATTTAGTTCAATGACCTGAACTCTATTGCCTTATATACCGACCCATGACTTGAAACCTTATGAAATCATGATTTTAATATTTATTTTAAATATAGCTTACAATACATTATTAATAAAGTAAGTTTATTAAACATAAATCACATAATATTAATAACGTTACATTATTATAACAAATTTAATTTATTCATTATAAAAACTTACCGGCAATATATTTCATACGCTATTAAATTAATATTTAAATATTTGCAGTTTTAAATAAGATAATTATACAGTGCAATTATATATAGTATAAACATTTTAAATAATTAACTCTCATGTAATTTAAATTAAGTTTATAAATTACGGGACATTCAAATTAGCCATAATGTCTTTAATTGCCAAATATAATAATCCGTCAGTGGCTACAAAAGCAAATTTAAAGCTTTATTTTTAAAAACTTTATATATTTATATTAATGAATATACCTCCGTAGTCAGCAAATCGTTTCAACATATTATTGATAACATTAAGTACCGATGATTGCGAGTATTGAGAGTCGCGACCAAAACCTGCCACTTGTATAGAGTGAGTGTTTATATCGTAAACAAACGGAACGATTATGGAAAATGGTTCGGCATTCAGGTTATGACCGGCCATTGGTATACGAGTCAATTGTATCTATTAATTTACAATAGTATTAATATTTGTTCAAATCATGCATTAAAAATGTATTTATAAATGTATAAAATTTTTCAATAGTTTTTTGTTTAAAAATTTACAAAAAAAAACTAGATTTTAAGTAATAATTCTAAACATCATATTAACAAAACTAGTCTTTACAATATGTACTGTATATTAATCTATAAATTATCAATACTTTTATTTCTAAAATTATATACCGGTAATTAAAAAAAGGTTTGTAATATATTTGAATGGATCAGTTTTCAAAGTTAGACTATTCTTTACACAAATACCGTATGTATGCGCATATAGCCCACTGGAGAATTTTTTTTATAGGGGGGGGGTAATTATAGACATTAAAAAAACTTCAATAATTTCAATAGTGGGGCTATTTGTGAATTCATTAAATCAAACTTTTGGTATGGGCTGTAACTAACATATAGCCCCATAGTTTTGTATATAGATCCTGATGGCCAGGGGGGCTATATGCGCGTACTGACGGTGACAAAAGCTATAACTATTTGAATTATTAACCTATACTTACAAATATAAGCATTTTATTTTTAACCATAAGACACGCTGACATCCCTGGCAATCCTATAGTAGCGGACGCGGGAGGTATAGTCAAACACCAATGAAGTGTCCATTTAAGTGATCGGTCGGGTGACTAATTCATTTCAATTCATTCATATAATCAGTTTTGAAAATTCATTTAAAAAATTATAAATAAATAAATAATACCAATTCTAATCGCATCAATTGAATGCAATCTTTTAATATTTTCATTGGAGCGTTAAGTATACGACTATAAGTAAGAAAAGCATTGGGTTTAAAGGGAGCGCACACTACCTATAAGTGATTAATGATAATAATAATTATTATTTAAATATTTAACGTTTATAATATAACAATCAAATCATTACTTTGTTTTCAAAGAATTGTTGTAAAATTTCCAGATCATCGCGAGACCAGGTATGGCTTACATCAGATAAAGGAGCGATCTTTAGATGTAACGACTATTACCCGTAATTTGCATAATATATTAGTTTCAAACTATTTTAAAATAATTTAATCAATTTATATATTATCATTTACCTGCATTGAAATGGTGTCTAAACTTAATTTGAATACCATAGTGTCGTTTTTAAATTGAATAACTCCGGGTTCAGGTGTCATAATAAAATTAAACTAAAAAAAATAGTAAAATAGGTTTAATTGAAGACAATAATACTTACAAAACATGTAATACCTTCTCATCCTGAGTAACGGCCCTTTGAATATTACGCCTGACATAAACACATCCAAGAAATCTTTCGAGTTGTGATAACAAATAATAAACATTATTGTTAATTGCAGGCATTGACATATTATCCATGTTTGCATTAGGTTTACACATTATATCAAATCCCTGATGAGTTAGTAAAGTGGGAATGGCTGCGGCCCACGGCCTCTGTGGTAACATCCGATTAGAAGGAATCAGTGCTGAAGTAATATTGCTGTGCATCGTATTTAAATGTTGAGGCCCTCCAATACTTTGAGGGCTAGCAATGTTAGACATATGATAAACTTGACTTATACCAGGACTTTGCGATGGACCAATTGATCGCGGAGATGGACGAGGAAGTGATGGACTTCCAGGCCATACATTAGGTGCCGGAGAAGGCATCGATATATTAGATGCGGGCATATTTGGTGTAGTAAATGGAGAACCAATAGAATTTTCAATTCCTGTTTGTGGGGTATTAGTTGCATGATATTGAGAAACAGGTGATTGAGAATGAAATTGATTCGATGCGGATGGAGACGGAGCCGCAAGAAATGAAGGCGACGGTGCGTGCAATGGATTCATTGGCGAGTTTACATTAAATATATTAGCTGGCGATTGATCGGGAACAGGCATTGATGGTGAAGGGACCACTTGATTAGATGATAAAGTTTGAATCCCATGTGTTTGAATACCATGAGATGGAGGGGAAGTCATAGGGAAAGCACCAGGAGATGAAACATATGCTGATTGAGAAAGTATCGAAGTATGCGGTGATGAAGGCGTGTGTGGATTAGAGCCATGAGCTGAAGAGGCAATAGTGTGCGATAACTGTCGGGCTGAAGTGTTAAGGTTACCATCATTGATATTCTTCGAGGGCGAGTTAGACGCTTTTATTTGAGTGGTAGAATATAAATAAGATTCAACAGATTCTATAGGTGACGGTGGGTTGTCATCCTCTGTTTGTGACAAACGTCTCATTTGTGTTGTTTTATCAACAAATTTGCTTAAAAATGCTTTTAATCCTTGAATTGGAATCAGTTCTTCCATAACTTTCATTTTATCAAATAAACTGAGAGCACCGTCACGTATGGCAATAGTGTTGTCTGAGTTTATTGTAATATCCAAACAATATCTAAATATAAATGAAAAATTAATGTTAATTCAAAATAATATGTTATTTAAGAATAATTACATATTTCTATAGACAATGCGGATATGAGTCGATGATTGAGGTATCGCACAAAATGATTGAACAGGTAGTTGAGGTCTGCTATTAATAACTCCAAGTAAAGGTATTCCACTCAACGATTGTATTGTTAGCAATGGATTTATAGTATAATTAAGAATTTGAATCAATTGAATTATGGATAGGTGTTGATTGAACTCATGTTGCAATTGAGAGCTAATGATAACGTGTGGGTTTGAATCGGACGGTGCAGAACCTATACACCCAAAAAATAACTGAAATCGCTTTTCAGTTGTTTTCCAATATATTGTAACCTAAATATTAGCAAAATATTAATATTATTTATATATAAAATATATACGAAATAAATCAAAATATATTTACTATATATGTCTTATAAATTCCGTAACCAATTATTATTTTCTTATATGTAAACGATTTAATATCAAAAGAAGTGGTCAATTGATTAGTTGTTTGTAAAGATGTGGCAAACTTTTTAATAATATCATAAAGTCTTGCAATAGCTGTCCAATCATTTAACAATTCGTCAACCATTTTGGTAATCTGAGTCTGAGAACCACTGTTGTAATCGTAAGGAAGAGTAAGAATACGTCTGGAACCCTGTTCTTTAGCTGATAATGTCTGAACGGGTGGATTACAAAATGCCAACAGAATATTCCACATTTTAGATCCCTTTCCATGAAGTCTTATTATAGCACTTAGAGTATCCGTCTGTAATTTATCGAAATAATTATCGGAATTGTTTTGTTGGTTAGCGGGTGAAAACTTGACGATATCTATATAATGGGTGTAACCATCAGAATCTTGTAACACCTGATGACATATTGATCGCTTCTGTAGTTCAAGAGATAGTAAACTATAGGCTAATTTCTCTTCGCAAAAGCTGACCACATGTGCCAACTGTGGTATATAATAGCCAGTAGTGGCTGTCCGGACAGTCTTATTGGGTTCGCACAGATTGTTTGTACATAACTTTCTTTTACCATTTTTGTCACAATTGTCTTCAGATGAAAATGTTTCTCTTAATATATTAGAAATATCCAATTTTAGTGCTTTGTTTATTTGGACATATAATTTGGGAATTTCAATATCAAACTGATTGTTTGAATCACTACCAGTTCCTGTTGTTTGTGATAAATATAATAAATAATAATAGATTTCAATTTCATCATTTGATTCATTTTCATTAAAAACAGTAACCAAACAATTGTTGTAATTTTTTCCAAATCGATAAAACAATTTTTGCGATTTTATTGCCAAAAATGGATGAGAATATGTTGGATGAAACGGAAGATTTTCCATTACATAAACAGGAAGTGATTCAACTGTTTTCTTACATCTTTCACGAGTCAACCAAATCTTTAATTGGCGAAAAAGTGGCACAACTTTTGCAATATTTTTGTTGATAACAGTTTGGATTTCTTCAACAATACTACAGTCTTCAAACTGAGGAATGTGTACCAAATAATATCCGGTCAGCGAATCAACTGATATTAAGAGACGTTCTGATATCATACACGGCTGAAGAAATGAAATATGAAGAACAGCGGGTGCGCCTGAAATCACCGATTTTCCCACATTTAGTTCATCCAACTCTTTCCTCAATTGAGACAACTTTTGTTTTGATCTCTCATAAGTTGTTTGAAGCAATTTCTTCTCAATTGAAAAATAATCCGATTTTAAACTTTCGTCTTTCATTTCTAATTCGGGACAATGAATCACTTGAAGAGGTCGTGATGGATGTATTGAATCGATTTGGACACACAATTTGAATCCTTTATCATCTTTATGTTCCCTCCAATAGGATAGTACTAAACAATTTCCCGGAGAATATCCTTCAATACGGATGAAGTCATCTAATCTTTCAAAACATAATCGTATAGCCTGTGCGTGAAGCACTTCCAGTTGAAGACTTAGACAAAATGAATGTAATGTATTGTAGGCGTCAACTAATGGATTTGAGTTGTCAGTAAGTCTTGATTGAACCAAATGAAGTAAATACATGACTTGCATTGGGTGAACCAGATCTTTGCCTCCACCGGTTTCCTTGTCTTCAACCAATATCTTTATATTCAATACTCTCCACGGAAGAGATGGTATATCACCCATAAGTGTGATCGAGAGTTCAAATTCATGATCGACATGAAAGACTACTCTTCCAAACTCTATCTTAAAACTCTTCATTTGTAATGGAAGTGCTGTCGACACAAGTCTTTGTTGAATAATATGATTCAAACGAAGTAAAGTTGTCTTTCTATCGACATTTGAGATGGGGTCCGGCGGTACTATGCGGTCACGAATAATGGCCGGCAATCGTGAATACGTACCTAAAGTAAGCACTTCTACGGCTGACGGCAACTGAAAGCTCGGAAGTCGTGCAGAAACTAACGTTTCCCGCGACGCCTTTGCCAGTATGTCAGCCGTCTCTATAAACAGATCCGATTGTCTATCGAGAAATTGGACAATATTGGCGCACTTGTCTACTTTGGACGCACTACCGGCCCATTTGACCAGAGCTAGCAATCGGACAAATAGTTGTCGCGTCCGACTCGCAAACTGAACGATCTCTATCTTTCTCTCCATATCTGTCTTTCGCGGTAACAAATCGGCCAAAACTGTCAATTCGTGGTAAGTCTTCTGAATGGCAAACTCTATGAGTCGGCTCATTGACACCGTTGGTGTCGATTGAAAGCCATTCATCGGTGTGACCGCCGATGAAGTCATTGACATTGCATTCATTGCTGCCATCGTTCACATAACACATAACACATTCAACGATCAACTCTTGCAATCAATTCATCCAAACATACCATCAATTGATCAAACCGTCAGATGGCGACCAATACTATACTCACTCACACTTTGATTATAATATTAATATCATTTAAATTATTATTAAATTGAATTTTTATCATTAAATTAATTAAATTAAAATATTATATTTCTATAATAATAACAAAATCTATTTTTAATTGTCTGTAAAACTCATATTTAAGTCAATTATCAAAATTAAAGTCAAATAAAACCAATTTATATGACTATAAGTTATAACAAGAGTATAGTTTGTTTGGTATACCGTATTATACGATGCTTTATATGGGATATTATACAGTACTGTACGGTATTATATGTTATAATTAATTATTTAATTAATTAGTATAATTAATAAATGAAACAAATGAATTTGTTAAATATATTTTTAAAAATAACCATATTTTGAAATAAAATAAAAATAAAATATAGCATAAATTTGTATATATAGGGTAAATATGTAGAATTWATAATTAGAATTTATCCAGATTATTAGTATCGTACATATAAATTAAAAATCAACATGGTAAATATTTTATAGGAGTATTATTTTTTTAATAATTTATTATTAAAGCTTATAGTTTACATAAATTAAAAATTGATTTTTACAAGTTTATTTTTTAACTATATATTTTAAATATAAAATTTTATATCTATTTAATTTAACAATTTTTATATTACAACCAAAATTGCTATAAATGATAAAACTATATATAGTCTTAATACTATAGTCTTGACTGAAAATTAATTTAAATTAACTAAATCATAAATAGCAATATACTGTATTTGAATTAAATATAGTGGTAATAATTAATGGAAATATATGTGACTTAAATTCATTTGAATCAATCATTTCCATCCCTGTGTTTGGAAGTTCCTGTTGGGTTCGGTTCGCTTAAAATCTCTATAAGTTTGAATCCATTTATGTTTTGCATTTTTAGACATTTTTTCAAAAATTGGCGGAAAAGGCATAGAATTAATGTTGAATTCAGAATTTGATTGTATTTGAGAATTGTCTCCAAAATCGGATTCAAACGGATTTTGTGTTAATTCCCTAAAAATTCCCGAAACTTTCATTTGTGTATTTGTCGGTATAATGTCTATTAATGGCATCACTTCAGGTGTTTCGCGTCTAATTTCATATTAATTAATGATATAATTTATAATAAAATATATTTATCTTAAAATATATTAGAAGTAATTAATACTTTTCTTTATTTCTTTGTGTTATTTGTTCCTCATTTGAATGGATATCGCAGTTATTTTGATAACATAACAAATCAGCAAATGTTATGTTTGATATTAAAACCAAAGCAATACATACTATTAACTTATAAACACTACGATTGCTTGTATACCTATAAATTAATTATAAAATTATTTCCAAATTTTTAGTTTACAGTATACTGTAGTTTATACAGTATTTAAAAGTTGTGTAAGATAAACTGTATAATACTGTATAAAATAGTCTTAAAATATTTAATAATTTTTAAAGTTATGCTTAGTTTGTTTAATATAATTTAATTAATTAAAAAATAATCAAATACTTACATGTTTAGAGTTAATTGTATCAAAATTGTTTTGGCTTAATATGTTACTCAAAGAATAATATAATAATAGACGAGTATTTAAGTTATAGCTATACTTATATAACTGAGACAACAAGTTATTTCCTTATAATTTTATTTGCAAAACCAACCAATCAATGAAAATCAGGTGTTAAAACAATTTATTGTCTCAAATTAATTGTGAAATTTGATATTTTAGCAATACCCACACTTACCCACACTATTAGCCATAACATTAAATAATAATCAATTTTTATTTATAACCATTTAAATAAATTTGCTCATAAAATTAAACATATACACTGTTTAAACAGAATTAATGAGAAAAATCATAATTTATTCAATAAAACATTATATTACATTATATTTACAAAAATTAGTTAAATATCAATGCATAGCATTGTATAATATTTACAATACTTTTATTTTCATTTATTTCATATGAAAAATTTAATTATAAATAATACAAACAAAACCCTTTGTTCGGATCCAAATCAAAAACATTTTCTAATAATCTTTAAATTTATAATTCAAATGATATAAACATTTAGTGAATTTTATTCCTATAAATCACTCCTATATCTGTCATATGTAATAAATGTATAGTATTTGATGTAATTTAGTTTTTCTACTATACATTATTATATAATACAATTTATATACTGTGTATTCTATATGATATGATTTTTCATCATAACAGTTGATAACTTTTCTACTATTATTATTATAACAATTGAATTCATATTTTTATTGCTTTAAATTTACAGCAACATTTCAGGCCTTAATATTAATAATATCCATTAATGTCACTTAAAACATTTAGCTTTAATTATAAACAATATTTATAGATGAAATGTGATAATAGAAAAAATTAATAACATTTTTCAATAAAAAATTTCAGAAAAATAGATATAAATTTTAGGCAATTTTCAAGTTAATCACTTATAAAAATGAAAGTAAAATTTAGTTAAAAAAAACTTTAAACTACAATTTATGATTAACTAATATTTTTGATAAAAACATTATTAACATAAATATAAACGATGGATATAAATGTGATCCTTTGCCGCATTGCTTGATTTCTTTTTCCTAAATAATTAATTAATTAATAAATTTTAAAATTAAATTAAATAAATAAAAATTAGTTTTGTATGAGACCTGTGGGTGATAGTTATGACAACTGACGGGTCTTTTACGAGGCAACTCTGTCTTCAATAGATGACAACTATAACTAACATTATATACAACTTCTTTGAGTTCAAATTTGATGGTTGATATGGGATCGCAGTTACAAGTTTTATGTATGACAACCATTATCATATTTGTATAAGGAATCCATTGTACAGTGTATTGACTATTTTACATTCAAATAAATTTTGTTAATTTTATATTTAATTAATGTTAATATAGTAATTACTAAATATTATAAGTATAATGACATACCGGCCACAGTTTTGTCCACAATTATCATCGCCTTGAATGGGTTCTTCAGACAATGGACTTACAATTTCATATAAGTCAAACTCTTTATCACAAGGGTAGGGTAGGCTCTTATTACCAGGTTGATTATCACCTAGATCAAATTAACAATATATTTTCAATTTCAATATTAGTTATCAATCAGATTATTATATGTCTAAACTAATGTTGTTTGCATTTAACTAAGTTTATATAATAATTTTTACATTAAAAAAGTAAATATTTTATTATTATTATTAATTAAAATAATTTTATATCAGAAAATTAATAATTCATTAATATAAAAAACAATTATTGGACTTTTAAAAAACGTATTATATAATATAAAATAGTATTCAATATTACAGTAGATTTATTTAAAATTTATAATTAACTAAAAAATATATAAATATTTAAAAACAACTTACTTTTATCATTATAATCATCAGAATCCGATCCATAATCATAATCACTTTGAGAGCTGATTACCCATGAATTATACCAAATGTTAATATAAAGACTTAAAATGTGAGACCACGTCCAGAGAAGTAAACTTTTCAAATGATTGAATGGAGTCAATAGTATTGATGCGGGACTGGGAGGTGTAATAATTTTGAAACAAATGGCCTGATAGTCATACATATGGACTTTTCGGTATATGCTTTTGTCCACCAATTTCTCCAGAATATTGTTATCAATTTCGCCGAAGAACTTCCCCGTATGACTAAATTCTTTACTATATATAATGAAAGCGTTGTTATCTAATAAATAGCAGTCGATCTCATCGGAAGAACATAAAGACTTAGAATATTTGTTAGTTATGTTAAGGAATCGCTCGACAAATACTGAATGTTTGAATTGAAGTCCAACGACAGCAACTAATTTATAAATTATAATAAAAATCAAATTAAATCTTATCGTATTTTTAAAATTTCAACAATAATTACCCGGAGCACTTGACTTCCCGGTCCCTAAAAATATAGCATGACTTCCAGTAACCAATACTTCATCCCTATTCATCTGATGAGAGTCAAAGGGTACAGAAAATACAAACGCAGAGTCATTGATAGCATGAAAATCTACGGCACGTCTATAATATAACTCTTCAGTTGCTCTGATTTTTAAAAAGAAAAAAATAATTATAAGATATATATATATATATATATATATATATATATATATATATATATATATATATATATATATATATATATATATATATATATATAATAACTTTAATCATAAAACTTGACTTAAAATCAATACCGAGTGAACTGATCAAAGAATGGTCGTTCAAATGTATTATTTTTCTTTTCTTCTTTACTTCGATGGTCTTCAAAGCGCGTGAGTCCACTACGTGTGGCCACAAATGTTGTCACTATTCCAAACATTTTTAGTTTTTGATCTCTGTTTTGTAAATTATCAAAATATCGATTAAAATAAATGCTTTTTATTAAATTACAATTACAACAATTGCAAAATAATTCAATACTATATAATTTGATAAATAAAATTATAGTTCACAGTAAGGGAGCACAGGGTGTCCGGACACCTGTTAGTCCGTTTGCTACCACCGTTATAACAGTACTACAATGTACTGTAAGGGCCTAACTGTTAGACCCGCTCGACCTCAACTTTGTGCTATTTGTAACAAACATTACCTCGGATATAATGCCAACAATAGTGCCAGTGGGCTAACATAAGCATCAAATTTTTATATAATATTATAAATAAAGATAATTTACTTTTAAATTTGATCACTTAAATATTATTATACGTTATCTAATAAAATCATCGATATAAACTTTATTAACATTACAAGTAGATACAGTATATTACTTACCGTAATTGTTAACTTTTACTGAATAATATTGATTAAAATTATAACTAAAATTTAAGTTAGTTTGTGCAAATTTTTTCTGACATCAATTATAATATATAATCATATATTAATTAATAATTTAACAATTCTACTAAAAATATAATATTTTTAGTGAAATATAATGAGCATAATATTATAATACTATAAAACTATAATACTATAAAATTACTGTATAAAAGTAATATATTAATAATATAACGCAATTTTAATACTGTATATTATAATATAATATATAATATAATTAAAAGTAAATGACCATACTCAATTTTGGTAGAGTATGAGTTGGTTCCACATTTAGACGTATCGATATCAGTGGCTTTTGCATCAAACACTAAACTTTGTGTTAAGTATTTGTCACCTATTTATAAGTCGTAAGTAATAATATATTTAAAAAATAAACAAATATTAAGATTATGACAATAAATACATGAAATGGTTTCATAAACTTGAGGTCTTGTACTACTTGTCTTCCATCTAAAGTTATGTCCATTTACTACAGTTTTAAGAAATTGAGTGATAGCTTCTTCAGCATTTTCGGGTAAAATAGCAGACATTTTATGCGGAGATTCGCAGTAAACCCAATCCGGATGGACTTTCCAATTGTTTTCGCGGAAATAATGCGTAAAGTTTTCTTCTCGTCTGACTTTCACTTCAATCTGACCCTCGACTCTATAAGAACCGTACGGTTCTGGCAATACTATAGCTAAACTAAATGGTGTGAAATCGATTTTGCCGTATATATAATGATTAACACGAGTTACAACACGTTTCATTGAATCCAAATGTATTTTAACTTTAACTTTTTTCCACCCAACTGTCCTATTAATCATATTACCTCTAATTTCATTTATATTTTCATCCATTTCTCGAGAACGGGAATCAGTGTCAGCCAACTCTACTTCGGATATATCAACAGAACTGTAATAAGGTTTAAGCATTTCTTGATATAATGGACGAAGATCCGGGTGATATAAAAGATAGCCATTATTAGTTATCATAAATGAATAGCCATTGACGCCCAACTTAAATGCTGGCGTTAGTTTGACAATCTCTTTAATGGGAACATCAACTCCGGCCACACCTAATAAGTTGGCGATTCTGATGGTCTCCGGTTCAGAGTCTTGATAGACATTTTTGACGAGAATTTTTCGCGTAATATTCGTATAGTTTCGAGTATCAAATACAGGAGTTGATAATGTTGTCATTAATTGTAAATTTCTTTTAGGTTTTGTAGATTTTTTTGGAAATTCAGATTCCGTATTAATAGGAGTGTCCTCATTATCAATAATAGTAGGAATGGGTAGAAAACCATCCGTTTCAGTGCTACCTTCTTCTATATCTTTATTATTATTTAAATCTGAATCTTCAAAATCTTCTTTGGTTTGACTATCGCTAACCATTTCTTGTTTATTTTGTTGTTGTTGTTGTTGTTGTAATATTTTATATTTTATTTGTTTTTCTTTTTCTTCCCAAACCCAATCACTGAGAGGCACTTCCGACACGTGTGCATAAACTGGAGTCCACGAGAATATTCTTTCTCCCGATAATACAATGGGACGACTCATAACTGGTATATATTGTTGAACCTGTTCTCTAACTTCGGCCAAATTAGCCACATGTGTATAATAACCTCTGTTATGACAAGCCATCCAATAGACTTCTTGACTATCGGTTACTTCACGTCCAATAAGATATGTAAATACCCGAACCGGTATATTTGGCCAATTATATGTTTTAAAGACTACTTCAAATGTTAGAGGAGCACCGTCAGTTATCAACATAATTGCTTGATTACACTGACAGCCCATTTTCGTACGATTTAAGACCTGTAATAAATCAAAGGCCTTCATGAGTGCAGACGTAAAGTTTGCCACTTCTGTTGGTCTGACTTTGTCGACATCATCTTTAAGTTGTCTCACATTCTTTTCATTAGCCAAAACCAAGTTATCAAAGCAGTTGTTTATAAATGTGACGTTATCTGAAAACTTAAGAATAGCCACGTAGTCATCATCGGTAAGTGTGTCCAAAATGGTTGAAACGACATTCTTTGCAATTTTATTTCGCAATCCAGTCATTGATCCGCTGGTATCGAGAAGAATGACTATATCTTTAGGTGAAGCGGCTCCTTGGATGTACCTGTTTATCAATACAATTATTAATGTCTTAATAATTTAGTGGTTAATAATATTAAAAATAGTACCAAGGTCTCATTCGACAATCATATAGATCTGGTGGAGGTGTTTCCCAACCAAGAAAATCCACATCTGTTTTCCATTGAGTGGCTGAACGCAAATGTTTAACAGTATTTTCATATAAAATTATCTTTGATTTTTATTTAACACATTTTTAACAATAAATATAAAAATAATATATTTCTATTGTATGATATTTTTATATGATATTAACTTATATAAAATTTTATAATATATTTTATAAATTCAAAACAGTTAAAGTAAGTGTTATTCTATCATAAATAGTATTTATAATATTAATTAATGAAATATCTTAATAAAATAAAGCATTAATATTTACGGTACTTTATTTTAAAGTTAAAATGTTGTTTATATAAATTATGTAATTAATGAGAAATACTAATTAATTACTTTTAAATTAATAATTTTAGTAGTAATCTATAGTAAATCATACTGTAATACTACTGTATTAACTTTTAATTATAATAAATGAATACTTTTAAATAAATGTTATTAAATTTCAGTTTTCTAAATTGACTTATCTGACTAATCTAATTAGATGATTATAATATATTAATTAATTTTAAAACTAATCAATTTAATGTTATATAAAAATTATTTAATTTAGAAAAACACATTTCAATAAAAGTTTTATCAATGAAACAGTATTTTAAAAATATTCTAACTATTGAATCAAATATTTATTGCATATAAATTGTTTCAACGCATATTCAGTAGTATATCAATACCGGTATTATATAGTAGTTTCCAAATGATATTTTTATATCTTATTTATCATATTTAATGCAAAGGTTAAACTGTGATAACATAACTTTTTAGAAAATTATTAAATTAATTATTTATAATTATTATAAAATAGCGAGAATTTGATTTAACTCTGAATCTAATGAATTTAATTAGTTTTAGAGACAAACAAAAAAGTCTAAATTCATACATTACTATTACTACATTGCTTATTACTTTTGAAATTATTAAAAATAATATTAAAATAAGATAAATATTGTTTTATTTAGACATTAAGATATTTAAATAACAAAATTTTGACTAAATAAATAAATAGAAAGCTATAATAACTCAACAAAATTATAATGTAAATTTTTACTGGCAGTAATTTAAACATGAATTTAAGGTAAATAATAAATTTTATAAATATATCTAAAAATAAAATTATAAAAATACAACTAATTTAAATATATATTAAATTAAATTTATGATATAATTATGTCAAATTATGTCAAATTATGTCAAATTATGACAAATTATGACAATTGTTATATTATAAGATAATAAATGAATGGCAAACCTGGATATAATCTAAGGAAGCCTTTACTCGAGCCGAAGAATTGCCACGAAAGGCCGGGATCAAAGGCCAGGTTGTTCTTGAAGTAAGGGGTCAATGCATCGGACCATTTGATATCATTTAAAATATCGGGTGCCTTCTCATAGACATTGATAGGCACGTGAACGGCACTTAAGTCCAGATTGACGTTAGAGGTCTCGAAGTTTGGATGAAGACTCAATTTGACGGCTTTCCACTCAACGTCCTGATCCTCATTATGATGTGACGGTGGCTCTCCTTCTCTCTCATTATATAATCTCTTCATATTTAAATACTCAACCAAAACATTTTTGTCTATTTAATTAATAAACAATTGGTATATAATTGAAATATCAATTGATATAAAACTAACCATAAGTGTGATTAGCAGCCAATCTTTGGCTTTCATTGGCTATCCTATCGACGGCCTGTTTCTTCCAGTTAAGTGTATTGATGACATCGTTTCTCATATCTTCCATCATTTTGTTTGAGTCAAACCAAATGACTTTTGCGTTCATATCTTTGAAATTTTGTGTAATTTTTCGGACACACGTCGACTCAGAGCTGCCCTCATAGATATCTTTGCCGAATCTGAGCGCAAGATTCCGTACTTCATATGGATCTACGGTTATGAATGTCGATTGATTTAAGACGGGAACCAATGCCGATGTTATAATTAAAGCAATTAGTGGCCATATATTGATTGCAGCCATCTTTTGCTCTCAATTTAGTAACGTTTTTGTCAATCCTCTCATATATCGATCCAAAAGTCAATACCGAGTCTCACATGAAAAACACTGTTAACGCAAATGTGTTAATAATAGATAATCTAAATGACTATATAAGCTTCACTCATCAATTTATACTACAATCAGCATATATTTTATAATCCATATTCTCATTACTTATTTTAAATACAAATAATCAAAATATTTAATAAATTTTAATGCAATTTATACTATTATATACAATAGTAATATATTAGTGAAAATGTAATCAAAAGCATTGCTCACTACTGTACAGGGATTCTGTGTATTCAAGAATATTAAGCTTCTATATAGAGAGTATAGTATATACAGTAGTATAAAATAATATATATATAGTTATACTGTACTACAGTACTACAGTAATGTAGCTATAAATTTACAGTCAGTACACTATATGGTACATACTATGCTATAGTAACTATAGTTATATAGTAAGTATAGTAAACTACTGTATTTACGGTATACGTTAAAAATTGCAAATAGTAGTCCTTTTCAAAACACATAAACATTATAAGTAAAAATTAAAAATTTTATTTGAAATTTAATACTAATTTTTAGAATAGTATAGACATAATCGGGCTATTGATTAATCGTATGTTAAAATTCTAATACAGTATATGCTGTTAAATACCAGTTAGACATGGGCTAAAAATTGTAGTATTAATATAATCTTAGCTAAAATAATTTATAATTGCATAAACAGTATTATTATTATTATATGATATGATAATATCAATCTTTTATGCATATTTTACATATTTTGTATGTATATAATATAATTATTATAAAATCTATAATTTAATTATAATTATCTTATAATTAATCTATAATTACTCTTGTATCTATATTAATATTATAAATTTTAAGACAACTTATTTATTTAGGAATATTTAATACTAGTATGTTATGAATATATAAATAATAATTAACACTGGTCAATTTTTAACAATTGTTAACAGTTAATTTAAAATGTTCATGGTAATTTTAATATATGTTACATTTGTTTTGAGGCTCTTAAGCCATGTCCCATATGTTGAATTGGAAACAATAGATTTGATTCCCTAATCAATCATAAATCCTGATTAATCAGAGATTAATTACCCGAAACAAATCGCTCATAAAAATTACATGTTTTAACATTAGGTTAAATGGACTTAAAAGTGCATTTAATATTTGATGTAAAATTTAAAATTAGTTGTTTGTATTTGAATCCTATATATATTTTTAATAAAATTTTTTATTTAAATAGTTTGATTAAATTTGACAGAAATGTTAAATAATTATTAAATTATAAATCAAACGACTGGTTATATAACTGTAGTTTAATATAAAAAGTGTGAGAAATGTATTAAATAAATGACAAAAATATTTATTAAAAAGTGATTTTCATGTCATAAACGGCGGAAACATATTAATAATCAATGAATACAACCATTGAATCCTCAGATTTGGTCATTAAATCTTGAGATTTGGTCATCAAATCTTGAGATATCATATAATATTAAATTTTATGAAAAGAACGTCATTTGTTGTGTTTGTATTACATCTGACATTATTGTCGTCATTGATGTCTCTTTTGTGACTCTGTTTCAGCAAAAGAAACATTTGATGAATGGTTTGAATCAGTGATCGATTGACTCGTTTTGTAAACAAATCATTTGATTATCAAATGCAATGAAGATGTCAATCAAAGACACCAAAGAAGTCGAAGAGATTCTCGATTCGCGAACAAAGGATAATAAAAGAGAGTATTTGGTTCGTTGGGCGCAGACCTGGGAGGCAGAGGATCAACTCAACTGCACTCAACTTATCCAAGAGTTTAAGTCACGTAACGGACTCTTAGACATCAACAATGACTCCAATGCTGATGAAGATAATGAGGATATCAATGAAGATAATATCAGTGATAACAATGACAATGAAGTCGAAGACATTAAAAACACTCCGAGACGTCGATCGACCAGAAAGACGACTAAATCAATAAATCGCAAGAAAGGAGTGCACAGAAAGAAGTTGAGAGTAAAAGTGGAGGACACGACCTATTCGTGTCAATTGTGCTCTTTTGTCTGCCATTGGAATCGCGAGTATTATAAACACATGAAATCACATTTTTCTGGTCCGCCCTATAAGTGTTCAGACTGTGAGTATAGCTGTGATCGGATTCAATTCATTTTATCACATCGTATGAGACATACAGATGAACGACCGTTTGAGTGTGAATTGTGTCCGTTTAAGACACGAACAAAAGGTAATCTTATAGTTCACATGAGAATACATACCGGAGAGAAACCTTTCAGTTGTGATCTCTGTGGACGTGCTTTTGCTATGAAGAATACTTTAGACCAGCATTTGGCCACTCATAAGGAGGACCGACCTTTTCTGTGTGATAGTTGTGGATTTACCACCAAATATCAATCACATCTATTATCACATAAACGCATTCACACAGGGAATGTGTTTCACTGTGAAGAGCCCAACTGTACGTATTCATCTCCACGGAGGTCACAGTTAGCCGCACATATCAGAAGCCATCTCTCCATTCGGTCGCATATATGCTCAACATGTGGCAGAGCTTTCATCGAGAAAAGCCATTTAATAAGACATGAAAGGATCCATTTGGATGAAAAACCTTTTAAATGTCAACAATGCGAATATGGAAGTACTCGAAGAGATAAACTTAAAGAACACATTATTAAACATCACAGCGGAGACCAACCGATAAAAAACACTTATAGACCGCGTAAATCGCGGCGACAAACCATTAACGCCAACGACACTGTCGACGAATCACAAGAAGACACTATTATTACTTTCCAATCTCAAGATGACTCACAATCACAAGTAATTGTTGGTTCGCCACAAGAAATACAGATAACTCAATCACAATTGTCTGAACAAGAATTATGTGCCGCAACAACCAGTCTTATATATGAATACAATTCTTCCGGTGAATTGACTGTTTCTCCCGCCAGAGTTGTCATACAATCAGGAATACCAACCGTAACCTATGAATCAGTGGATCAATCAGTTGTGGATCTTATAGTTGAACACCAGAAACAAAATAATAACTCTCCGACTCGTGTTGTTATCCAATCTATTCCTTCATCTAATTGTATTGTAACAGATCAGAGCAAAGGCAGTCCTAACGCCAACTCAAACAATAATTCATCAGAAATTGGAGGTCTCAGTGCTTTTATGGCTCTTTTCTAATAAATTATACATTTTATCAAATGTCATAATACTTTCTAAATTGATTGATGCTCTCAATTATATTTTTATTTAATACCATTTATTTTACATATGGTATATATATATATATATTGTCAAAACATTTATTAAAAAAGTTTTAAATTAAAATAAATTAAATTATTAAAAATTTTAAGTTATTCTATAATTATCAAACAATATGTTTAATGTATTTCTATATTACGGTAAATAGAAAATATATGATAATTTCAGTAAATAGAGTATAATATTTTTATTAATTAGTTGAATGAATTGTATGTTAAAACAGATCAATAATTATTTTATTAGTGAATCTATGGCAACGACAGGTGTTTGTCAATGTCTTCTCAAGAAGTATTATATTTGTGTTAACAGGACTTCAATTATGTTGTAAAGAGAAATACGTTTAAAGATTTGTTTATCAAATGATATAAATAAATAAAAATATCTACAATTCCGGTCAAAATCTTATGCAATCAATAATATCATTAATATAATGAATTAAAATTATCAAATATGGCTTTAAATATGAATATTCTGTCACAAAATGATAATTATTTTTTCAGAAATTTATATATCTATTCGTTAGTTAATTACGAAAGTGGAGGTCTTCTCATTAATATATATAATAGGGAAGGGATGTCGGCATTGATTGATGTTTTTAATAGTCAAGAATTTAGGAATAATATGTATCAAAATGGTTTGGGCAAAGAATTTGATACTTCCAAGTCATCTAATATTTTGTGTCAATTATCTGATAATTTTGATCCAAAATTAAACCAGGTCAGTTTCAATAAACCATTAATTATTAAACATTTTTAATTATTTACTGAAAACAATTTTAATTGTTTCTTATTTATAACTAAATTGAAGCAAAATATGCGAAAAGTTTGTTGGAAATTACATATACGAGGATTATATGGAGAATCATTAATACATATTCTTATTATAAACAATACAAAAATACATACTATTATTGCCAAACAAATGCTTCTTTTATATCCTAATTTAGTTAATGATGTGTTTGAAGAACTCGACTATTTTGGTAATTATTTTATGATTATTATTATTTAATAATTATTTTACTGTAAATTTAAAATTATATGCAAAATTCATGACTCTTTTTTCAACTATAACTTTGTAATGAAATTAAAGAAAAAATATTATTTGCAATTATGGGGTTTTGACTAATACTGAAAAATGTCATATTATTTAATTTATATTAAATACTGTATAATTGAATACATTGGTATTTTTAATTATATAGTTTATGATATTATATCTCATTTAACTAACATATCAGTGACCATATAAATTAAAATTAATAAATTCAATAAATTGGTCACAAAAATTCATAGCTGGAAATATAATTATTTTTATTTAATTTAATTTGTAACCGATTTTATATTATAAATTATTATACTATCTATAATATAATATACTGTATATGCTATTATAACAATATTAATATTGTATAATTTATAATACAAAAGTTGATTAATATTTTGATTAATTGTAAAATTAATAGGTGTATCAGCTCTTCATTTAGCAATAATCTATGGAAATGAATCATTAGTTAATATTTTATTGGAAAGTGGGTGTGATGTGAATGTACGAGCTTTGGGCAACTTTTTTGTTCCCAAACAGTATAACAACTCTAAGAAAATACCCGCTTTCAATGGTTTCAAATATATTATCATTTATATATATAATGTATTTATTAAATTAAGTGTTTAATCAATCATTTTTTAGAAGAACTATATTTTGGTGAATATCCTCTTTCATGGGCCGCAAGTATTGACAATAAAATAATATACAATTCATTGATAAGCTATGGAGCTGATCCTAATTTAATGGACACGTTTGGAAATATGGTTTTACATGTGATTGTTGCCCGAGAAAAATTAGTAACATATCTTCTACTGCTAACAAAAAGTGTCAATTAATTAAAATAAAATATTTGTTATTTAAAGAATATCTTTGGATTTGTATTAAGACATTCAGAAAGACCGGCTCATAACGATATGACCAACAATTATGGTTTAACTCCATTAGCATTGGCCTGTGTTTTAGGAAAATCTATCATTTTTAGAGAAATAATTGAATTAAGTTGTCAGGTAAGTACTCATCCATTATTATAACATAAATATAAATTATATTATAATATCAGTTAATATAACATTTTAGGAATTTTGGACATACAATATAGTCACCTGTTGTGGATATCCATTGAATGTTGTCGACTCAATGCAAATTGAAAATAAAGAAACAGGTTTATAAAAAATAATTATTATTTAAATTATTTAAATAAAATAATCTTAAAAATATCAATTAGACAGTCGATCTGCTCTTAATATTATACTTGAAGGTAATAATAGTGAGCACTTGGATATGTTACAGGGAGGGGTCATTCAAAAACTATTAGAAGAAAAGTGGAAAACTTTTGGACACGTAAATGACATTTGATTTTTTTTTATAAATCCATTAATTATTTATATAATAATATAATTTTAACTTATTTAGCGTCTATTTATGAAAAGGATTTTTCAGACATTATTTCATTTAGTCATTCTTAGTGTTGCTATTTATTTGAGACAATCAAACAAAGAGTTGTCTATCTGTGAACCACAAGTTAATAAAATTGTGAGTTTATTAATTTAAATCAAAAATAACTTTTACTTATTAACTATTTATATGTTACTCAGTTTTATTAATAACTTAATACTTTATTTAAATTAATATATGAACTTATCTATTGTTAAAATTTTAAACTGTTTTAATAATTTTTTAAAAAAAAAGTTTAGAATAATTGCGGAAATATCTTCAATATTAAGTTGTGGTCGATATGTATTTTTTCAAATTAAAGAATTTTCTAATAAGAAAAAGCTAAACATTTTAAAAAATTTGGTAATATTTACAAATTTTTTCATTATATAAGTAAAATAATTGATTTAATGTTTATAATTAATAGAACTCAACATTACCTCAAATAATATTTTTGATATCAAATATTCTTATAACTTGTTGTATGTTTTGTCGATTGTTTGGTATTTTATATATTGAAGAAGTTTTACTAATAATAGCATTGCCTTCTTCCTGGTTTTTTCTAATGTTTTTTGCCGCGTAAGTCATATATGATTTATATTTAAATCTATTATTAAATGATTATCAATACTTTAGTGCTGTACGTATAACCGGTCCTTTTGTAGCAATGGTCAGGTTTATGATAATTGAAGACATGCGTCAATTTAGTATAATTTATTTAGTATTTCTTTATGGATTTTCACAAAGTATTTAGTATTTATATTACATATTGATTAACAAAACTGATTTCATAAACAAATAATTGAATTAATATTTTTTTTAAAGCATTTCACTTTTTATTAAAATCTCCAACAAAGACGTGGAGACAATCACACCATAGTTTTTATTACAGCTCTTGGATGGAACTGTTTCGTATGACTTTAGGTGCCCATGAGGTTAACAATTTGATAGATTTCTTATTTAATTTAATAATTACTTTATTTTTTCAATTAATAATATATTAATTTATTGATTTACAGTATGAAGAATTGCGAAATTCATATTATCAATGGTTGACTCAATTGTTTTTTGTGTTATTTATGATATTAATGCCAATTTTATTGCTAAATATGTTAATAGCAATGATGGGTAACACATATTCATTAGTAATATCTGAATCTGAGAGGGAGTGGACTATGCAATGGGCAAAGATTTTGCTTGAATTAGAAAAAGCACTTTCTTTTAATGAATCGAAACTATTTTTGAGTCAATACACTCTTACAATTGCTGCTAAATCACAAACTGATGATCCGATAACTGCTTTAATGGTTATCAAAAAAATGTCTATTTCTAAGGCAAAAAAGAGAAAACAAGCCATTGATAACTGGAAGGTATTTATTATTATTATTATATATTTTATATTATATTATTTTATTTGTCATTATATATTCAATATTTATTAATTTGCCAGAGATTAAACAGAAAAGTTAAAATACTATTTTGTAATAAAGATATCAACGATTTGCAAGTTATCAACAATTGATATCAAATAACCACTTATTGTTTGTGAAAATATTCATTTACTTATAATAAATATATATTTATGATTAATAATATAGATATAGATATATTATCGAATATAAACTTATATCGTATAAAATTGATTTATTGAATATATGAATATTAATAAATTTTAAAATTATATCTGAATGTTAATAATTAAATTTTTACAAAACATGTATATAATTAATATAATTTTTTGTTTGTATTGTATATATAGTTTATAATCTAAATGTTTTTTAGTAAATTTTTATTTAATTAATATTTATAATACTGTATACACTTAAGTATGTTGGATATTGTTATAAGAATAACTTATAATTTAATTGCAATGAATAATAATAAGTAGTGATTATTGAGAACAGTTTTTTACACAAATGCACAATTGATGTTAATATTAATTTTTAAAAATTTCATTAGTAATAAGTCACATATACATCAAATTAATACAAATTGTATAACAAGTAATTGTAATAATTAATATATAATGTTATATTAGAGATTGGTTTTATGTATATCTATACCAGGACTTCAGCAGCCAATTTTGAAGAGGGGGTTAATTTATTTTGAATTTTATTTTATTTTCTAAAAAGGTTTGGGTAAACAAATTGAAGGTAAAATGTGGAGGTGAAATTATTTACCCCCTCCTTACACTCTGTTTTACCCTTATTTATATTAATTATAAAATAATAAAACAAAAATTATAAATTATGTTTTTTTAGTATAATTGATCTCAATCTTCAAAAAATTTGTTATATTAAATGACAATAATTATTTAATATACAGTAATTTATGATTTTTTCAATAGATATTATATTAATGTACAATATTTACTACAATATACTATAGTTTTATTTTATTTAAATAATTTAAAAACATAATTTACACATTTTAATTTAATTTAAAAAATTGTTAAATTAATTTAAACTTTATTATATATTAAAATTAAAAAAAAAACATTTTCATACTGTAAATAAGATTTTTAAAAATTAATTTAATGATATCACATCATGAGTATTATTTTTATAAATAAGTTTTAATAGATATATTATGAATAAGTTTAACAATTATGTAAGTATTAAAACAATACTTTGTTATTGATATAAATAATTATTGCATAGATTAATAAAAATTTTAAAATGTTTATTAAATATAACATTAGTTTAATAATTAATTATATATTCCATTTTTACCAAAATATTGCATAAAATCATTTTTAATGTCTAAACATATGTATTTCTCCGCTTAAATTAAAATTATCACATAACAATTTTAGTAAAAATTAAAAATTAATTGAACATTTTGTTAAAAATATTTGTGATTTTTTAGACAACTGATTAAAATCGTTAAAATTAATTAATATGGAAAAAATTATCTTAAAGTTTGTTAAAGTTAAACATTTGTAACAAATGAATACATTATAAATTATATTTTAATAGATGTAGAAATATTTTCAATAATATTATTATTTAACAATAAATAACAACATTTCATTTTTTATACAATATATTAATATAATAATATATAAATATGTTAAATCGTATAATTTAAGTCAATTTAGTTAATACTTATTATTTATTTTGGTCAAATATATTATTGTATTAATAAATTTAATATTTCTTTGGAAACAATATTTTACATTTAAATAAATTACATTTTATTAAAATGAGTTTTACTGATATATTTGAATATAAATGTGAATAATGTATTCAATAGTACTCAAAGTTTTTAGCACAAAATGATTTGTTTGTTTAGAAATTATAAAATATAAACTATAGATCAGATAATAGTGAGTTATGATGGTCTAAATCAATAGAAAATTTTTATTTATTTGCTATATAATAGTGATGTAAACATAATTAAGTTATTCAGTTATGTATAAATTGCTTAAACTAAGCAAATATATATTTTTATGCAATTATTTTCTGTTTTCGGAAATTAAAAAAACAATGAAAATAAAAAAATGGGGAAAAACACTTTAAATACTATTAAATTTATAATAGTTTGCATAATATTTTTACTGTTAAATTTTTTGACAAAATAAAAATAACTAAATATTTGGGAATTCCTGAATTATCTGAACTATAATTAATCCTATAAGTTATAAATATACCGGTATTTTGTATATTTAATTTATAAAATATTGATTTTGAGATGAAATATCTCTAATAAATAGATATTTCTACAAAATTACTATTATAATAAAAATACTGTATTGATAGCTAAATTATATTAATTAACTAATAAAAATGATTTTATTAATACTATTGAAATGTTATTAAAATAAGTATTTTAGAAATTATTTATTGTGTAAAATGTAAATATGTAAAAAATTTGTGCATTATTTAAAATATCAATGTGTGATTTTTAAATTAAGACACTATTTTAAAAGATGAATCAATTATCCGATTTAGATTAATATATTTTGTGTAAAAATTTTAAAAATTATTAATTTGTGATTAATATGAAATGATAAATATAATATTTTAGGCACTTATTTTAAAACTAACCTATTTAGTTTATGGGATTTGATCAACAAAAATAAAATTTACTATTTAAAATATTAAAAATTGTATATAAATGTATTATAGAATATCATTATTTTATATAATAATATTATTTGATTGATATATTATATATTTTATGTTAAAAGCTCATGAATTTATATATTTATAGTTATCTGAAGTGTTTGTTTAAATTAGTCGTATTATGAACTTTGCATAAATGGTTATTTAAATGAAGAAATAAATATAAATAAGTATAAATAAATAATTTTAAAATAAATATTATGGAGAATAATAGCAATAGTTATAATCTATTTAGTGGTTATTTGAGTGAATGAGTTTTGGTTTATGATTGCATCCAAACAATATTGTTATCACTTTGAGAGGATCGCTGTTTATCTTTATTTGTATTACTTTGCTTGAGATTAGGAAACGATTTGTGTGTAGTTTGTAATGTATTTGAATCGATATAAGGATTGATGTCGTGAAGTGGTGCCGATGAACACGACTCGTAAGTATCGCTACATATGTTTACTTTAGTAAGAGTCAAACAATTTTGAAGACTAAGAGCACGATTTAGTTGGGGTTGTAGTGGCTGTTGTAATGGTTGTACCGGTTCTGACTGATTGCTGCAAATCACTTGCGATGGATCAATGTCTTGGTCGACATCAAGTGTGTTTTCAAGACTTGACACATATTCTAATGTATTATCAAAATCAACTGAATTATCAAATGTGTCGACATTAGTATCAATGATAATGTTAGGACCGGACACTTCATACATGGTTTCCATAAGGCTTTTGGTATTTCTTAAAAGAGTTCTATTAATAGGTATCGGAAATGTTGTCGACTGAAGACTTTGGGTTCGACTCAAAGGAGAGACAAAGTTTTGATTGCATTTGTCTTTGTCTGACTTTGAGTTATTATCACAGCATAAACACAAATATTCGTCGCAACAACTCTTTGATGTCATTTGATCCGCACGTTTAGCACTCATTTGACTTTGAATTGTTATGACTTTCATACAATCCATTACTTCATTTAGACAATGATTTAATCTCTCTTCAAATATATCAATACGTCTGAAACGATTAAATAATTGCAATTATATTTTAACTAATTATAATTATTATTACATTATATATACAGTATTCTTATAATAATTTACTATTTTAGTTGCATTATATATATATATATATATATGTATATAAAGACATACTTTGATAAGTTATCGATCTTCTTATCGATTGAATTATCATTATTTATATCATTGGAGTTATTATCTGTATTTGCAGACTCTCTGACCAATTCATTAATTGACTCCATTTTATAGACAGTATTTTGAAGAACTGTTTCCGAAATACTCGTATCCATTGTTTCCAACGGATCGTTGATTTGACTGCAATATTGATGTTTCAAAGGATTTCGGTTTCGACGAAGTCTTTCATGTGATGAACTGATTTTGTTTTGTTTCGATGATATCGTTGACAAAGCACCTGAACATTGACCACACATATAGTTATTTGATTTTATTATGAGTTATAATTCAAAATTAAAAAGCAAATACCAAATGTTAAATCAGTAAAACTTCTTTTTAATTGATCGACCACTCCTTAAATTAAATAATATATTAAAATTAATTGATATCTTTTTTAAACAATACCTGACAATGAATTTAATGTCTCGCTTCTGGCTCTGACTGGTTTAGTCAAGAAGTCATAGTTAGCGGGCGTCACATCGAGTCCTGCTTTTTGTGGTGAAAACTCAAGAATACCAGTTCCTGAATATCTTCGCTTACAATTATTTTCTTTAATATTTTTGTAGTAAAGTTGGGCGCAATCGTCATCATCATCGTCGCCGTCAAATGAATTAAACACCAGTGGAGTCACAAATGATGACTGACCTAATCTATTGTCATCAGTTTGTGCCGAAACTAAATTATAATTAAAATAAATATTAGTAACAAATGCTTATATTTGTTATTATGAGACAAACCTTCTTCAGAAAGTTCTTCATTAGGCGGCGATGAGAAGCAGTCCTGAAATTTGCGTTTCGATGGCTTCTTGATTGAGATGTCTGGCAATCCCTGTTGGTTCTCATCTCTTAAATTGAATGTCAAAACTAAATTACCATTAAATGAAGCAATGAATTCGGGATACATTTCCAGTACATGAAGTAAATCGGATCGCGTTATCTTATGGAGATCACAATATGTCAGTGCCCTAACATTGGCCATTGATTTACCGATTGTCGGGTTCTCTAATGGGTTTTCACCAAATATATCATCTTTTCCTATAAATATTTACCAGTTTTTATTGATAAACTGTTTTCTATTAATAATGCAAAATATACCTAAAATTGCTACCACATTATCTCCATTTAATATTTCAATTGTTCCCCGAGCTATGAAATATAAAGAGACCAAAACATCTCCTTTATGAACGAGAGTATCCCCCGGAGGCGCGTGAGTTGTTTTAAACTATCAATTATTTAATTTTGATGTTTATTTAAAAAAGACTTCAATATAAATGTTTATAAATATTTTAACTAACTTTCATTGATAGAGCTCTTAAACATCCCTGAGATGCGTCTGTTATATACAAAATTTATAATATTTATTAGTTTTATGATTGAAGTCTATGTTGTTATGAGAGCACTAAATACATTATATAATTACATGTTTAACATACACTTCACAACAATTGTCTCAATAAATTTATGTGCAATTATATACTATACTATAAATTTAATATTAAGACAACCAACAAATCTTATATTTACACAGTATTATCACTGAAACAATTGTTATAATCATAAAACCATCTGAATTATTAAAATTTAATATATTATGTTATAAATAAAAATTTAAAAACCTTTAAAAGCCGAACAATTTTCCAATAGATTTCTATTCAAATGCAAACAGATGTCTGCCTGAAGACATTCAGGAAATCCTTTTAACACCTAATGTAAAAAACGACATTTAATAAGTATATAATATAAGTATATATATATATAAGTTATTAATATATAAATAAAAATGATAACCATATTCATGTCAATGCCATTACTGTAAGCCCACGCGTGTTGAAAGTATTCTTCAAGTCGTTGTCTTAAAGGATCCGGGATTTGATGAAAACGTATGAATTCCCGAACCCGTAGTAGTTGTGTGTGATATCTTGCTGTCCCTGAATATAGTCTTTGGATTATTGCCGACACGTTTCCAAATATTGATGCATACATTAAAGCTTTTGATAAATGACTTCAATAAATAAAATTATTTACATAAATATTTAAATGTTTGTAAACTCACATCCGGTTAACATAACTAATATACAAAATATCTTTTCAGTGTTTGTCGTCGGCGACACATTTCTAAACATAATCAATAATTTAGTGAAAAGTTTTATTTTTAAAAATAAATTACTAATAAATAGTGAATTAATATGCAATTATTATACTTTTTATTATATGAAAGAGTAATAATTTTGAAAATTTACAAATTCAATTCAAATTTAGTATTTTTAAAATAAATACAATAATTAAAAATTGATTTCTTTTATAAAAATATGAAAAATGCATTCATTAATTGTTTACTTATTATATCAATTTATTGTTACCCAAATCCTACAGAAGTGAGCGACGAAAATGTAAAATATAAGGCTGTTATGTATCGAGATTTTATTGTTGGTCCTCCAGAACCATCTGAATCTATTGATATATTAATACACAACAAATTTATTATTTAAATAAAAAATTAATTAATGGTTGTTTTATGAATTTTTAAAAAACAATTTATATAAACATACTGTAGTATTGATATGTTGAGTTTGCTAAGTGATCCAACCAACCTATCTTTGAATCTAATACCTAAGTTTAACATAAAAAACGGTAAATTGTAATATTGTAATAATCAAAATTATAATTATATAATCAAATATACCGGTCTCTCAGCATTTCCTATTGCATACCTATAAAATAAAAAGTTTGATTTTAAATTGAATAACAATCAATTAATTAATTATCAAAATCACTAATTAATTTTACTTAAAAAATAATAAAATATATAAAAATAACTCAAAACTTAGTATACCAATCTAATTAATTTCATTTAATTAAATTAATATAAATAAAATGTTTTATAATACATACCAAATGCAAGCTAACCAATGCGCTACCTAAAAGAATCAAACATTAATTAGATATATAATTAGTAATAATTAATACAAATAATAACTATTAAATAATTAAATTATAAATAATGTGATACCAATGCAAAAGCAGCGACAAGTAATATGAGAACCGCTGCCCCGTATTCAGAATATCTATCTATTTTTCGGGCCACACGAACCAAACGCAATAAACGCGCCGTTTTGAGCAAACCTATCAATGTTGTGGTCTATAATATATTTTTTAATTGTTTGATATTTTACTAAGTGTTTGTTTGACATCTTTTATAATTAATGAATTACCTCATCGTTTTGAGAACCAAAGAGCAAAAGATCAAAGGGAATGGCAGCGACAACATCTATGAGGAACCATCCCTTCAGATAATTCAATGCTATCTTTCCTGGATGTGACACAATCTATATATACAATACAATTTCAATACAATTATTATAATTCAATTTAATTTTTCATTTGATTACCTCATCATTTTTATTAACAAAAGTTGTCCTAAAATTGATGAGAATGTCAACTAAAAAAATTTTTAGTCAATTTTAATTTTTATATTTCAGTTGTTAATAGGTTAGTAAATAAAATAATTTTTAAAATTAACTTATATATTATATTATAGTTTATTCTTTTAAATAGTAATAATTTATTAAAAGACAAATAAACAAAATAAAGTAATATAAATAAAGAAAATCAAAAATATTGTAAAACGATATTAAGTGAAAGTATGCGAACCAATAAACATTACATCGACGAGGAGGTCGACAACCATAAGAGGGTCGTCGCCGTATTGCTTATCCTCCTTAACCCAAAAGGTTTCCTCTTTATTACTATTGTTTTGGTCCTTAACTGTTATAATTATTAAAATATTTATAAATATTTAAAATTTATTATCATTTTTTTTATTTAAAATTGCCAAACATTCTTTCAAAAATAAATTATTACATAAATATATATATAATTTTTGTTTTATATTTTTATATATTTAAAATTTATTATTATTTTAAGATTGTTTATGTTACATAAAATAATAACAATAAATTATGTAATTAAATATAATAATATATTGTATATTATTAATATTGATACTATATAAACAATTTTAAATAAATATAAATGTATAATTAATTTTTGCAATTATAAGTGATATTATTATTAGAATCATATCAATATACTGTATACATATATATTTATAATTGATATAATTAATAAAACTGTATATTTATAATTGATATAATTAAAAATACCGTATTTTCAATATATGTATTTAATAACAAAAATATTAAAATAAAAACTCTTGTAATTCAAAATAAACAAAAAACTAAATATTAGATCAAATGAATCAGTAGTGAGAGTATAAATAAAATTATTATTTAACAAAATGATTTTATATTATAATAAATATAACCATTAAAATCGTCTAATTTTGAGTTATCAACTAATCTGACAATATATAGGGCAATGCCCATTTAGGACACACCTATATTGATTGTAAAACTTATATTAACAAACTTTAAATCAGTTTGCTATAAATTATACATTATATATCAAAAATATTTTTTCTGATTATTTAAAAAATTTAAAATTGCCTAAATATCCGGTGATTTCAATAAATATCTCTTTAATTATATATCCAAATGATTTTTTTTGTATTTTATGTTTAATAACTACTTTTAGTTGATGTAAATGTAGAGTCATTTAAAACTCATTTATTTAGCAATATATAGGTGTTTCTAATCTCCATAATTATTGTGTCATTTATTTCCATTTTGTTATTTTAGTATATATTAATAGTTTGCAATAAATTTCATTTAATTATTCTAATTTTTTTTGTGTTGGATTATATAAAAAATTTCTAAGAATTTAAGAGTCAATATATTGCATTAAATTTGATAAACAATAATAGTATAAACTGACCTGAATTTTGATTATTAATGATTCTGTTATCAGTAACAACAGTCTTATTATTTAAGAGAAATGCGGCTGAATATGGAGTAAATATAGCTGTATATATGACAAGTARTAAAATGACCCAGTCCCATATGGCCTTAAAGGGAGAGTAATGTAAAATTGTCCACTTTTGCTGAGATAACACATTTTGACCGTTCAAATGATGGCCAATAGTTGGTGATGCGTCTCCCGATTCAAACTTATAATCTGGTAATATATCGGCACCCAATGATAGTACCTAAACAGTAATAAACATTTAATAGTAATAAAAACATTTTCAAAAATAATATTAATAATCTGAGATCCTATTATTGTTAATATTAATTAATAGTTTATAAATCATAAACTATAATCTCTATGTTAATCTTATAACATATTTTTATGTGAAGATATTTTTCAATTATTATAAAAACAAGACTATTAGATACAATAGACAATAATTCTTAATATACTCTATTATACAGTATATACAATAGTAATATCAAAATAATTTTTAATTATTAATTTTTTTAACTTTAAAAAAAAGTTTATTATAATAATTAGTCAACAAATAGAAATTTCTAATAAATTTCCCTAAAAATATTTTTAGAAACTTACTCTGAAAAATAAATATATATTTTTTAAATTTATTATTAAAGTGTCTTGATTTGCAACTAAAAAACTATTTTCTGAGTTTAACGCTTATATCTGATACATAATATGTCAACCGAACTAACCAGTGGACGCTATTCCCGAAAATTTCATTATAACTATAAATAACTATTTGGTGAGTTAGCAACTATAATAACTTATAAATAACTTTTGATTTCTAATAATTTTGAAAAATATAAGCATTAAACTGTAAAATATTGCACAAATATATGTAAAAATACAAAATATTAATAATAAAAATTATATAAAAACTGTAAAATGTTTTTAATTTATATTTTTTGTGAACAATAGAAATAATTAGTATATTTATAATACTGTACATCATTCTTGTAAATATACTGAAAATAAGTGAATCACATATTATTTGCAAATATTAAAAAATAAATAAATATTTCAATAGCTATTTGATTTATTTTGGTAACTAATATACAACTATTGGGAAGTTTTTCTAAATTTAGAAATATTTTAAGTAAAGAACGTATGAGAAAAAATCAAATATTATTTTATTATTCAATATAATCAAAATTAATGTAATTATTTGTAAATATTTTTTTAATACATAACTATTTAAATAACTATATGGCTTTTTAGCAACTATTATAACATCTATTTGATACAATATAAATAGGTATTAATCAATACATTACTTATTAGTATTAATTAATACACAATTGGGAACAATTAATATAAATTATTGTTATTCTAAATTAAACTTAAATTTAAAAAAAAATAATATTTATAATTTAATTATTTTCGAATCTTAAAAATAATTTTTTAAATAAAATAAATATATTATAAAATGTAATAATTTTGTTAACTTTAAATATTAATAAAATATTAAAAATAATATTTAATAATTAGCAATATAATTATATTAATACAAGTTACCAAAAATTAAGATAATAAAATTAATATATCAATTCAATAGACAAAATCCTATTTTTTAAATATAAATATCTTTGTTTTAGATAATAAGTTACTAAATATAAGTACCGTTTGGTCACATCCTTTACATTATATATTCATAATATACAGTATATGACAAAAGTTTGATAAAATCTGTGATTTTCAAATCTACTAAAAATGAAGTGAACCCTAAAGTGAAACCATTACCCTAAATACACACCTTATTATAGACAACATATCCACACATTATTAATGTTTATGATTTAAATCTTTTATGAGTTAATATTAAACACTATAAAAGCTATATTTATTAGAACAAATATAATTATAAATTTAATATATACAGTATATATATACAGATATATACAGTATATATATACAGATATATACAGTATATATATACAGATATATACAGTATATATATACAGATATATACAGTATATATATATACAGATATATACAGTATATATATACAGATATATACAGTATATATATACAGATATATACAGATATATATACAGTATATATATATATATACAGATATATACAGTATATATATACAGATATATACAGTATATATATAATTTACAGATATATACAGTATATATATACAGATATATACAGTATATATATAATTTACAGATATATACAGTATATATATACAGATATATACAGTATATATATATATTTACAGATATATACAGTATATATATACAGATATATACAGTATATATATATACAGATATATACAGTATATATATACAGATATATACAGTATATATATACAGATATATACAGTATATATATATACAGATATATACAGTATATATATACAGATATATACAGTATATATATACAGATATATACAGTATATAACATTACATATAAATTAATTCAAAGTAACATATTATATAATATTGACGTATATTAAAAGCATTGCCAAAAATGTTTAATACATTAATTATAAACAAATAATTAAATTGTCATAACATCTAATTTAAATATTAATTAATGTATAAGTGTTTATCAATTGCATATAGAATTGTCTATTTATAGTTGGCTTCGTTATTCATTTTATAAATTGTCTAATATATCAAACATTTTGTTTTGATTTAAAAATTTACATTAAAATAATGTATTTCAATAATTAGAAATTATAGTAAATATAATTAATTAAACCAAATATAAATAAATATATTCACGAATTCCTGAAAGGAATACGTATATGCATTCTATAAGTCTGTCTGTCTGTCGGTCTGTCTGTCTGTCGGTCTGTCTGTCTGTCGGTCTGTCTGTCCCACGAGGACATAGGTTCGAATCCACTATCAGCTACAAATTTTTTTTTTGAATTTTTTTTTTGCTTTTTTTCTTATTTAAGTTTATTTTTTAGGAAATTGAAGAAAATGGTGTCCAAAAATTAATTAAAAAAATTTTGAATATTTTTTGATTTTTTTGAATTTTTTTTGATTTTTTTGAATATTTTTTGAATATTTTTTGATTTTTTTCGTTTTTAAGTTTATTTTTTAGGAAAATAGTAGTTTATTTTGTAATACTGAATCATTTGATACTCCAAATGACTGTAGTTGTTTATTTTGTCATACTAAATCGTTTGATAACCTACATAACTAAAGTTGATTTTATTTTATCATAGTGAATTTAATTTTTAATTATGATTAGGAATTCGTGTGGAAATGCTTTCTAGCATTCTCAACTGGTTTTATATTTATAAATTTGTCTTTAGTATTACTGTAAATATAACATTAGTAACTTATAGTCAAATTATATTAATAAAAGTTATATTATTTTATAAGAGATGTGTAATATTTTCATAACTCTCAGTGTTTGCCATAAGATAATGAATGACTGGACGTTATATTATATTTATATAAACACGCAATCAATAGAAAAAAGGTTTCATATTTGATGTCACGTCCAGTGATTGCATGACATAACAAATAAGCATTTATTTCAACACTAATGACTTTTATTTATATTATAATATCATTGTTTTATTTTGTATATATTTTCTCATACGTTTAATCAAGATTTCTTTTATTTATATAATATACACGTTTAGTAAACAATATAAAAGTATGGTATATAAAAATTGGTTACAATAATATTATCAACAATTTGATATATCCTATACTAATATCTGATTAATATAAATTACAAAAAAAAGTATTAATACTTTTATATAATAATATAATCTTATTTTTAAATTATGTAATTATAATTTTAACATAAAATTTGCTGACAAAGCAAATAAAAAACTGCTAATAAACTTGACTGTAATTTTAGCAAAATATATGAATTTATTTAAATTAAGTTATTAATTGATAACTTATATTGTTGTATCATATTTGATAATTTACTTTTTATTATTATTATTATTAGATAGAAATAAAAATTATGAAACCACTAGATTTTAATTAAAATAATATAATTTGTTTTACTGTAACTGTAAAAAATTTCCTAACAAATACAGTACTAAAATCTATGTTCGGCGGTATCTACTGATGAGATTTTCCGCCTAAGGTCTAAAAAAATAGCGCAATCGAAGTATAATACAGTATTTAGTATATTATATTAATGGCCAGTAGTTTGGAAACAAAATATTTAATTTTTAAATTTAATATATATATATTATTAACTAAATTAAAAGTATTGTTTATTTTTTTATTTTTAATAATATGTATACACAATTTTCGAAATATTAATTACATGCATGTCCAAATTCCATTAACCCCTCCCCAACTTATTTGGACGCCTTATCTGGATGACGTCAATACAGTAAAATGTTATATAATAATGACAAGAATTAATTATGTAAAAATTCTAAATAATATTTTATCATTTTTTCATATTTATAAATCTAAAATTATCTAAAAATAGTAAAGTTAAATTAATAAAAAAATATATCAATTTTAATAAATTAATAGTTGTAACTTAATATTAGATAAACTTCAGTTACATTATTAACTAATATTAGCGAAACTAAATATATCATATTATTGACTAATGTTGTGTATATTAATAAATTGTTATTATAAAAATCATTGGAAAAATAAGTAATATAAAAGTAGTTTTACAATAAAAATACAATAGTAAACAAATATCAATAATCTTTTGCAATGATATTTGAGTCATAAAAGTATATGATTTAAATAACGATACAATTTATACAATATTTAATGTAAAGAAAATTTGATTAAATATAATCGACTACATATTAATCAATGAAATATAATCAATATAAACAATTGCTTTAATAATACATTACTACTAATAATAATATTAAACATTTTGTTTTGAAAAAAAATCAATAAAAACTTTTCAAATTGACATTTCCAATACAATAGTTATATGCAATTATGAATAGCTATTTGTTTGTTATATTTACTGATTTTGATTGACTTTTCCAATGATGTTCACGCATTGAAATGTCAGTAATATTAACTAATATTTTAATAATCAAATCTTATATTTTTACAAATGTTAAAACTATTTATCCTTATTTGGTAAGATTGCAAAAAATTATTTAAAATAAATTGTTTTAACTAATTTATATAAATGCCATAATAAATTATAATTAAATTTACAAAATGCTTTAAAGATATATTGTATTTACCTTTTATTATATAAATACATAGACTATCTATTAATAGTATTAGTTATTTA